TAAGCACTAAATTAGCTATTAATATTAAAGTTAATAATTGATAATAATTTTGAAAAGAGCGTATCGTATTTAACTATTATTTTAATATGGATTTTCATAATAAAAATTTAAAAAATATGAATATTTTTATTGAAATATATAAAGTAGTTAGAGAGTATTTATAAAAATTTAAAGACAATATAAGATAATAGTGATAATGATATTTGGTATAAATAATTTTATTCGTATATAATTTTATTACTTTAATATTTCATAATTCCGTCTACTCAAAATCTTCTTATTTTTATATTTTAAAGTCACATTTCATATAAATACAAAATATCATTACTTTACTATCTTTACATACATTGTTTATAAGTATTGTACTTCACTAGTATATCTAAATTTTTATACCAAAAGTAAATAAAAAAAAAAAACAAAAAAAATATATTTTTTAAATTTTTTTAATTCATACCATTTATATAATTTTTACATATTGATGAACTCGTGAGGTGCATATATATGTATATATACTAGACTTATTAAATATATATACATATGGTTAATTACAGTCTTAAAAGTGCACCAATGTGCTACTATTGTGTCCTCTACCGTTTTGAAATTCTTGGATTTCTTGATATTCACATGTGTTAATAATTTGATCCGCCGGTACGAGTGATTAATTAACAATTTTTTTTTGTATTTATGTTGAATTTAATTTTCTATTTTTCTAAAAAAATTGAATGCTGTCACATTTTTCATTCAACATGCATTATAAGATGGAGGGTAGAAAATGTAGGATAATGTCAGAAATGGCACAGGTTCATTCTTTGCTCTACCGAAGACTTTCAATCCACTAGCATCCTTATGGGATGCTTTGTTTTTCTTTTTTTACATTTTTTTATTTTGTATTATTTATTTTATTTTAATGTTAAGTAAAAATTATAGTTTTAATTAAAAAAAATTCTTAAAAATGGTTAAAATGTAATTTTATACTAAAATCAATATTAATTAGATTTTGAATAGGAGTATATTATTTTATCTTACAAAAAAAATATCAAAAATATTATTTAAATTAATATTTTTTATTTCAAATCAATTTCAAGTTAGATATTAAAATGTTATTTAAACTAAAATTCAAATAAAAATAAAATAAATTCTGAACAAAACAAAATAAAAACAAAACTTACTATTTACAATATTTTATTTTTTAAATTATTAGAAAAAATATTAAAATATCTAATTATATATAATCTTTTAATTCCATTATTATTTATATTCTCGAAACATACCAAAAATACAACTAAACAAATCCTTTATAATTCAATATTAATTAACATATCAAGATATATATATATATATATATATATATAGAAAATCTAATAATTAAACAAATATACATCATTTTAAAAAATATATATTATGTGGAATTTTACAGAACATTTTATAAAATCTACAGTTGTAATACTCATAGTTGATTTGTCATATTACATTATGGTACTTCCTAAAATTATATTTATATGAAAAATCTACAATCTTCTCATAAAACTAAGGAATAAATTTTACCTCATTAAATTTTTATTAATTTTATCAAAAATGTATTCAAATAATTAACTAATGAAATTTGTTTAATATGTGCTATATATTTTAACATTAACATCTAATTTAGTGTCTGTTTGGATCGAATCTTGTGTTTAACATGAAAATTAATATTCAATCTATTTATTTCCCTACATAATTTTGTTTCTAATATAAGGACATGTTCTTAATTCTAGCTAGCTTCTTTTGTTTGATTTTTTTGAATAATATATCTAAATACGTTTGTCGATACCCTTTTATCGCCATCTCATATCGCATTACAAAATCATTATTTATTGGTTGAAATTTCATAATTTAAAATAATCAAAAAGCCGATGTACATACAAATTATATGTTTAAAATGAAATCGGTGCATTCTTGGCAATCACAATCCTCGAACCGGCGCATGTCACAACCACATTTAAGTGCTTAATTTGTCGCATTGAATATAAAATAAAATTATCGTGTCTGCTTATATAATAGCAGTGCGATAGCAGAACGCGCACGAAAATTAGATTTCGTTTATTAACCTTTTGACTTTTAGACTGTATTTTAAAATATTTTCTACCAAATTTTATAAATTGTACAAATATACTTGATATAATTTTCCACACAAACTATGAATAGCATAAGAAAATAATTGTTGCATCTGAATTCAGCAATGCAAAGGTATATAGGGATTGCAATGACTTGCACGGAAGATCGATTTAGAAAATCGACATATTGTAATTTAAAGTGAATGAAAATTTTTTGGAATACAAAAAATCTCATGGCGCAAAGCTGATTTACGATTTTATAATAACTTGCACTGTATAGTTTTATGTAGTACTAAAACAGCATGGATCTGGTGCTGAAATTATTTTTTCAGCACCATGCTGAATAGTTAAAAACATAAATATATATACACTTATATTAATTAGATAATTTCATGATATTAATTAACATAGTTAATTTTTACTTTTGATCTCTCCCGGTACAAAAAAGTTTCTCACACTAAATATAATTTTCTATTTCACAATATAGAAATAAATTCCAAGTCAAGATCTTTTGTAAAAAAAATTACATCACACTGAATTATCACTTTTATAATTATATATAAAAACATATCTTGTAATTTAACTTTTTGCCTTTCAAATTGTATTTTAAAATATTTTCTACCAAATTTTGTAATTTGTACAAATATACTCGATAGAATTTTCAGCACAATCCATGAACAACATAAGAATATAAATACTACGTCATGGAGTTTTCCTGATGTATCATTATACTTGGAGTTTATACCGCTACACTTCATCTATAGAAATTTTGTGGTGATTTGCAAAATCCTGATAAAGTTGAAGATTTCTTCTCGAGTAAACATATTTCTTTCGATGAAATAAAGTTAAAATTTATTATTATGTCAAAAAATATTTATTTCATTCAACACGTGTTAATTAATGAAATGTTTGTCTGCGTATAAACATGCAATGTACATAATTGGTGCACAATATCATTTGAAAAATATTATATAAAATATATCTCGAAGTAAGAAATATTATTTCTTTATCAATAATATTAGTAGAAACATGACATTCAAAATTTCTACCTTTCCATCAAAATAAATTTGAGTTCTAACATATCACCATATTTGGAGTTTGTACGGCCACACTTCATCAGAAACTCTGGGGTGATTTCCAATATTCCAATAAAGCCGAAAATTTTTCTCGAGGTAATATATTTCTTTCGATGAAATAAAGTTAAAATTTATTATTATGTCGTAAAATATTTATTTCATTCAATTAGTGTTAATTAATGAAATATTTGTTTGCACATAAGCATGCAATGTACATAATTTGTGCGCAATTTCATTTAAAAAATGTTATATAAATTATATCTCGAAATCAGAAATATTATTTCCTTATAAACAAAATTACTAGAAACATGACATTCAAAATTTTTATCATTCCATCAAAATATATTTTGAGTTTTCCTGATGTATCACCGTACTTGGAGTTTGTACAGCCACACTCCATCTCTAGAAACTCTGTGGTGATTTGCAATATTCCGATAAAGTCGAAGATTTTTATCGAATGAATATATTTCTTACAATAAAATAAAGTTAAAATTTATTATTATTTCGAAAAATATTTATTTCATTTGACACGTGTTAATTAATGAAATGTTTGTACATAATTGGTGCGCATTTTCATTTGAAAAATATTATATAAAATATATCTCGAAGTAACAAATATTAATTTTTTTTATAAACAACATTACTAGAAACATGATATTCAAAATTTCTATTATTCCATCAAAATAAATTAAAATTTGAGTTTTCCCGATGTATCACCGTACTTGGAGTTTGTACAGCCCCACTCTATTCCCAAAAACTCTACGGTGATTTGCAATATTTCGATAAAATCGAAGATTTTTCTACGCAAACATGTTTTTTTGATGAAATAAAGTTAAAATTTATTATTATATCGATAAATATTTATTTCATTAGACACGTGTTAATTAATGAAATATTTGTCTGTCCATAATCATGCAATGTACATATTTGGTGCGCAATTTCATTTGAAAAATATTACATAAATCACATCTCGAAGTACAAAATATTATTTTTTATTCAACAAGAGTACATAGCTCGTGCGCAATTTCATTTTAAAAAAGATTAGCATCACGAAGACGAACATATGCAACAAGATTCACAACCGATTTGAAATGCCGGCGATTCTACATCCATCATCGTCATCGTCGCTTTCCTCATCGACGGAGCTGATGTCGCCTCATTCTCGGAGGCCGGATTGTATCTCTGGTAGCCTGATTGAGCCGCAACTAAAATTGATTGAATTTTTTATACCAAAATTAAAATTGGTTATTTATAGTTTCAATGGAACCATTTTTTATTTTTATTTTCATAAATAAATTATACAAAAATTTAACAGACTAAACCGAATATCAAAATATTTAAACCAAATCATAGTTACATAAATTAAATTAGGCATAACTAAAAACCAATATCAAAATATTTAAATCTTAAAAACCTAGTTATTTTTGCACTCAACAAAATCACAACCAAATTGATTAATGATTAATCTAGTCATGGCTAGAAAACAAGGTATGTTTGGTGGAATTATAAATAGTGGAAAATACATGAATTTCACATTTAGAATGAGATCAATGCATTCACGTGTTCCTTTTGGATTTTTACGATTAACAAATTTTTTTCTCCAAAAAACATTGTATCAAACACTTTACCTTTTATTTTTCTATTATACTAAAAAATAATTTTACATTTAAAAATCGTATCAAAACAATTATTTATATCAGATCATACCACTAGTCAAATTCAAAATATTTCCGATTCAAAGCTATCACTTGATAACTTTTCAACTGTAGCACCATCACAAGACAAAAGATAAAATAAAATAAAACAAAACAAAATCGAACTGCAAAAGAAATGTGTCCAAAGTAACTACAAATTGGATTCTCTGGCAAATAGAATCGAACTCAACAAACATGGCAACAAATAAAACCTCACAAGTAAAATTTCATTAAACTATGCAAGAGAAAGAACATCTCTAAAACCATAAAGAGACCATGAAATTACTCTGAGATTTATGTCCTGCTCTATTCTTTTGGCTGTATTCGTTTAAGCCTCATCCGTCGTAGGTACAATAACAAAGCAAAACTCACAAAATCGCAATCTCCAAACATCAAAAAATTTGTTCCTGGATCAGGCCTTGTTAGTCCGAGCATAATGGTTATCATTGGGATTTCTTTTCCCGCTGAAGACAGCAACGGTTTTCCTGATTGGAGGCTGGAGAGGAGCTTTCTTATCACCATGGTAACGGAAAATGTCGTCTGGAATAAAAAATTCGTCGTCCTAGAAAACAGATTATTTGCACCACAGTTGAAATTTTACCAGAGATTGCCCAAAAATAGTGTATAAACAATTCGAGGAGGAAATAGACATTAACCTGCTTGTTTTTCTTCTTGGTCTTTGGGTACAAATATTTCTGAGGAAGCTGGTCTTCGCGCAAAATGGGGTTCTTCGAAACTGCATCCCTACCCCCTTGGGGCATCGGCAATGAGAACTACAAACAGAAAATTTTTCAAATTTAGAGTCCAAAATTTACAGCACCTCAACTAGCAAGATGCACCATATTCAAAACATCAGAGAGTTAATGAATGTAAGAGAGCTCCTTCAAGTCAAAAAACAACAGGCCATTTCCGTACTTTGTGATCATGCAAAAGGTAAGTGATATATTGCATGAGTAGAAATTACCGAAGTTTAGAATTACATGTCAAAGAGCAAAGACAAGTATAAACTTTCCCTAAATCAATAATGAAAGAATTAGTACCTTGGTTCCACGCAAAGAAACGCGAGGTCGCCGCCCAGCCAACACAATACCATTCTCATTAACAGTGACAGCAACCTTACGTAGAGTGCCTCCATTACCACATTTGGGACAAAATATTCTACCAGTCTCTGTAGTAACCTTAAAGCAAGCATGGCACTTCAACACCCACCTATAAAAAAGAAATACAATGTACAAAAATCACGGGACAGAATCAATAGACATTCTCACCCAAGTACCACAAAATAGAAGTTAAATAAATTAAAATGCATACCTGTGAAGCTCACGAATCTGCATTCCTCCAGGAGCCAGAAGGCGTAATCCCATCTGAAGTAGCACATTTTGCATTGCAAAGTCACTGGTAATGCAGGCCACACTAGATTCGGACATCGATCTAAGTGTCCAGCTCTGCTCGCTACTGGCATCATCCGTATGTAAAGAATCATTGCATTTGACCGCCTGGTCCGGTATCTCCAGGTTTCCTAGGTCTTCTTCAGTAATGCCAATATCTTCTGTATACGAAACATTGTGAACAGAATCTGCCAACTCATCACCATTGGGCTCATTCACACCAGAAGGAACCTGGAGCTCATCAATATGCTGGAATGGTGTGGCGGATACTTCTTCCAGTTGTATCTTATTTAAACTTGCAGCAATATCTTTGTCTTGGTTCTTCTCATCAGAATATCCACCCTCCATTTTACCAATTTCTGTTTCATCATAACCTTGATCGACCAACAGTTCCGGACATTGATCATCATCAAGGTTTCCCTTTTCCACATTATTAGATTCACCAACCTGATCACTTAATTCAGATGGTGTGGCATTCATTTCACGTCTAGCTTTTCTTCTCAAAAACCTCCTATGTGTACTTCGACTAACAGCAGGACGCCAATCATCAGCATTATCATCAGATGCACCCTGCGATGCATCCACACCACTAGCTACCATCTTTTTCCCCTCAATTTTAACCTCTCTCTTCTTTGGCATGTATTTCTTGGGCTTACTAAAACCAGGATCACCACCGTCTTGATTTGGAATGACCGACTCACTTTCATCTTGATTAGAAGTATTGTCTATACTTTGCTGGTCTGATGAAATCGAACCCAAGCCCAAGTCCTTGAGGGGTAAAATTCTTGAATGTTGCGGGTCACTTTCAACAGCTTGTTCCAGTGCTTCCCACTCCTCAGGATTAGGGACATTAGAACCCCAGCCAGGTAAGTCTTTTTCAGGCAGCCTTTTGACATTAATAGTTTGGATTGGAGGTGGGCTGTCTCTGATATGTTGAGCCTCATGAATCTGGACCTCGAACATATAAGTCAAAGCTATAAGCTTCAGATCCACATCAGAAAGTGTTTGCAAGTCACCAGTAGCTTTTGCAAAGCTGATCACTAAAACCAAAAGCAAAAATCAAATGACATACTACACTTTCGAAAATACAGTTGTTTACAACAAGATCAGATACTACTAGATGCACTGGGCGCTAGAAATTTGGGCTTTGTGGAATGTGAAGATTCAAAAACTAATGGCTAGTTTCGAAGAAAGAAGAAGTAACAAAAAATGGAAGATTCTGGAAGATAAGAAAGTAGCTCCTCTTAACTAGCTCTAGTATACAAAAACAGGTTCCAATTTAATCACCTTAATCCAGCTTCACACATAGCAACTGGAGAACTTAGCAAAATATCTCCCTCTCACAAAAGCTATTTTATAACACAAATCCACCATCAAATTGAATCACAAAAGAATGCTGAATCCTCATCTTCCCAAGTAAGCCCTTCATCACTACTACATTTTTAACAACTCTTACAATGATTTGTGTAGCAAGATGCAACAGAATATCGAAATATCCTACCCATGGAAAATCTGGAGTAGTTCATGCGGCTCATCCAAAGAAAGTAAACAATGCACATAAAAACTACGTGTGCCTAAATTCTTAACCGAAGAAAATAAAACTGACAGAAACAGATATTACAAAACTATTTATATAGAGATTGCAAAACGAATGATGAAAATTATACAAATATACCTTTGTTGAGAGCCTCTTAACCGAAGAAAATAAAACTACAGAAACAGATATTACAAACCTAGTTATATAGAGATTGCAAAACGATTGATGAAAATTCCACAGATATACCTTTGTTGAGAGCCTCAGGGGTAGGCTCGAGAGTCTCAACAGCAAAGGGCAGGAAGTTGAGGGCGTGACGGGAAGATGGATCACGAATTTCATTGATGACCTCCGGTATCGAGACGAATCGATCAGCAGAATGAAAGAGCTTCTCGCCGCCATTGATTATGGCGTTAGCATCTACTATCGCCACTGCTATGCCCTTCGATGACTTGCAGCTCCCTATCAATTCCTCGGTTTGAAAGACACCGGTTTCGGCGGCGGAGGCGGCGGCGTTTGGGCCGGTCTTTTGGCTTTGCGGTTGCTGCTTTAATAAGTTGCTCCAGGACGACGGAGCAGGGGACGGCGGGTGAACCTCCATGGAGATGAAAAGATGGTTAATGCAAAACCCTACAAGCAGAAGAATATATCTATTTATAAAAAATAAAAAATAAAAAATAAAAAAATTATTAGTCTTAAAATTAGAAATAATAAGCAAATATCTAAATTTAAATAATTTTTTTAATTTTATTATAACGTAGGTGAAGGGCCAACGGTCTCGATAAGTATTATTCATTTTTATTTTTTTTATAAATGCACTTTCCATATAGTCTATAGGTATATTAATTATACTATGGGTGTGTTTGTTTGGGGGTTTGGATTTTGGATTGGGATTTGAATAGTAAAAATTTTGAATTTGAATAGTTGTATGATGTGATATAAATAGGGTTTGATGTGATGTTTTGAATGTAAAATTGATTTTTAGTATAATATAAAAAATGAAAAATAGGTGTTTGATGTGATGTTTTTGAGGGGAAAAAATTGGATGAATAGTAGAAATCCTCCAAAATTCTTCAAACAAACACACCCTATATGTCATTATAATATTAATATACTAAAATTTACATTGTAAGCCGAAAGAGTATTTAACTCTCAACACCATTAGTCATCCACGTCATAAAAAAAATATATATATATATATAACTCTCTCAATTCTATGTAACAAGTGACCTACTTAAAATTTTGTAGGTCAATTTCTCATAAATAAACAAATATATGTATTTACATTTAAGTTTCATGTTTTTTTCTTATAAATTAGTTTCCACTAAATATAAATAAATAAATATTTTAATTATAAAGTGTTTATCTTTAATATATAAAAAGATACAATATTTAAAAATATATTTTAACTTATTTAATACTATATATTACTTCGTTCGTCCCGAATATTTTATCTATTTTACTACAGACACGAGAATTTAAAAGATGTATAATTAATATATAATTAAAAATGTATTATTAAAAATAATTATCATATAATAGAAATAATTATAGTTTAATTAAAATTAAAAAAATTATAAATTATAAATTTATTTAAAATAAATTTATAATTTATAATTTTTTTATAAAAAAAATAACGAAATAAACAAGACATATAAATGGTAAGATGAACATGAAAATTGAGAAGAGGAAATAATTTGTATTTAAAAAATAATAACACTAGCATTCACATTAAAAAAAATAATAAAATCAATTTATTAAACTCCCTGTAAATTATCCGATCAACTTTGTGGGACGGACGCACAGTATTATTTATTTTTATTTAATTTATAAATATAATTTTTTTTTAATGTGTATATTTAATTTAAATTTTTTTATTATATACTATTCTCTCCATCTCATATATTTTTTACTTACTGTATATACGAGAATTTAGGTAAAATATAATTAGTAAATAGTTAAAAGTGTATTAGTAAAAATAATTATAAATTAAGATTAAGATAACTAAATAGTTTAATTAAAATTAAAAAAATTATAAAATTTAAAATTTAATTAAAGTGCATAATTATATTTCTAAAAATAAAAATGACAAGTTACGTGAAACGGACAAAAATAAAAATGATAGAAGGAGTAATAGCATATTAATATTTTTTATATGTTATATTTATTTTTTAATCTTTATATAATTTTTACCAAATTTTGTATTTAATCTAATAAATATAACTTTTTAAAATGTGTATATTGAATTTAAATGTGGGCGTTACCTAAACCACCTCCACAATTACTTAGAATGTGTTTTGTACAGGGAATTGATTTGTTTGTTTGAGTACGAGAAATGGAACTTCAGAAATAATTTTTTTTTTTTTATTTCTCTCCAATATTTAGAGAGATTGAAAGAAATGATGTTGCAGTATATATATTTTTATTTTTTTATTATTTTTTTGTACTATTTAATTTTTATAATTATTTATATTATATTATTTCAGTTTTACAAAAATTATATTTAATTTATCTTTTTTACGATTTTTTTTAAAAAATTATATTAAAATATGATCTTACAAAACTTAGTATATAATTTATAATTTATTGTTTTAAAAAAAAAATCACAATAAATATTTTTTCATATATTCTCACTAGCTAAAATTCTTTTTAGATTAATCATTTGTTCTTGTATGATCTATTCATTTTTTTCAACTGAATTATCTATTATAGCAAATAAGATAATTAATTATCTTTCTCTCAAATTCCATTTTCTACATTCATTTCTCTACAATTTCTCTGTATCAACCGCCCCTTAAATTGGGGTTTGAGCTCATTATATAAATATTGTATATATTCTATTAAAATATAATTTTTAAAATACTTATATATATATATATAAATCTTATATATTATCTCATAAATGAAAAATTTATTAAATAATTTTTCTCTAATTAACTTACAACTTGTATTTGAACATGAATACAAATATTACAATGGTATATGATTTTTTTTTTATATACCAACATATTATCATAATTTAGATATAGAACAAAAGTGTCAAATTATATGTTGTTATGGTACCCAAAAAAATTTATTACGGTATTATGGTTATCATGTGAAGATAGGTTTTTAATTGTATTTTAAATTTATAATTTTAATTAAATTATTTAATTATTTTAATTTTAATTTAAAATTATTTTTATTAGTATCATTTTTTTATTATTTAAGGCGTGTTTAGCTATTAGCTGATAGCCGTTAGTCGTTAGCTGGTTTAATTAGCTGATAGCCGTTAGTCGTTAGCTGGTTTAATTAGCTGATAGCTGATTCAATTAGCGGGTTTGACTAGTTGATTCGACTAACTGTTGGAATTAAAATATTTGATAAAACAACTGTTTGATATTAGTTGTTTATAGTTATAATGACAATCGATGACATTTCTATTTTATTTTTTTTTCTAATATATTCAATTGTGTTTTTTAAATTTAGAATGTTTGAAAATTTTTGTTATTAGTTATTGAAAATTTTAAAAATGTTATAAGTAGTGTTTATTTTTATTATAGTTAGATTTAAAAAACAACATATTTTTATTGAAAAATATAAATAGTTTTTTCTATTGATAATAATATAAAATACAAAATAATAAATTTTTTGTGTATATATTTATTATGTTAATTATCGATTAGTTGATTAGTTCATTATATTTATAATTTTTAATAAATTTAATTTATTTTTAGTATAAAATTTATATAGTATTATATTTTTTATTTTGTATTGATTTTAATAAATTTATATATTTTAAAATTAAAATAATATATATATAAAAATTAATTATTTTAAATTTATAAAAGTAAAACTATAATATAATAAAATATTATAATATAAGTAATAAATAATTAAAATATATTCATTTAGGTAAAGTGCATAATAAATTTTTAATGACATATCATAATAAAAAAAAATTAAATTGAAAAAGTTATTTGAAAATATTGAATAAATTAGTTTTTCATAAATTATTATTTTTTATCTAAAAAACTATTTAAAAAATTAATTTACCAAACACGTTTTTTTCCAAATAACATGTCTTACTGATTATATTTTATTTAAATTTATGTATGTAATATAACATGAACACATTTTAACATATACATACTATTATTACACCTATCTTTATTATCACATGCATATAATAAAATTATGTATTATTTTTATATTTAACGCATGCTACTTTAAAATCGGTGCTAATTTTCATTAAAAGAATATATACTCCACACAGAAATAGAAATGACGGTCACAGAAATAGAAATTGACGATATTTTCAAAGGTGTAAAATATATTTTGCTTTGCTATATAATTGGGTATGTGCAGCGTATTTTTATTTATTTTTTCAATTTTCTACTCAAAACAAACCCTACCTATTCCCCTCCCCTTCCCTCCCCGCTTTCTTGTTCTTTTTCTTCTCATTTCCGTCTTCCTTATATTTCTTCTTCGGCTCCGGTGGGAAGATCCCAGACGTCGTCAAGGAGACGTCACCGTTGCCGGAAAGACCGATTTCTGTTCGCGACATTTAACCGGAAAGAAAGCGCCTGGCGTTAGCCACCGCACCGCCGTCGCTGCCGCCGCCGGAATCGTCGAAACTACATCAGGTAATCCTTCCTTTCCCTTGTTGATTTTATCGGTTTTAGATCGTAGTTTGTGGTGCTCGATGTCGGTGCTCGGTAGGGATTTTAGGCGGCGTAGTATTTGTTAACTTATACCTTGCTTCTCAGTGGCAGTGTTGGCCCCAGATTGGAGAATTTTGTTGGAAAACTTGTTAAGAAATCAAAGATACGCATAAGTTTATCAGAGCTGTCTTGTCTAGCAAAGATGCCTGGCATTCCTCTCTCAACTCGTGAATCTGCGTAAGTATTTACTGCACTGGCTGACTCGACGTAATGATTTATGGGTTTTGCAACTGGAACCAAACTCAATTCTTCTGCTTAATGAATGACCGAAAATGGAGACTTACTGGTTTCGTAATTTTATTATTTCGGTGATCTAATCCCTTTTGATTAGGAACATTGATCGGTGAAAAAATAGAATATGTGTAACTATGGAGATTGCTGCTTGAAGTCTCCATTTGATCGCCTGCCTGTGCATATGCATCTTCATTAAGCGATTCTTTTATTGTAATTCAAATTTTCATTCATTAGTTGGCTTTGTTCGATACTACTTACTATTTAGAACAATGATAAGACAAGGCTGGAATATAAGTATAGAATTTGATATATGTTTATGCAATTAAAGTGAACTTAAAATGTAGCCCTTAGCTTGGAATCTATGTAAGTACTAAATGTACTTTATGGATTTCTCGGAAAAGGCATAGCCTTCCTTTTATAGTCACACCATGACACGTGGTGCTGATGGTGCGATACCAATGGCACATTGTTTTGAGATGGTGTCTAATGGCCACGTGGCTGGTCCCATTTGGTCATGGACAAAGACACGACTTTAGAAGGCAAACCTTTACTTTCTTCTATAAAATCGCTTTGAAAATTTCGATGATATAGGAGCTGGAGGAGCCCTAGATCTCGTACTTGAATCGTGGCACATTTGGCATCAATCCACTTCATCTTTTCTTCCGTTTCAGTCTGCATCTCCCTATGGAGCTTCATGTTATAGTATATTAGTTCAGTCTTTCTTGGATCTGCTTTTTGTATTGTCGTCGTCTTCTTTTTTTTTTTTTTTTTTTTTTTTCTCCTTTGTTTTTAAAAAATTTTGCAGTGTTCTTTATTCATTTCTTGAGGTTGGCTTCATGTTATGAAAGTGGACATTGTTCGTGAACATCTAGGTTTTTATTTTCCATTTTGATTGTGATAAATTTTTTCTTGAGTTATGTATTATGATTTGCTCGATTTGCAAGGTTGTAAGGGCATTATATATTGGATTCAGTTTATTCAATTCGAGATGAACTTATAAGTCATTTAGAAAAGATTGTTTAATCTTGATATTTACTGCTGTATTAAAAACTCTGCATCCTATAGTTTTACATCTTCAACACCAAGTACATTGTACATTATATGCTTTCAATTTCGTGAGTTGTAGGAATTTAAGTTCATACTGCGCTAGATTTTTATTGATTCTTAAAAATGGTAGCGTTGGCCAGTAGCCACTAGTTTTATGACTAATTGGATTATATATCTGGGTTCATTTTGTATATTATTTATTAACCATTCTTTTCGCTTCTTATTTACCATGTAGAATTTGTTCACTATTATTTTTCTGAGGATCACTACGATTTTTTTGGGCAGTGCTTCGATGAAGCACCCTTGGCACTGTGCGCCATGCACCACGCCTTGGGATGTGGTGAAAGATTATCACTAGTGTAAATTTTACCTTGTAATGGAGGTTTGGAAGTTTCTAGTTTGCTTCTCACCTTGATCCTTATTGTTCATTTACTTCAATTGAAATTTGGTACTGGCTAAACGTGTCCTCAAATTATTTTGTCCTCTCCTGGCTCTTGACAAAAATACTACGTATGTAAGAATATTATGAAACCTATGCATCCAATGTGGGGTGCATGGGTTTCTGTGGTTAACACATGAATTGGCATTTCCATTTTTGTTTTAATGCTTTGTAAAATTCCAGATGCATGGGGCATACTCATATGTTTGCTGTATTTAGGAAGCTGACTGCATTTGTGATTTGATTGCTATAAGTCATCTGTGATCATCACAGTCAGTTTGATTCTTGGAACAGGAATTGTGTTTGCAATTGTGGATACTCACAAGGTGCAGATCATATGTGTCGCCATGATCCCCGCTCACATTTGTCTGCAGAAGAGCAAATTGCAGCTGAGGAGAGCCTTTCTATTTACTGCAAGCCAGTTGAACTGTACAATATTCTTCAGCGCCGTGCTGTTAGAAATGTTAGTCCTTTCCTAAGCATTCTGCCTTTGTCTTCTTAACAACCACTTCTCTCTTAAATTCCATCTTTTTCCTTCATGTGCATAGTTATGTGGGTGATTATCACAGAAATGATCATTTTCTCCGGTTGTTTTGTGTCCCACCAAGTTTGATTTATCAGCAATTGTGACAACAGTGAATTAAATATCATTTTACTTATGTAATTATCAATTGGTTTATATAGAGCATATCAGACTAAGACAGCTCTCTCTTGCAGCCATCTTTCCTTCAAAGATGTTTGCAATACAAAGTACAAGCAAAACACAAGAAAAGGTATGACTTTTTAACAAATTTGTTTTCAATATAATTGCTGAGTTCTTAGAATCCATGACATATCATTGAGAATCCTCAAATATGTTTCAGATTATCAATGACCATATGATTTCTGCTTATAATCACACTAAATAAGCATGCTTGTAATTGGCACTTGGGTAGTGTTACTGGAATTATCTATGTTCCCATGTTTATTTTTGATAGAAAATATATGTTTTAATAGTTTTTCTTGGATATTAATATTCTATCATCTACCATGCTGATATTTTTGTTCCTTGTCTTATTTATATGTTTTTGAGAGTCTGACATTATTTATTTTCATGTTGCCTAGTTTCTTAAAATTCTGTATAAAAAGTATGAAATTTATTTCATGTTAGATTACTCTGAATATGTACTGTTTTATCGGTCTTCCAGCCACCCTCTACCCATAGTTTGCGGGCATTTTTGGTTCTTTTCACCAACCCCTGCAAGTGCAGTGTGTTCAGTATTTTGAGTTTGCAACACAGCCTTTCATTTGTGTAGACATACCTGATGTAGTTCTCTGTCTTTGCTTATCCCCAGGATTCAGATGACAGTTTCTCTGCCATCAACTGTAAATCATGATTCTCAAATTCAAAACCTATTCCCTTTGTGTATATTAGTGGCAAGACAAGTTTATAGTCCATCGGTTGTAGAGGTGGTAAAATACTTCCATTCATCTTATTGGTTATGCCCTTGTTCCATATATTTGCATGTAATCTGCCAATGGTTTAATGTCGGTGCAGGATTCCTCAATTTATCATTTCAGTAGAGAATGTATATTGACAAAATGTACTGGAAGTGACAGAATGAATCAGGATGTAGCAAATTTCATTCTTCCTGAGATTAACAAACTATCAGCTGAAGTCAAATCTGGTTTCATTTCTATATTGTTTGTCAGCTGTGGTATGCAGTTTGTTCTTTGTTCTTCATTATTTCTCCTCTATCAACGAATATTGTTCTTTCATATTGTTGTGCTATGCTTCTTCTCTGCAGCTGAATTGTTTAAGGACTATGCGGATGGATCATTCTTTCAAGGTGAGTTATTAATTAGCTGTACTTTTTCCCCCTAACTCATGACATTTATTTGCATTTCCTTACTCTTGTATTAATCATGTTTTCTCTTTTTATGATTGTCATAAATCAAACTTGGAATTTCAGATTTGAACCTAATTGATATTTGAAGTTACTTTTTGTTCATAAAATTTATCAAATGATCTAGTTGTCTTTTATAGATCTATTGTTTCTGTGCATAATGAATCTAATGGAAGCGTTCTAGTGGTTGTCTTCTTCTCTGTTAAAAAACCTACTGTTTTTCTGCACTGGTTGAGGAGTTAGTCATGTTTAGGCATATGTATATTATTTTATCTTCCCTCTTAGTAACTGTTAAGATTGAACTGGCCTACTAGATAGGGATAGCCAAAAAAAAATGGATGGTCACCAATAAGATTTTCCTACGATGAGATTGTCGTCAATAAGATATTCTCATGGTTCCAAATAGTAATTTAGTTGGCATATCGCATGTAACAAATCTTTATGTTAGAATGGGATTTAGATTGGCTGATAAATTTTCGTTTTCAGTTGACGTCTTCATCTTTAGCCTAACGTGATTCCCGTCTGATGATAGCTAATGTTGGAGGTCACTGCTTCCTGGGTAAAATTCCAATGGAGTTACTTCAATTATCCTGGGAGAAGTCTCTCAACTTGAGTAGTGGAGAGAGAGCTGAGATGCTGTCAACTGTTGATCTGCATTCTTGCTACCTGAAGGTATTGGAACAAAGATAAATTATGTTTATGTGTATGTTAATTTTCATGTTCATGCATAATTTATGTACTGTGTTCAAATTGCATGTTGCAGAGGAACGCATATGGAGTTACTGGTTCTTGAGTTTTGCCATATCTCTCCTTTATGGCTATAATTTTATTTTATTTTTTAATTTTTAATTTCAACTTTCCATCATAGTTAGCCCATTCCTTGGGTCGTATTTATGAATTCTATGGATGTGAACATGAAGAGAGTACAAGTGTGTTTGTTTGAGGGTTTGTATTCTAGATGTGTTTTAAATAGTAAAATTGATATTTAGTGTAATATAAAAAATAAAAAATATATATTTGATTTGATGTCTTTTGGGGAAAAAATTTGTGAATAATAAAAATTAAATAAAATCACCCATAATGTATTTTCCTAAATTCTTCCAAATGCTGTATTGAGACAATTTAGATGATCTGTGCATCATTGTTTATAAATTGCAAAAATATTTAGGAAATTTCAAACGAAAGTTTGTTATTCATGCATTCTTTTGGTTATTTTGTGTTTGTATTTGCTACTTTAATTATTGTTCACTAAATTGTCCTCTCGTACAGGCTATATAAGCTTCCTATGCCAACAGTTTTCTTGCTACCCTCACCTAACTCAACCTTTTTCCCTATATTGCATTGAACCCTTCCTTCTCTTAGTCCGTTTCTTTTATGCAGACAAGCTGTTTTGGAGAAGACAAATGTTTTTCATTTCATAGTCCCCGCCCTCATGCTGGTGCTATGGTACACAATTTAGTAACAACCTTTTCTTGAGATTCAGAGGGTCTTTAAATATGCTAGTGAATGTCCTCATTTGTTTATTTATCTTCTGTAAGGCTATGCGTCTACAACTGCAAGTCTGCATTGCAGCAGAAGAGATTGGTGCCAAGGACAGATCTCCATATGATTCATTCTCATATAGAGGCATTCCTTCTTCAGTTTTGCCTCAGATTATAAGGTGACTGCTGGACACCTTATTCCACATTTCCTATATCTCATATTAGTTACACTACCCCTATTGTTTATAGAGATAATTGATGTATTTGATCAAAACAAAATTTAGTAGCTGAATCTTTTGTCATCTGTGATTCAATTCTCATTAAAAATAACCATCTGAGTCAAGTCAATCACATCAAACCATGCTTATCATGGGCCTCAATGCTTTAAAAAAACATATCTTAGTATTCGTCTTTGGAATGAAAAAGTTAACTTTGTTGTTTGCAGTTAGCAACGGAAACAAGATCAATGTAATCATCTTATGATTAATTTGGTTATATGAATGTGAATGTGAATTCATGAGTGCCTACTGCAACTGTATGCTTGCTTTTTCATGTGTATGAATGTGAATTTGATTGATACTATACTTAATTTGGTTGGTTCCTTGCAACATATTGAATTGATACGAATGTGAATGTGAATCTGTGAGTGCCTACTGCAACTGTATGTTCTCTTTGTTATGTTTATGAAGTTACTTTGTTAGGGCCCTCTTTATACATGCCTCTTTTCTGCACCCCTTTTATGCATTTCACGACGTCGTGTTATTTCAAGATCATTTCAATGCCACTTTTTAAATGGTATGAAAAATACGGCTCTGCTTAAGTTATTTTATATAGTTCCAGAATGAATTTTTTTTGCCAATTTGGCCCAGGCAGGTAGCCAAATGTGGCTGCAATCTTTGTTAGGAGAATGTTTCTTGCTGTTCAAAAAGTTGAGTTTTTTCATTGAGCTACTTCCTATAACTTTCGTATTTTGATTATGATATTTTGTTTCCCGATTTCAAGTTTGTATAGATCGAGTCCTGCATATGTGATTGTAAGATTATTCTCTCCTTTTGTGATATCTTATATGAGTTGGAATTAAAGGGAGAATCCTCTCCATATATGGATTGTAATGTCACTGGTTAATCATTGTGTACTTAGAAATGTTTGATTTTAATGTGTGACAGGAGTATTATTTGCCATTTGCTTCTAATTATTCCTTAGTGCCCTCAACTTTCGCAAAGAATGTGTTCATTCATTCCTCAAATCTCCACTTTTCCATAGACATGGTGTTTCACGCTTCTCTTGGTTGGTGATGTCTAGGTTGAGGACTGGAAATGTTGTTTTCAACTACAAATACTATAATAATAGGTTGCAGAGGACTGAAGGTAATTGGTTACACTCCTTCGGTGCTTCTATGTGGTTTGTAGCTTATCCTTTCAATTCCAGGTTTAGTGTATGCTATTTTCTTATGGTTTGTTGTATAATGTGCACTCTAAATCTGAATGAACTGCATTATGGCGTATAATCTTTCATGATTTCTTGTTCATCCTTTAATTTTGATAGAACACAGGGTAAAACAAAATCAATATACTTTATTCGTGATGCGAAGAATAAACCTGCAGAGGATAACCAATTTTCCCTACCATCAAGCCGAAGCCATCTCAACCCAAAAACCTAACAATCCCACTAATCTAGATGAACATCTCATTTATATTTGGCATAGATGGACCCCTTGTATATATGGGCCCATTTACATACTCAAGAAACATTAAATAAAAGACTAAATTACTCAAAAATAAAATAAAATAAAATAGAAGCCCACTCTTGAGTCATCAACCTTGTGCTACGATCCTCAGGAAATCTGCAGCATGTTAACTCCAAATTTATTCAAATTTCTATCTTTCTTCATCTAGTTATTGATCAGCTATGAATAGAACACGATCAAATAGGGTATCATTAGAATGAAGGAACTAGGTGAGGCTATTTTACTTTATTATATCTTAATTCTTGAGACCTTATCGAGGTGGGAAACAGTGGCATGGGTTGACATATAGCTGTACCTTCTCATCCTGTTGCACTTTAGTCATTTGCATCTAATGTATGTTGAATTTTCAGGTGTCCCTAGTAATAGTAAAAAGGGGTACTTTTTTGCATGTTATGTTTGTGAATAATACTGAACATCATGATTGTCTGTTTATCAATATCTCTAAATAGTCGTGAAGCACTTAAGCTGGTGCTTTCTATCTTGAATTATAAGTTTGTGCCGGATGCTCTTTGCCACACTGATTGTGAAATTTGGGTCATCATAACTTTTCTGATAATTAATTAACAGAGTGATGTGATTATCATTTTATGCCATTTTGTAATTTTCAGTTGCATGAGAGTTTCTTATTTGAATTGTTCCCGTGTGTAGCTTTGCACTTCATCCTGTCTTGTCGCTGCAAAAGTTCTAGAAGTGTGACTTTATATCTGTATATGCAGTGACGGAGGAGTTCTCATGTCCTTTTTGTTTGGTTAAGTGTGGAAGCTTCAAGGTATTGCTCACTTTGCTGTTTTTATATCTTTCAGTGGAAAGGTCTTTGGACTATGACTTGATATATGCATTTAATGACTTTCACAGGGTCTGAGATATCATTTGCCTTCTTTTCATGACCTCTTCAACTTTGAATTTTGGGTCAGTAAATATTTATTCTGAATGATTCGCCAATTATAGTAATTGGGTTATTAATTTGATTCTAATACTATTGTGTAGGTTACTGAAGAAATTCAAGCAGTGAATGTTTCTGTCAAGACTGATACATGGAGATCCGAGGTCAGTGCTGTAGTTATACAGTAGTATGAGAATAAGCAGCAACAGAAGCTTTGTATAAAGTACCTTAACTACTACACCCATGAGAATCTCGTATTTCATTGGTGAAACAATTATTTATATGCACTTACACACTGAAACAATTTTGGTTTTGCACCAAGTGATCCACAGAATCTACATTCATATAGATTAGATATTGATGCTGTTAAGGTTATGCGTGTAGTTTCGTAATTTCTTAATTGCACAAGGGAACATGATCATCTTTCCTGATGGATTGGTGCAGATTGTTGCAGCTGGTGTTGATCCTAAGCAACAGACATTTTTCTTTTGGTATGTTTTTGCCTTAATCTATTGTTTTATGTGAATGTATGAATTATTGCATATTTGATTTTTTATTTTACTATTTTTTGGCAATAATCGGTCTGTTACACAGTTCTAAAGCAGGAAGGCGCAGAAGACGCAAGAACCTAGTTAAGAGTACAAAGCATGTGCATCCCCTTGTATTTGATTCCGAATTGCCGGAATCTCTCAATGAACTTCGTGAAAAGACAGATGGTAAGTTATATAAATTGTGCCTGTTTTCTGGCCTCTCTCCTTACATTTATTCAGTAGGTTAAATCCTTTTCAAGAATGGTTGCTGCATTTATGATATTTATTAATTATTGTTTACCTATTAGCCTAGCCTTGAGTGTTCTTTTGTGTATTTGAGCTTCATCTTTCTGGGAACCTACTATGAACTGCTTCAATCCAACTTACATGAGTGAACAAATGAGATATCTTCAGTTTTTTTGTAGTTTATTCCCAGAGCCCGACAGCATATTCGTAAAAAACAGTTGTTTAAATCCTAATGCACCTATCTAGTATAGGTTCTTGAAGAGAATCATCCATTTGCTAGGTTATATCTCTTTGACAAAGAGTCTATTCGTATTTGCTTTGTTAAAATCTACCAAGCATGTGTGGCATAAAATGAATAAATAAATGTTCTGTCTCCCTTTTCACCTGTTTGAAAATTGTTGTGTTCAAAGTTATATTAGCTAGAATTTTCTGACACAATATTTAATCTATGCGTATATACTTATTAAGTGGGTAGATGCATTATATGGTTATGGAAAGTACATCTAACTTGTAAGTATGTATAGCAGAGAGCGGGGACCGTGACATATCCAGCCCCAGAGTTTCATCAGCTACAGCACATTCATATGCTGATCCAGAATGTGTGCAGTCATTACCTGGTAGCAACCTCACAGCTCCGGCACTGCTGCAGTTTGCGAAGACAAGGAAGTTATCAATTGAGCGGTCTGACTCCAGAAAGTAAGTTCATCGTTGAGGGGTTTATGTTTCTCAAATGGAACATATTATCAGATCTTTCTGATCTTTAAGTACCTTCAATTCGTTATAGTATGCTAACTAGTCTCTCTCTATAGTTGTTAGTATGACTTGCATAGTGATAGTACTTCTATACATATATTTGACAAACTTTCTGCAAATATCTAATCGAGCTGCTGTTACCATATTCAAATAGAAAATTTTAGGCCATATTACTGCAACCTTAGTCTTATGTTATTCATTTTGCCAGTAATCTTGAATACAGTTCTAACTGAATCTTGAATCACTTAGTAGTCTAAAATATGAAAACCCTCTTACGAATTGAATGATAGTCTCATTGATGATTTGCTGCATCATATGTAGCGAGGACTTGCCAATTATGTTGATGTTTCCTCTCCATATACTTCATTTAAGTTGCTAGACCTTCATTTCAATTCAATGTTTTATATGGGGACCCAATTGGATTTTCTGTTTGTCATTTCAGTCGTGCACTGTTGCAGAAGAGGCAGTTCTTTCATTCACATCGAGCACAGGTGAGTAATCTATTCATACATGACCGATTATATATTTCCATCTGCATACTATATTAACAGACAAAATTGGCAGTTTCTTTTTCCTTTTCCAGATGCCAAAAAATCTCTGTAATTTGGACCTGTTATATTTATAAAGTTCTGTTGTTGCAAAATATTGTTATACTGGGAATTTAATGATTTAGAACTATATGTCTTTTAATGCATGGTTAATGGAAGGATGAAATATAATTATGTTTCCTGAAATGTGCACATGCAGCATTGTTTGAGATGCATACTATTAGAAAAAACACTTCAGAAAATTACATGTCAATATGTCTGAAATGAATATTGTGATCAATACAGCCTATGGCCATGGAGCAAGTCTTATCTGACCGAGATAGCGAGGATGAAGTTGATGATGATGTTGCAGATCTTGAAGATCGAAGGGTGTGGCTTCTTTCAAACCCATTCATGTTTCTATTTATTCCGTTTCTCTATAATGTGCATATTAGATTATTCTACTTGCCTCTTGAGGTTCAGTTTGCTGTCACTCATGAATTCAATAAAAATCCAAACAAAAATCTTCTAAAGCAAACATAACCTAAATTGCTTTCATTTTCATTCGACACTTCAATGATATGTATTCGACTGAGCATGCTACTTGACTATGCATGTACAAGTGTGTAGAAGAGATCTGAGATGGTGTCATACATACATTCTTTTTTGTTCAGTCTCATGAACACCTTTTTTTTTTGGGGGGGATCATGAAAACATTCTTGATTGTATGAGTTCCTGCTGTAAGGGTTCTAGGGAAGTGGTCTACGAATTACATCTTGTTAAATTTTTTCTTGGCTATGATAGGAGCTTGGTAATGATTTGTGGCTTAATTTGAGCTAATAATATTATGCTTATATTATCAGAATCAGCAGTAATTTTTCAAATTAATCATCTCATGGACAGTGTGAGGCTAATTGTGTTGTTTTTGTTGATGTAAAACAGATGCTTGATGACTTTGTGGATGTCACAAAAGATGAGAAGCAGTTGATGCATCTGTGGAATTCTTTTGTCAGGCGACAAAGGTCAGCGATTCTTTTTATATGTCATATCTTTTAAATTTCTTGAGCATGGAAGTATTAAACTCACACGTACTATTCTTCATATATATTTATATCGAACCGTTTCCATTTATGCCGTATTTTCTATTTTGGTGACAGGGTACTGGCGGATGGTCATATTCCTTGGGCATGTGAGGCTTTTTCTAAATTGCATGGAAAGGATTTTGTCAGAACCCCAGCATTACTCTGGTATGCCACTTTATATGCTTTTTCGAAGCCAATAATTGTGGTCTAATCTATACACGCCTAAATGTTCATTATTTTATAGTTTCAACTACATATTGTCGATGTTCTAGAGTCCACCTCAATCTTTGTGTATCCTTTAAGCATATATATATATATCTGCCGCTAGTCTCTGTTTGTTGATGTTATTTGTTTGCACATATCATTGTCCTCCTTTTTGTTGAATTTCAGCATTGTAATTAAATTGTTGCGGTGCAGGTGCTGGAGACTATTTATGATCAAGTTGTGGAACCATGGTCTGCTGGATGCTCGCACGATGAACAACTGCAGTGTAATTCTGGAGCAATGTCAAGGACAAGATCAGCCACCATCCGGCCAGTAGTTTCACAGCCATTTTTAGACGAACTCATGCACATTCTTCTAACTGGAATTTAACTTGGAACTGTTGGCCATGCCAAAAAAACTATTACATGGTATCTCTTTAACATCTTGTCTTTACCGAAAATTCTTGGCTTTGGTTCTTGTGGATAAAAACTTTGGGACTGCAAGGGGCTTGTTTACATGGTGTTTTTTTTGGAAGGTTGGGGGGTTGGGGGTAAGTAGTAGATAAAGAAGTAATCACCAAGTAGTAGATTGGATGAATGTTTTATGAAAAGAAGTAATCACAAGTAAAGAATGGGAAAATGTTTTTTTGGTATGAAAATACTGAAAGTAATCACCAAGTACACGAGGGCTTTGTGTTTTTAGATGTTGTGATTCAAAATTCTTTGGATGAAAATATATAGGTTTTGGATATGAGATTTTATTTGAGATGATACCATGAAGGGATTTTGGTTTTGAATTTGAGCTTTTAGGGTTATTTTTTAGTTGGGGTTTTTAAGTGGTTAGGTTGTAGAATTTGGGCTTTTAATAATTATGTCGGATAGTAAAATTTTTTATTTGAATAGTTTTATGGGCTGATTGATTTGATAAAATGGAAAAATATTTTGTAAGATAAAAAAAAATTTATAGTTTGATAGGAATGCATGCTAGACATAAATATAAATTTAGAATTATCTACAAAACGCAAGACTTATAGTATAATGTATGTATTTTTCTTATGTAATTTTTTTTCTATTGCATTCAAGTAAGAGATTACTTAATGGTATGGAAGGTGAACTTGTAACCAGCTGATTTGCTTTTTGTGTATGATTTTCAATAAAAGGTAAATTAAAGAATTTGGGATTACAACATTTCCAACTCATCATACTCGATCCATTTTGCACTTTTGCATGCTCTTATGAAAGTGTGTTATTTTTGTAATTACTTTATTTAATTTTTACTACAAATGGATTTTTTGACTAATTTATTAATTTATTTTTAATTATATCTGTAACAATTTCTTATGTATATATAATTATAGTTGCAGTATATTAAATATTTGGTGATATATTTAACTTTTTATTAATATTTCTAATTGATTAGTTACTATAAGATTTATATAAAACTATTTCATTATTACCTTTCCCATATATATAGTGGTTAATTTAAAAATAAAAATTACTATTTCGAAGATTAAATATTGCTTTTATGATGTTTAATTTACTTTAAACTTTAAATTATGTTGAACTTAAAATTTTACTTCTTTATATTCCTTTCTTTGGGTTTAAATTTGACCATTTTAATGTTAATATATTTTAATCTTTTCAAACGCGTCGAACTTAAAACAAAATCAACTTTCTTTTCCCTTCTTACAACTTATAAATGGCTGATCCCTACAACTAATCTGACCATAAAAGATAAAAATAAAATAAAATAAACTGAACTACTTAAAGCTAATCAGCAACTAACCCGTTCCACCGTCACAACAACGACCAAAACATGTGTTCCATATGTCCCAATAAGATTCTTACAATAAATAAAATAAATATAGTAATTAAGTCTATCATAATAAAATAAAATAAAATAAAATATTTAAAAAAATAAAAAGGAGGAAACTCACAACTTATCAAGCCACGGAGGATCGTTGATTTTACCACTCCCAGGATCCGACGGCTCAGACACCATCACATCTTCCTCCCCATTTTTCCTCAACCTTTTCGCCCCTATCGAAACCCCAAATATCCTCGGCCAGATCCCCTCCTCCTCCGGCGGCCTTCCGCCGCCGCCCTCCGCCGCCGCCTGCGTCAGATCCGACGCTCCTCCCTCCGCCGCGTTCGTGCTCGCCTCGCCTTGATTCGGCGACGCGTAATTAGACATCATACTGTATATGTTACTGCACATGCTCCTCAATCGATCCAATTCCTGGCTAAGCTGCGAGTTCTCCCTTCGTAGCCGGTCGTTCTCCTCCAGAATACCCGGCGCCGACGTGCAGCTCCGGAGCGCCGCCGTGGACGGCGGCGGTGAGTTGGAAGAGAGGACTTGCTCGTCGCCGGAATTCGACGGGGAAATTTGGATAGCGGTTGGCGGCGGCGGTGGCGCCGCGATTGTTACTGCTGCAGCTGCTGTGTTGGGTGACGCCGCTGGCGACGGCGACGTCGCTCCGGCGGAGAGTTTCCGGCGTTGAATGTCTCTCAATAGTCCTCTTTCACCTCTTTGAAAACAATCGTTAGAGAATTCCCATCGATCGGGAACTACTTTCCGGAATCCCTGAAACATCATAACAAATAATCAAAGCTTCGGAAGAACACGATCGGTATTGTTTGAAGGTCGAGAGAAATTAAAAATTAATAATCGTAATAGTAATTGCATGTGAACACGCAACATCACTTTCGGATTCCTGAAACTACTGACGACAATTTTGAAAAAGGAGGTGATGAACTAAACTCGATCGAAAATGATAAATTGCTAGGAAAGCGATGGACTCACATAAGTGTTGAGTTGACGAACAAAGCTGGAGAAATTATTGTGTTTGAAGTATTTAGGCAGTAAATCTCTAGCGAACTCTGCAGGACGCCACACGATGAAGGAGGTTCCGTCTTCGTTCCACGAGATCAATTCATCCACGCTTGGATCGTCCACTAACTGATAAGTTTTCGTCAAAAATGGCGTCGGATTTGACTTCTGCGGCTCTCCGCCGCCGCCTACCAATGACTCTCCGCTCATAATCCAGATTCAAACCCTAGAACTATTAGAACAATAAAGCTGAATTCTTCAAGCCTTGCGAGGTGATTAATCTCACAAAATTACTATAAATCTAACTGCAATTTCTCAAATCCTGCTGGTAATGTAAGACACGAACACAAAGCTGCAAATTAAATATTAACAAAGTTCCATTTCTCTGAAAATTTGAAATACTGCGAAAGATATTCTAATTAACAGCTCAATCAACTTCACATGCGCCGAATCAGATTGTCAGATAGAGCCAAGCAATTCTAAACGGAACAGCTTAATCAAACAACGCTAAAATCAACTTCAAATATCAAAATCACATATACTCAATCGAACAGCGATCCAGATTTCAGTTCACCTCAAAAAGCCGAATCACAAAAAAACGCTCGATAATTTACATACACATCACCACAATCATTGAATCATCTCAGGAAAAGAACAAATCTGAAGCTAAACCATCTCGTTGTTACCTCAGAAGCAAAAAACTCCAAAAATAGCATCTCAAATCAATAACTGCATCTTTAAATCTAAAACACCGATTACTTTCCCCCGATATCAACGAACTCCATCAGGAACCACCAGATGAGCCAAAATCAGATGCAAAAAAATCAAAATATGCAACAGAAAAAAACCAGCAGCGGCTTTGTGGCGACGAGCGGCGGTTGTGCTTATCTCATTCTAGAAACTTCTTGTAGAGAGAAACGAAAGAAAGTGTGTGGAAACAAGGAATAAACAAAAAAAGACCACAAGCACAGAATAGTTTAATGCGGGCGGGAGGAATTATCGGGCAAGGCGTTCGATAACCGAACCGGGTCGGGTCGGGTCTGGGTGATCCGGCCTCTTCCAGAAGCTTCTTATGAGGAATACACTATCCTAGCTGTCAGATGCACATGCACACTCAGTAGAACGCGAGTCTCTGCATCAACGAGTTGTACATCTTTACTTTTGCTATCTTAGTCAAGTGTTGACTTAGCGTACAATATGGTAAAGCGTCAAATTACCGCGGGGAGGGAGCAGGGGCTCCATGAAATTCCAAAGTGCATTTGTTTGGTGTTGTCCAAAGTCTAATGCTTTACGGCCGTTTCGGATAAGGATGTTGATGCCTTTGGGTCAATTTCGACACGTGTCGTTTTTCAATAGGGCTGTCTTTTCCGTCTGAATATGGTATGCTGCATTAATTTGTAGTAAACGGTAATAATTTGACTTGTCTACTTTTGTTTGTTTAGTTTTATTTTAAATAGAAAATGTAATTCTCTCCGTTATTGAATTTTGTTCACTCAATGACACGAAAATAAAAATAAATAATAAAAAATATAAAAATATAATAATTTTTTATTTAAAATATAAACATAAATATTTTTTTTGTTATAATCCAAAAAAAAATAAGCATAAATTTAAATGACAACAGAAAAAAAAAATATATAGAATGTATTCTTTTACACTAGAAAAATATTTATTAAATATTATATTAAAATAATACTCCATTTTTACGTGTTATATATATTTATTTATTTTTTTTACATAGATTTTAGTATATTATATATTTTAATTATATTTTAAAATTTATAATTTATAATTTTTTATTTTAATTAAATTATTTAGTCATATTAATTAATATTTTTACTAATTACACAATATTTAAAACTCCGTGACTACGCTAAATATGGACAAAATAAACGAAGGGAGTAATACAATCCAACTAGAGAAACAAATACATTTGAATTCGACAAATAAAATTAACAAAACAATTACATATAACTCGTAACAATAGAGTATTAAAATTGAACTTTAAATATAAAGATTTAAACTTTAGCCAAAATCAAGCAAATCACAAGACAGTTGAAGTTTATATAAATGTGAAGAGTAAAGGACAGAACAACACAAACTTTATGACCACACAACATAATTAAGATAATGCAAATTACACTTCAACAAAAAATGCCTCTAAATTGTCCATTTCGGACACCAAATTTCAACATTAATCCTCCTTTTCTTATTTATTATAATATTGTAACAAATCTGAAAATTTTGTCTTTAAATCCTCACAGCAAATTCGATCAAGGCTTGGACTCATATCCCCACGGATTCTGGCTTGCCCATTTCCACTGGTCCCGGCACATTTCGTCGATCCCGTATTTCGCCCTACGTCGATCGAATATTCATACTTCAATATATAAAAAAATAATAATAATTTTATAGAGGTTTGAAAATTTTGAAAAAATAAATAATAAATAATAAATAATTTTAAACTCGATATGATATTTATAAATACCGGCAAAAGTTTCAAAAATATATAAGATATATGGGAATTTGGGGTAGGCTTACTTCCATCCCAACTCCCGGAACGCTTTCTCGGTCGAGGCATACACGGCTGTTGCATCTCCTGGCCTCCTCGGACACAGCTTGATCGGGATTTTCTGTAAGAAAACAAGCAAGGGATGTAATAATCTCGGACTAACTTCACGTATATATATCGTGGATTTTGTATTTATATGTGAAATACCTTCCCCGACGCCCTCTCGAAGGCATCCACCATTTCAAGGACCGACGTGCCGCGGCCCGTGCCCAAATTGTATGCCACACAACCTTAAAAATGAAACATTATATATACGATTTCTCAAAATTAACCAATTGAGGGGAAAAAAATATGACATTGAAAATCAAATGAAGTTAGGAGTACAAAAAACAAAAATTTCATCGTTCTATTGTCTTATTATTTATAAAATATTAATATTCTAAAATTTATATATATATATAAATAAATAGTTACATTAGGGCTACACGGGGAGTATTATATACATGAATTTGTATAACATGAAAAGATCTAAAATACAAATAAATTTAATGGGATAAAAAGTATAGAATGTGAACAACTAATTTATTTTTTCTTAATATATATATTTTTAATACGATTCTCTATACTTCATAATATTAAAAAACATTTTAAACTAAAAACACTAAACAAACAAACTCGTAAAACAAGGATAAATTTTTATGATCTACATAAGCTATAAATTAAAAGTAAATAAATAAAATTACTTAGTTGAGATAACGTTAAATAGTAAATGAGATGATATAAATGAAACAAAATTACCTATACTTTCATGCTTTAGAAGCTTTTCGAGTGCAACCACATGGCCATCAGCCAAATCAACGACATGAATGTAGTCCCGAATCTATATCAATACAATATTTCACTATTAGTAAAAATTGCAAATATTTATCGATAAAACATATAATAAAAAATATAATAGGGTTATATTAGCAAAAAATGAGCCAACATACGGCACTTCCATCGGGCGTCGGATAATCATGGCCGTAAACATTTAGCTCGGGCAATCTGCCGACAGCCACTTGTGTTATATAAGGCATTAGATTGTTCGGAATCCCCTTTGGATCTTCTCCGAGCATTCCACTTTCGTGGGCGCTTACGGGGTTGAAATATCTCAGCAAAATAATTCTCCACTTAGAATCCGCGACATGGAGATCGCGAGCAATTTCTTCGAGAAAGAGCTGTGATTTATGATCCAAAAAAGATTATTACAAATGAAATTTGTTAGCGGACTACTTCATTTCATCCAAGTCGCAAAGTGTTTAAAACAAACCTTTGTTCGACCGTAAGGATTCATGGCCTTTAATTCCATGTCTTCGAGGCACGGAATCTTGTCCGGTTGTCCGTACACCGTTGCCGAAGATGAGAATACCAACTGTAGATCATAAATTTCTTTTAGAAAAAACCAAATTACAAAAGAATAAGAAGAAAAAAAAAAAAAAAAAAAAAAAAAAAAAAAAAAAAAAGATGTGTTTGATTGTATCATTTTTCATCAATTTTTTATTATTTAATTTATTATTTTAAAAAAAATTTATATATATTCAGCCCAATTATCTATTTAAAATATCATAGTCAATAATTATTTAACTTAATATTAAGGATGGAATTGATTTTATTTTGTTATTTTAAAAGTTTTAAAGTGAAATCAAGTATCGTATTTAAAAGCCTTTTTATAATAATATAAAAAATGATAAATCAATTGGAAAAAAAAAATACATATTAAATAAGTACTTAATCATTCATTCTAATATACTATTTTAAATATATATAATATGAATATTTAAAAGTCTTGCAAAGTTAATAAGTTTAAAAAGATAGAATGAGTAGTAACATATTACACATTTTTTAATACTTATTTTTTATTTGTTTGTCAAAAATAAATAAATTAAATCATATTATTTTTTAATTAAAATCCTTAACTTAAAATTTAAGCCAAGTGAGTACTTTATGATTACTTGTTTAAAATATTTGTGGAGTAACGAACCAGTAACCAAAATAATTTATTCTTAGCCAGTTGGTGTCCGGTCCTTTTTGTCCGGTTCAATTTTAAAGAGAAATACCACATAAAAACTCTAACAAAATTCAATGTACTTAAATATTTTATTTTATTTTATAATGTTCCTCGTCTATATATTCATTCAAAGATATTTAAATTGAAAAGCATTAAAAGTGCAATCCAGTAAGATTTGGGGTATGTTTTTTTTATGGATTTAAAAAAAATTTAATTCAAGTTTGGAATTAAAGTATGATAAAATATTTTTGTAAAAAAAAAAAAAAAAAAATAATTCTAGAGTAAAAATATAGAATTTTGAGGTAAAAGAAACAAATTTTTAAATTTGGTGTTTAGAAATACTTCAGATTTTAAAGTTTAATAGTACTACTCTAGTTTCAATGAAATATTTTAAAAGAATTTTGTAGTAAAATTAAAAAATATATATTATATTAATCAATAAATTGAAAATAAAATAGACTATTTTGATTAGATAACTATATATATATATATATAAATAAATTAAGTAGGATAAAGAAAACTATTTAAAAGTATTTTTAATGTGTTAGAACATTTGATTTAATATTATTAATTGATTTATAAATTATTGTAAATAAATATTGAATAAAAAATAATTATTATTTTTTTTATATTTTAATTCTATCAAAATTAGTAGCACAGGCAAAATATTAAAAAAATATATAAAATAATTAATGTGGTAGAATTAAATAATATATAAATAAATAAAATTAAACTTTGAACATTACCTTCTTGCAGTTGTATTTAGCCATGATTTTGTACAAAGTGATCGAACCCACCAAATTGTTATCAAAATATCTCATCGGATTAGCCACGCTTTCGCCCACCGCCTTCAACCCCGCGAAATGTATCACCGCATCAAACCTATACATACACACACGCATACATATCACCAATTAAGTCAACCTTAATCTAATCGAAACACTAACGGTCACCTACTGTGTCTGCGAAAACAGCTTTTCCAGATCGTCTCCATTTCTGATATCTCCCTGCAACCATTAATCAAATTCAAATTAAAAAATCAGATACGTAGATTTATACGTATATATATATATATTTATACGCGTATAAATACGGACCAATTGGAAGTGGAGATTCTGGGAGAGCTCCGGGCCGACAAGATTCCTCAGTCGATCGACGGCGGCGGCGGCGGCGTTGTCGAGGTTGTCTATGATCCAAACCTTAAACCCCTGCCGCAGCAGCGCCGCCGCCGTGTGGGTTCCGATGAACCCCGCGCCGCCGGTCACCAGAATATTCCTTTCAATCGCCATCTCCGCCGCCGCTGCCGCCGCCGATTGTAATTTTTATCGCTGAATTGAATTATGCCTGAATTGGTGGTGATATATATATATATATATGTAAGTGTATGTATATGTGGATTTGAATTTGGGTAGGTGAGTGGGTGATGAGTCAGTGCAATATTTTGCTTACATTCCACGTCATTAAAAGGGTAACTGAAATTAATTACTTCCTCAGTCTAGAATTATAATCCGACTCGAAAAATTTAAGAAATATTGATATTATATTGATAGTTGATAAAAATTATAGTTAAATTTTTTTTTTGTCATTGTGAATATATTATTGTAAAAAATAGTGACAATAAATGATAAATAAAACTGTTGTATAACGCTGAACGAAGTATTTATTTTTAATCTATTTAAAATTTAAACAATCATTAATTTGATTTCTAAAATTATAGTAGCGTTTTGGTCTTCGGATTATTTGGTAGTAAGGTTTGTTTCGTGTATATACTTAATCTGACTGTACATCTATTTTATAATTCTATCTATTTTGTAATCTAATAAGTGCAATTCAACAATAATACACCTTCTGTCTTGGATTAAAGTATTTTTTTAAAAAAATATTTTTATTAGATTAAAAAAAACAATAATATTATATTAATCAGTAAGAGTGTAAAAAATAAATAATAATTTGTCCTGAAAATAAATAATTTTTTTATAAGAAAATAAAAATACTTTAATATTTAAATATAATTATTTTTACAATAATTAAAAATAAATACTTTAAAATAAATAGACAAAAATACTAGTATATTATATTGAGACAAAGAGAATAATAAAAGAATGTAGGTATGTTTTTTTACCAAAATTTCCTTAAATTTTACTATTTGAATTTTATATTTTTTCGAAAAAAAAAAATATTTTTTTTTTTTTACAAAACATTCCATCAAATCAAACTCAAACCAATTTTTCCCAAACTCAACCAAACGAAACATACCTGTTTCATTTAGAATTGTTTTTATATTATTTTATTGTAGTTATAGTAATATTTTAATTAGAGTCATTAAATATTTATATATTTAAATATTAGCTGTAGGTATTGATGTGTAAATTAATACAATAAAAAAATATACATTAAAATACAATTTTAATATTTTATTAGACTCTATTTATATTTATATTTATATTTATATTATTATTATTATTATTATTTTATAAAAAAAATTTTAAAAGGACTTTTTTTTTTACTGTGTTTTAGAATCTCATTAAATTTTGATCTAATCACAAAAAAGTTCTACATTTTCATCTTGACGTTTTAATTTAAATTATTTTTATGTGTAAAAAAATAAAGATAATTATTTAATTATTTTTTTAAAAAAAAAATTAACGTGGAACCCGCAATTAAATTTGTAGATATATGAGGAGTGTGGATAGAGATCCTTTTAGCAACTCAAGGAGGGTATAGATAAGGACATAGCTGGAGGGGTTATTCTTAGAAGGTCCCTGGACCTCCACGCCAGATAAAAGTTTGCCGTTTAGATTGTATTAACGGCCCGATTTGAACATATCGCTGAAGTCCCAGGATCTTCTAAAAATAAGAGGAATCAGGCTGTTACGCGTGAAGTCTGGTCTTATCCATGCATCATCATCGTATCTTCCGTTTCTCGGAATTAGTAATTAAGATGAAATCTCTAACTCTATATATATATATATATATATTTTTTTTTTATTTTTTTTTTAATAGAATTTAGCATAAATATAATGAGTACTCTCTGTATTAAAATTATAGTTTAGTTATGTTTGACATATAATTTAAGAAATATTGATATTATATTGTTAATGGATAAAAAGTATAAATAAAAGATTTTTTTGTTTGTATTAGTGTAAAAAGTAGTGACAATTGTATAATAATAATAAAAAAATAAATGTAGTTTTATAGTGTTATAGTTATTTATGAAAATAAGACTATTGTTTTAAGACGTACAAAAATGGTAAACAAAAGTATTGTATTGGAACAGAGGGGGTATATAATTAAAAATGTATTTCTAAAAATAATTAATTTATAATATAAATTATTATATATTAGGTTTTAAAAAATTATAAAATTAAATTATAAAAAATTAAATTAAAAAATTTAAATAAAATTAAGATTTGTAATTATTTTCAAAAAAAATAAAAGTAACGTAGATGTGAAATAGACAGAAATCACAATGTGGACATGCCAGGTGAACAGAGGAAATATAATTTGAATTTTATATTATTACAAAATAAAAAACTATGAAAAATATATTTATTTTTAAATAATATTTTATACTAATGTAATTATATTTATATATAAAATACTGATATAAATATTCAAAATTCCATAAGTAAAAACCAAATGAATACTTGAGGGTTAGAGGTAGTATATTCAATTGATACGAAGAATATTAATTTATCAGAATTCATAAGATAACTGAAAATTTTTGGATTCATAGCAGTTAGCATTCATGTTATAGTACTGTATTTTAATATTTCAAATCTCCGACCCCTCAGGTCACCTGCCACACATGGTTCGTTTAGTGTGACTTTTTCGTTTGGTCTGATTTGCAGGGTATTAGATTCGGCCGAGGATTTACCGAGAATTTACCTGTGCGTACTTTCGGATAGCGGCTGCAGATCCCATGTCATCCAAAAAAAAAAATATGGAATTTTCGAATATTTTCTAATCTTGCTCCTGTAATTAACTTCCTCGGGTACAGATTTAAGACTTTCTTTACACTAAATTTTTTAATTTTTGCTACTATTTATTACTAATATTTCTTCAAAAAAATAAATAATATCGTATTGGTTTCTCTCGCTTATGGCCTAGCGGGCCTTCAGCAGGAGACTCGCAACATATATATATATATATATATATATATATTAATAAACAAGTATTTCAAATATATAACTTTTTTATTGGTTAGGTTAAGATAAATAAAATTATTATTATTATTATTATTATTATTATTATTATAGAATTGGTATTGTGTTATTTCTAAGCTAAATCTTATGTCACTTTTTTGGCACAATATTAACTTCATAGTTCAAATCATGACAACTTTTTAATTTTTGGTAATGATGGTGCAATGTTGAAGTAACATATGTAGTGAAGTTTTATACCATTTCTAGGAGAATTCTTCGATTACACTCAATTATATATAAATTCAATTATAAACATGGATAAATAATAAATACCCAATCAATACAAAATAATAATAAATTGATTAATTAATTAATAGAAAATATGTTACAACTGAATTATCTTGGATGCAGTCACCCCACACTTTTATATTAACACAGTTTTTTTTTTTTATTAATATTACAAATGAAAATTATTGGGCACTTCCTTGAAGTACATTTTGTTATTTTCATCCTTCCAAACACAATATATAATAATATCCTCAAATTTATTTTTATACACATCAATAAACTATTTAAATACAATTTTTAAACTCTACACAAAAAATAAAAAAATAAAAAAAAAATACTATATATATATATATTTTTTATTTAAAAAAAAATACTGAAATAATACCAAATCTTCCAAACCTAAATAGAGTCTTAATATGCTGAATGAAAAATTAGCACTATCTTTAAAGCATAAAACAACACAAATTTAGTGTTATAATTTCCCTGTTCTAACATATTTATAATATAAAAACAGTACAACCTTGTATTTAACAAAAATATTATGTTAAATAAAAACATATATTTGATGGTTCGCCTACTTTGACTTGTATTGGGCTTAATTCGTAATACCTGGTGCACATTTTTTAGTAACGACTGCAAATTCCCACGTAATAATAAAAAAAAACAAAAACATATAACTCATTATGTTAAATAAAACATATAGTTATATTATATGAACACACCGCTTGTGCTGAATTCACCTGTTGCTGCCTTTGATTACAATATGTGCTGACGGTCAATTCATGTGTTTGCATTTATATTTATATTTATAGCAAAATAAAATGAACAAAACATACCATAGTAAAAAATAACGATACAATCTATAGCAACACAAATAGTACATTCACGTGCCTTTGTTTAACACTTCATGCCATCTCTCCCATTCCCACTCAGCACATTTATCCGGTTCCCGTTCAGCACAGTAATTGCTACCAATTGTTAAACATTAACTTAAAATGCACTTTTATTGAACTAAGACTAATAGTCTAATACCATTTCTAAATATATATATATATATATATATGCACACATACATACACATAATTCAGCATCAAATCAAATCAATAGAAATCCGAACGAACAATCGCAGCATTCTCTGCAATTTCCAGCCATTTCAAGACACCACCACCACCACCTACACATTGCATTACATTGTTCTCGCACCAAAATTTTGGATTGGATTCACAGATTCCATCTATCTGTATCTACACACATATATATTTATATCTATATATATATATCGAAAATTTTAGATTTGAGGTCCTCCCTATCACCTATCTCCCATCACCAACACAGCCTACATAACCCTCCATCATTCATCATCATCATCAAAGTAAGGCAGCAAGGAAAAAAAGATGTTAGTTACTTCATGCCAAACACATACCCAAAACACACCAATTTCCCATTCACAAAACTACCCGAATTCTCCTGAAGAAGAAAACTAACCTTATGTTCAGTGTTGTGCTACCGGTTGAAGTCTGTGGGGTTTGCAGCCTTCATGTTAGATTGACTGTTGAAGCCACTGCACGTCGCGAAGCCAGTGTTGCTTTGTCCAGCAGATGGCGGGTGTGGACTGCTGGGAAACTGGCTGTTTTGTTGCTTGAAAGATTCAGCTTGGGGGAGGAAATCGATCGGGAAGTTCATGGCTGCATTGGATTGAGAAGGTTTTAGGGTTCCTTCTGCCTGGTTGTACGGTCTGGGGACAGGGTGGAATACATTTTGGAGATTGACAGGGGCTTCTGGTTGATTGCTGGGGGGGCTGATGGACTTAGTGAAGCACGCCGTCAAATTCAGATCCTCTATTGATATTTCACCCCGGAGAGTCTTGAAGGCAAATTCTAATGGATCCGACCACGACTCCCCGAAGTCGTAGAGAAAGAGTGGCTCTTGCGATAATAGTTTTCCACTGTCCGGCTGCTTCTCAGTAATGTTTCCATTGATTGGATCATCTGGGATAGCTGAGGAAGGCTTTTCCATAGGTTCGAGAGTTTCTGTTCTTACAGGTGGCGATTCGGCGTCCACTTTTTCCTTTTTTGCCAGCTCGGTATCGGGTGGAAGAGGGATGCTGGTTGATTCCTCAGGAGATGGATCTACTTTAATACTCCCAGAAGATTTCCGAGCAGCGGCTCGGAGGGAACGCTCGCTCAAACATGGGGAAGGCAGAACTTCTGGTTCAGATTTAGCAAGCCTTTTAGAAGCTCGTAATGGTAGGCTTGAAGCCTCTCCTTTCTTGGATTTTCTTGATCCCTGCCGTGTTCTATCAGCTCGACTATCCACCCGGTTCTCTGATGGCTGCTGCTCAGCTAGCGAGGAATCAATCACATCCGTTATTCTCAGGTCTTCTTTGGCAGCTTCAATGATTGGTCGGCAATCATTTTCCATTTTAGCATTTTTAATTGAATTTTCAATGAAAATGTTCTCTCTGAAGGAGTCAATTCCGTCGGAAGTAACTTTCACGTGATCCAAAACAAGGCTATCTTGTGTCTTTTTCAGGATCTTGGTATCTGCTTCTGCACCTGAAGCACATAAGTAAATTGTAGTCAGACATAAGTTCTTTTCTTTAAGAGTGATAAAAAATTCATCGAGATTATTTAACATTAACTTATCTACTTTTAGATAGAAATTTTTGTACCATCATTAGGCTTAGATTCTTCACGGCGTATATGGTCTTTCTTCTGATTGGATAACTTGTCGGTAGCTGGATTTGAAGACTGCATATAGAAAATTTAGCATTCATGGATGAATGGGCTAAACATACTTACAAGCTATGTATATATATATATATATATAAAGGGAGACTAATCATGCAATTCATTGCCTTCGAAATTTAAACAAAATGATGAATTTGTAGACAAATTTTTATCACTGCTTAACTTAATCAATGAAGCCTTGCCATAATACTATAAAAGAAACGTATCATGATAATTTTCCATTCAAGGATCGGAAGAAAAATCAATTCTACACCACAATATAAACTCATTTTTCACTACACATCTCTCAATATGCAGATTTTGTGTTACCTAAATATGCCATTTTCACCGAACATCTTTGCAATCTTCAATGAGAATTGTACAGCTATATACCTAATAAAAGCCAGCAAAAAGTGTGTACAGAAAAGATGACTGAGTGAACAACTTTACTCACATGAATTTCATTCGTAGTTGCCTTGAGATCTAAATCCATTTTCAGTGGTCTGCAAGCACAGCTTGCAATATCATTTGTTTTCAGATATCGCAAGGCATCTTTCTTTGAGCGAAACCCATAACCACTGGCTGGATCTATGTAAAACTGCAGATATAATACAACATTTCAGGCTATGGTATGTCTTACTAGGAAAAAGAGTGTGTAAGTTTACTTACTGAATGTTTAAATCAAAAGTAGATAAGTGAACTATATAGAGGATTAAAAAAAAAAAAAAAAGCGCAACCATGGTACAAGATAAGTACCGGATCCTTTCTAACTCTGCCTCCGGATTGACTCGTCCTGATTTTTTTTATCCATCCTGAAGGCAGATCTTCATCTGCTGCGATCTCAGTGGCAACCTATACAACCTCTAAATGTCAGAGGCTGATTTCATGAAACATAGAATTAGTACAGATAATATCACCATACAGACCATCTTGAACGAGCAGCTCTTCCTTTTGTGCTTTGAAGTGGAGCCAGTGTCTGCCTGGGACACACATTGTGGAGGTTCAACCACATTCTCAACCTGAGAAAGAGAAAAAAATGACAACAAATGATTTCGTAATTGTAAAAATAAATAACATTTTATATTTCCCATCAAAACTAATGAAAAAGTGCCACATTAATAAAAGGCGGCAAACCAAATTACAAATTATTAAAATTAAATACATAACATAGACACTGAAATATTATACCATGCATGCAATTTCCATACCTTGCAGTGTACCACTAACAGAAAGAAAACATGATTATAGAAGTGTATATTACAAAAATTATTTAGAATCAAAGTCTTTACTTTATTTTGTGAAGTTGTGTTTGCAGAATGATCTACAGAGTTCAAGTATCGAAGGACCTCTGGTTTGGAATAAAATTTAGTGCCAGATGACAAGTCCGTATACACCTGCACAAATATAAAAAAAGAGGAGTCAATAAGAACTCCACCAATTATCTCAACTTTATTTAATTAGTGTTGAGGACAAACTGATGTGCGGTTAGGTCTATCAGAATAATTCAGCTCATTATAACATATAAACGCTTGCATTTGACACAATAAAGTTTTTTAGGACAGTGTGGAAAGAGAGCAAATAGTAAGGGAAAAAAAAAGAGGTTTATATTTACCAAATGCATTAAACAGAAACATTACAAAACTAGTACCCAATCATGTGCAGGGAGGACAAAGCAATAGACTGAAACTTAGATTAATGATATTTGGAATCTACAAACATGATAATGTAAATAATTATTTGGCATCTCTGACACTATGGACACACATTGTGATTGCAATAACTCCGTGATATATCTAGTATCTTAATTCAACTTTTTTGAATGTCATCCGTTTGTCTGTTAAATGTATCATTATTACATGATCCCTAAAAAGGACAACATGAAATTGAAGATGCAATTAATTGAAACTGAGGCAGAATGTCTAAAGAAAATGTAGGGTTTGTTTATTTTATGACAATTTTCATACACATTTTTTCCAAAAAAGAATAACATACTACACACATTCATTATTTTTATATTATTTACACAATTCTTTGTACTTCACCTAAATTTTTTTCCTTCAAACCAAAACACAAAATGAACACACCAGTAACCACTTCATTTATAAATTTCAAACCTTATAAGGCTTTCCTTTCAGTGAGCCACCCTTTCTGATCTTTTCCTCCATTATCCATCCCTCAGGCAACCATTCAGGAGCATTGTTTGTTTTCCTTGAGACCTTCATCGATGCAATGTAATTATGTAAGGCAAAACAAAATACATATATTGATAGGCTATGCAAGATCATTTATCATAAAAACATACAGCATCATTCCTTTCATTGGTGGAGAGACCATCGTCGTCGCCCCCTTCTAACGTTTGGGGTGCACTATGGAGATCACCGTCAGCTGTCACACTGCATAAAACATCCTTCTTGGAATAATGCTTTGAAGCTGTTGCATTGTTATAGTAGTACTGCAATAATAAGATAAGTAAAATAAAAAACCACGATAATTTATATTTGTGCACACGAATGATAATTTCCCCTTAACAAATCATAACATTTAGAGACATCCATTAAGTGGCCTATCTAGTACTTTCAAATTTCAATGTCAATGGATAAAAGTATATATTGTTGGATATATCAACATATATCAGTCGTAGTTCCTATTATAGAACATAGAAAAAAAGAGGGAAAGGTGCAACTCAAAACTACTGTACTCGAGCGAAAATTTTCCACCCAAATATATCTAAAGGTGAAATCTAAAATCTGAAATGTTATCACCATCATCATCGATACATCTCAACCCCTGTTTCACGAGGGATTTTTCCTTTTTCAGTTTTTTTAACTAGCAAAGATAATGTGTACTTAGCTGAATAGAGAGGTAAGATTGCATAGTGTTCATACCTTGCGTGGTTAATTTTAGCTAAGTACATAAAGTAATATATCAAAACAAGAGACAATAAAAAGTTAAATAGGCTTAAAAAATTCGGTGCATTATATTTCCATTGTCTTTTCATCTTCCACCACCTCACCCACACAGTGGCTCAATAATTAACAGGCAAAAGAGAATGCAGTCCAAGGAATGATCAAAGATCTGAAATCTTTTATGTGCATTTGTCCATTTGAGAAGCGACAAGCTCATTTATCTAGAATGTTCATATCTGCTGTTTTTATCAAAAAGCAACAATAAAACGTGTTGCTTTTGATTCTGTTATACCAAAGATATGATTCAGACACAAATTTAATGTACAGATTCGCTAAATCAGACATGGACCCATGCCAGGAACATGGGCAACCACTGTAGAGATCGGAAACATTCTAAACTAAATGCATTCAATGAAGTCTTAACTTTCTAACAAGTGCACCTTCATGCACTTCATTAAAGGCAGAAAGCATTTCCACTTTTTCATTGCTCTCAAGGTCTAACTAAGTCGGTAGGAGTTTATTTACTCGTTTACTTCTTTATAAGGCATATGGCCAAAACACCTGCCCAGTATTCTGCAAACACGTGGTACAAGATACAGTACATATTTGACTTATTCAAGCCTCAGAAACCTTCAACTTTCCAAATTAGATGAACTAAGATCAAAGATAAAATTTCTCACCTTTCTCACAGATCTATGCAAATGAAGAATCAAACAGAAAAAATTCACATTGTCATTGCAAAGACTGTTGGCAACTATAGATATTATATATATTATAGAATGAATGCAGAATAAACAGATAAGTTAAATCTTAATGGTTTCATTACTGTCTCGTTTATCTAGATGCAAACAACCTATTTCACAAAGAATCTGAGCAGGCTTACAGACTGCAATTGAAGTTTTAGAAAACTTATGCAATTGCCTACAATAGCAACCAACCAACAGTTTAGCGTTCCAAGTCAAACAATTAAAATCACATAATTAGGTCAATCCATCTCATCTTCAGCCACACCAAGTAGAAGAACACACGAAACACAAACTACAGGCCAACAGCGCACAAAAAACCTAATTGCCCATAGTTTCTTCCATACAGAACACACGCTCTCTCTCCTTTTCTCTCTCCCCCTAAGATGCAATTCCAAAATCTGCTAAGCAATTCAGCAACTGAGTGAATCCCCAACAACTCTTCAATCCAATTAAGCTCGCAACACTTAATAATGATAAATAAATAAATAAACAAACAAATAATATATATATATATATATATAAATAGACGACGACGAAGAAGAAGATGACCTAATCAAATCACCTTGATTTTCCTGCCATTTTTGTATTTGACCTTCTGTGTGAAGCCCGGAGGTAACCAGTCAGGTGAGCTCCCCGCAACCATTCTCCGAAAACCGAAGGCCGAGATTGATACCCTGAGTCCGGAAGCTACAACAAACCTCGAAATTAGCCAAAAAATTCGGTGCGGTGTAGGGGAACGAGGGATTTTATAGGGCAAAAAGGAAGAGGAGTTTGGGTAACACGTGTTGATGAATGTGGGTTGAGCTGCTGACACTTTGTCAAAATCTTCCTTCACTTCAACCTCTTTTCATACGGTTTATTCAATTTCGTCAATGTGTGTTTTTTATTTTTGATCGGAAATATGTGTGTTTTTTTAGAGCTTTATAGTTTGACATAAAGGTTTACTTCAAGAGTGTGTTTGTTTGAGAAATTGATTTTTTTAAAAATATTAGATTAACTATTTTTTTATTTTTTTTTACATGAATGTGTTTTTTCATCAATTTTTTTTTTTAAATTTAAAATATATATATATATTTACATGAATGTGTCTTTTCATCAATTTTTTTTATAATTTATCTATTATTTATAATTTTTTATATTATATTAAAAATAATTTTATATTAAAAATATTATATTAATATATATTGTCTTCGTTCCAATACAGTAGTCTTATTTATATTTTTGTCCGTCCCAAGACCATAGTATAAATAATCATATTACCATCATAATTTTTTATTTTTATTACATAATTATAACTACTTTTTACACTAATACATTTACAAGCTAAAAAATATTTTTTACTGATTACTAATATAATATTAATATTTTTTAAATCTCGTGTCCAACCCAATTAAGACTATAATTCTTGGACGGAGGGAGTATTTAATTACATCGTACAATTATTTAAATTCAAAATTTTTATAATTAAAATATCATTCAAAAATTCAAAGTGAAACAAACTCGCTTTGAAAAAATTAATTTTATATTTTCATATTAGCATCTATTTATATCAAAGCGTATAATTATTTCAATTTAAAATTTTATTATTCAAATTCTAAATATAAAATCCAAACCCTTAAAAACAACACACCCGGTGTATTGTAGCATAATAAAAAAATAAAATATATTAGTGAGTAAATGAAACATTTGATTTTCGACACAAAAATTTAAGTGAGTAATATTAACTATAATAAATTAGAAATTTTATTTTTTTTATTTGAATAATGTTGTTTGTCGAAAATATTTTGCTCACTTTCTATATAATTTACGATGTTTTCTATCCGATATCATGTCTTGGCTATATTGAAAATTAACGTCCTATGAAATACACAAAAATGTGTAGGAGATTATAAAAAATGTAAACACCTACTAATCTCTTAAATACTCTTAAATACATAAGAATATTTAAAAAATTAGAAAAAAGAAACACCTGTTCATCTATGTGGCCGCGTGTAAAAGTACGAAAAACCCAAAGAAATATCATGAGAAAACACAGGGTGTGTTTGGTTGACGGTTCAAATGTAAGTTGCCAATTAGGTTGAAGATAATTTTTTCTTTTTTTTTTTTAAGTAATAGTTGATATATAATATAATGTAAATATATATCTATATACATATATCTATCTGTGATTAATTTTATAAAAGAAATTGAAGGATTTTGAATATATATTTTGTTTATTAAGAAGAAATATATAAATACATAGATCTATCTTGAAAGGTTATCATTTTTCATTTTCGTCAGTCCCAAAACAAAATTACTATTTTCTAATTTAATAATTGTACTACTTACTTGACGTAATAAATATCATTTCGACTTACAATATATTACAAGGGTATTCTTGTTTTTTTTATTACAATCCAATATAATATTAATATTAAAAAATCTAAATGCAAAAAGCAAACGCCACAGTTCCGTTGAGTAAAAGATTTTTGGAAAGTTATATGTAATGTAATATTTGGGAAAAGATGTTGGAATTATAGTACAACTTAAATATAATACTTGTTAAAAACAGTTTTTGAAAATCTTCATATATGTATTAAATTTATATATTTTTTTATATATTTAGTTACACAAAAACAATAAGATTTAACAAATAATTCAAATACTCAAAACAAAGAAAATAAGTCAGCAATGTTCTAAAAACTTGTCTATCATACTTAATTTATAGGTTCAAAACTCTTAAAAACAAAAATATTGTCGATCAAGATAATTTTTCAATGATCTCATTACTTTCGTTTATCTAGATTAAAATAACACATAAAATTGCCAATAATACTCATACGATGTCCTAAGCAATTTAACACGTTATATTTTATATAGAAAATCAAAATAAAAACAAAAATAAATGAACTAAATATAACTTATAAAGAATTAAATAAAAAAATGTTTCACAATATTTTATTTTCATTCTTTTTATTGTATTATTAAAATCACAGGTGTATTTATTTTGTGAAATAATATTATTTTATGTGAAACATATAAAATTACTTATATCATAAAATAACGATGATATGCAATTTATGATTTTTTTTTTTCAAAAATATTAATAAAAAAATAAAAATATTTCATTCAATATATATTTATTATCATTATTACACACCATTAACATCAATTTTTAATTCCCTTGAAATTTCTATAAATGATCTCTAATGAATAATGACATTACACATTTAAATATAAATATTCATTGACCCAAAATAGAATAAAATTGTTGGACAAAAAAGTATTTTCATTATTAAAGTTAGATATTTAAAATAAAAGTTAATTACGAATGTAATTTTTTTTTTAATTTTTGTCAAATTTCTTTTTATTCTTTACACTCTTTTTTTTTTTTTTTTTTTTTTTTTTTTTTTTTATGGCGCAAAAATTTGCTGTGGTCGGATTTCAACCAATAATTTCACTGTCACACGTCCAACATCTATACCATCAGCCATCCCTTACAGGACACACGTGATTTTTAAAACTTCAATCTTAATTTCTAAATTTATATCCCATAGCACACAGGATGGTGTAAGATTAATACCGATAGTGTTATATTTTTTAAAACTCCGATCTCAATTTTTTACGATTCTACTCCCTCCGTCCTACATATTTTGGGCGCATTAAAGTGGATATAAGAATTTAGGTAAAATATGATTAGTAAGTAATTAAAAAATATATTAGTAAACATAATTATTATTTGATAAAAATAATTATAGATTAATATTAAGGTAATTAAATAATTTAATTAAGATTAAGAAAATAATAAATTATGATATTTAAAATATTATTAAAGTATATAATTATTATTTTTTTAAAAAAAAAATTATGTGAAAGAAGAAAATAAAAAATTAAAGACAAAGTGGCAACGGAGGGAGCATCTTATTATAATTATTTTAATATAAATTTAAATTATATATATATTTTTAAAGTCAATAAAAAAAAAAAAAAAAACCAAAAAAAAAAACAGCCGTAACATTACCCCTACCGACCTTATCCAGCGTCCGTCAAACACATCCACCAACAGTCGCCATTGCCGTGGCTGGCCAGAAAGCAGAGAGGCTCCTTACCGGAGGAGAAGATGACGCTAAAGGTGTACGCGGATCGGATGTCTCAGCCTTCCCGGGCAGTTATTATTTTTTGCAAGTAATTTCTCTTCCTCCTTGGCTATGAATTTTAATTCAATACATACCCTAAATTCAGCCACGTCTAAGACGCAAGAGTGAATGAAGGGGATGAACTAACATTCAGGGGAGTTATTCGATGTTTTCATTTGTGCAGATTGAATGGAATAGAGTTCGAGGAGGTGAGAATCGACCTGTCCAAGCGCCAGCAGTTAACCCCTGCGTTTCGAGGTTTTGCAAATTTCAATTGTAAGCTGTCTTGATGAGATACGCCTTTTGTTAGTTTAAATTTTAACGGTTTTCCACCATTGCAGAAATCAATCCCTTGGGGAAAGTGCCTGCAATAGTGGACGGGAGATTCAAACTTTTTGAGAGGTCAATGAAACTTCAGTATCTCATGGAATGGCACTGAATTGAATTTTATTGCAGTACTTCTGATTGATGAGTGTCTAAATACTGGAAAACAGTTTCAACTTGTTTCGAATCATTTCGTAGAATCAATTGAACTCAATGCTACAATTTAGAATTTCAATACTTCAACACTCTTAGATGCAACTGTGCAAGAAATTTACATTAGACACTTTTGTGTTTGCTCACAAGTTTCTTGATTGTATTGCAGTCACTCTATTCTGATCTATCTGGCTTCTGTGTTTCCTGGAGTTGCCGATCATTGGTGAGTTCCTCTGATTATTCTATTATTCGCCATGGCAAGGTTTCTCTTTATATCTGGAAAATTATTGTACCCTAACTCCTCATATGCACTTTTCCTGGTAAAATTTTATGTTAATGTTATTGCTAAATTCCAATATTGTTTTGCTGGTTAATCGTTTAGAGGGATGTTATTATTGTGTTACAATTTGCCTTGTTTATATTTTCTTGAAACGGAAACCTTCGACTAAATCTGTTTTTTTATCATAGATTACAGAAAAATGGTCAATGAAATGTGCTGAAGATGTTCTTGTTTGTTATGTCAATGAATTATGAACACTGTCTTATCTCTATCAGATGCATTTTTTTGTTCATGACACCGAAGGAAGGTTCTTTTTCATTTCAAAAACTTATAAACAGTTATTCATGTTCTGCCTGCTAAGTTCTTCAAATTTTTAGGTATCCTGCTGATGTTTTCAGAAGAGCAAAAATCCAATCTGTGTTGGATTGGCATCACGGAACTTTGCGTCGTGGGGCAGGTGATTGTGTGCAACCCATGCAAGATTATTTCAAAATAAATTTCATCGAACATTGCTGTGATATCAACACTGATAAATTACAAATTAATAAATTTATAAACTTACAAAAGTTTTTCCTCGGGCTATAGTCCATATTAATCTGCTTATACACAGCTGAATCTGTTTCTATTTTCAGCTGGATATGTACTCAATTCCTGCCTTGCACCGGCTCTCGGGTTGCCTCTGAATCCGGTGGCAGCTGCTGAAGCCGAGAAAATCCTTTCAGCCTCTCTGTCGAAGATCGAATCCGTCTGGCTCAAGGGAAAGGGACGCTTTTTGCTCGGTAGCACCCAACCTTCCATTGCTGATCTCAGTTTAGTGTGTGAAATTATGCAGCTCGAGGTAATAAAATCTGTGCTTTCGCTCACTTTCTATATAATTTACGTTGTTTTCTGCCCGATATCATGTCCTGGCCATATTGAAAATTAACATCCTATGAAATACATAAGAATGTTTAGAAAATTACAGAAAAAGAAACAATGTACAAACTCCCATAGAAATATGAAGAACCCAAAGAATAATCATGAGAAAACATAGGGCGTGTTTGGTTACAGGTTCAAATTTTTAGGTTGGAGATAATTTATTTATGAGGAATTTTGAATATATATAAAAAATATATTTTGTCTATTTAAGAGACATATATAAATAAAAGATTTTGAATGGATCGTATGTATTGTAATATTTGGAAATAAACGTTGGGATTATAGTGCCAACTTAAATACACAATAGTTAACCGATAGTTGTTAGAAGCAGTATTATGAGAATCTTAGATAGATGATTGTTTAGTCCGTTGTTTGTGCAAATTGTTTGGGATGATGAGGCCCTTATCTATCGATCATGTCTTTGTACAGCTTCTTGATGAGAAGGATCGGGAAAGGATTTTAGGGCCGTATGAAAGAGTTTTGAAATGGATTGAGGACACAAAGAATGTAACAAGGCCTCATTTTGATGAGGTGCATTTGATCCTTTTCAAAGTGAAGGAGAAGTTGAAGAAGTTGCGACCGGAGAATGGAACAATGGCAGCAATGACGATGAGTTCTTTTGCTCCACAATCAAAGATTTAGGTAAGTGCAAGTTGAAAATGAGTGATCATAAAGTTAAAGCTGATGGCATACCTTGAATTATACTCTCAAGAACTGCTTGTGGAAGCCATAACGAAGGATCTAGCAGAAGCTATCCTTATGTTAATTTCATTGCATTTTGTCAGGGACACGATATTTTGTGTGAGTAGAGTGATTGGTATTTTAAATATTTTAAGTTTATATCTCAATAAAATATGTATAATATTATTTTGTAAATAATAGAATTTTATATAATACAAAGAAAAAAAATTCATTTATAATTAATTTAAAATTAATTTTTTAAAAAATAAGAGTTAAATATAGATAAAATTATTTGTTTATGATGAAAAGATAGAAGTAAAAATGTTTAAAATGAATTGAATTAATTTATATTCGTTAAATATGTTTAAAATAAATAAATTTATTTTTTTTAAAAAAAGTCAAACGATGAAGTGTATATATATATGTGAGACTATTATTAAATATTAATTTTTTTTTTTTTAAAGAATATAATACTCCATTGCTTTATTTATAATAAAAGCCCACCTGATTCTTTACAATTCTACTGGGCCTTGTGGTCAATTCAAAATTCAAATATACCGTAAAAGCCCAATTCCTTTTCTGTCGGTAATTGCATGATTCAGTGAGCGCGAGGTGGCCTTGTAGAGAACATTCGAATAGCGGGAAACCTATCGTTCGCCGCGGGAAAATCCAAAAACCTCAAGAAATTGGTAATTACATTTCCTCATTTACGTCTAGGTATACAGTAATGCCTTTTTTTTCGCCGATTTTAATCGAATCCCCGGCCAATTTTAGGGTTCTTGAGTTTCTTTTTCCAAGCTTCGTTTGCGCAAGTAGAATCGTCGTTTTTGTTTAAGAATTTGCTGGTTTTGCTGAGTTAGAGCACTTGAGGTGTTATTTGTTGCCTTCTTTTCAAGTATTAATTGTACTGGTTCATGCTTTATTTGAATTTATTTATTTTTTGAATCTGTTAGGCTTTTCCGTTATTTCGTCTTTTTCTTTTTACTAGACAAAATAGCAATTTCAGTGACAATGGAATTTTAAGTGCCATGGCGACCTAATGCATAAATTTTTAGAATATTGAATGCTGTTTGATATCTTCATTTGAATTTCAGAAACAGCCACGAAGAACACTTATTCTAGTGGGGAAATCGAATTTTTGTTTAAATGTAGCAGTGTTCATAGATATTTGATCTTTAAATTTCAATTTTCCTTTTGAATTCATTAGACCATTTGAATTAGGTGAAATGTTTTCTACTTACTGTTTGGAGCTTTGTTGCTATCTGAAATTTCACTATCAAACAAGGCTCGACTTCCCTACATCCAAGTACTGAAAGAATGGCTCACAATATGCTTTCACTACATAGTTAATTATTTGGTAGTTTGGATGCAGTTCCTAGGGTGATTCTGTTTTACTTTTCCATCAATTTATGGAGTCATGAATTTGCATTATTTTATGTTTCCTGGTGTTGGATTCTGAAAAAATTCAATAGCAAGTGCCGTTTAGATTTTGGAAAAAACTCTTATATATAAGATGTGTATAAAAAACTGGATTTTGTTATATCATAAATAATGATTTATGCTATTATTATTATAGTTAATAAAGAAAAAACAATAAACTAACATCTCATGTTCTGTCTGTTTCCATTCTTCCACCAAGGTTTGCTATGGCTTCCTCATCTTCTTCTATCTCTGCGGCAGCGGGTCCTGATATTCCTTGGGTTGAGAAGTATCGCCCTACTAAAGTGGCTGACATAGTCGGGAATGAAGATGCTGTCTCCAGGCTCCAAGTCATTGCCCGCGACGGAAACATGCCCAACCTCATTTTAGCCGTAATTATCTCTTTCTCACTTCAACGATTCAGTATAGTTTTTCAATTCGGAGGTGACTTCTATTGCAATTGATTGTCGGGAAGTGAAATCATCAGTGGTTGAAAGTTGAAACTGTCTGCCCGTCTGTGTTGTTTTATTGTTATTTATTTGATTATTGCAACCAAAATATTGTTTCTGATAAGTACATTTTATATCCTCGCGCTGTACATTGTGTTCCTGAGGAATATCAGTCCACTGATTGATTAATCACTTTGAAATGTAGAATTTGTGAAAAGTTGCTATAAAAGTTGTATTGATTTTTTCTTTTTCCTTGAATGTGTTTTCAGGGACCTCCTGGAACTGGCAAGACCACTAGCATATTAGCTCTTGCTCATGAACTTTTAGGTCCCAATTATAGGGAGGCTGTTTTGGAGCTGAATGCATCAGATGACAGGTAGATTAATTCTATTTACGACAGATTTATATGCATCTAATTTATTTATTTATTTATTTTAACTTTTGTTAAACTTTACTCTTCACCATTTCCAGAGGTATTGATGTTGTGCGCAACAAAATAAAGATGTTTGCACAGAAGAAGGTTACGTTGCCTCCGGGAAGGCATAAGATAATAATTTTGGATGAAGCGGATAGGTGAGTGGTTTCACCATCTCAGTGGCTGTGTTGTGGAATTACTCATTCATATAATCATATTTGTAGCCTTATAGGTATTTTCTTCTGTATTTTGTGATATTCATGTTTTTTTTTTCATTGAGATATTATGTTTTTTTTTTTCTCTTTGTTTGTTTATATCTTTTTGTGTATTGGATGAAAGCATGACATCCGGAGCTCAACAAGCTTTGAGGAGGACCATGGAAATATATTCAAACTCCACACGTTTTGGACTTGCTTGCAACACGTCCTCAAAGATCATTGAGCCTATCCAGAGTAGATGTGCCCTTGTTCGTTTCACCAGATTATCTGACCAAGAGATTCTCGGTCGTCTTATGAATGTGGTTGCAGCAGAGAAGGTAACGACTCTCATTTGAATCTATTCGCGCAATATGATTTCTGTCTTGTGCTTATTTCATCTGATGCATGAAATTCTCTTTATCTTTCTACTTGCATTTCACATAGTTTGTAATTATTATTATCCCTTTTTGTTAGGCATGGTAACTCCTTAGTTTTTTTACGACTTTTCATTCCTTCTTTCTTATTCAACACGGCATCTTCACTATTCTGTGCAGCTTTTTGCTGTGATTGGGATATTTCGTGAGTTTGTTTGTGTTTTGGCGTTTTAGACTACTTTGGATTAGAGAATTTCTTAATAATAAACAAGTTTTCTATGTCGCGTTTTTAATACAAATTATGGGTTAGATGCCATGGTTTTAGATGGAAAAAGTACTTCACTATATATTTTCTACTGCAAAATTAAAGTTGAAATCACAAACAAACACAACCGGAAGTGACTTCATTTATATTGGTGTAGGTTCCCTATGTTCCCGAAGGTCTTGAAGCCATTATTTTCACAGCCGATGGGGATATGAGACAAGCTCTGAACAACTTGCAAGCCACAAACAGTGGCTTTGGATTTGTAAATCAAGAAAATGTGTTCAAGGTATAAACATTTCCATTGAAATTTTCTTGACACAATCTCCATAACTATATATATTAACCCAATATATATATATATATTTGGCTTGGCTCCAGGTGTGTGATCAGCCCCATCCATTGCACGTGAAGAACATGGTGCGCCAAGTTATTGAAGGGAAATTTGACGATGCCTGCACCGGATTGAAGCAGCTCTACGATATGGGCTATTCACCCACCGATATAATCACCACACTTTTCCGAATCCTCAAGAATTACGATGCGCCAGAGTACTTGAAGCTTGAATTCATGAAGGTTTGCTCATTCATTAGTTTGGTCAAATGTTTATCTCATCAAATTTTAACCTACAAATTTTTATTGTTATCCGGAACTGTGGTTTTATAGGAGACGGGCTACGCCCACATGAGGATCTGTGATGGAGTTGGCTCGTATCTTCAACTGTGTGGTTTACTAGCGAAGCTCGCACTCGCCCGAGAAACAGCCAAAGGAGCTTAGTTACCCACCCCATCATCAAGGTGAGTATGACATTTAACAATGTGTATAATTTCAGGATTCAATTAACCAAGGTATCTGTTTGGCATTGTAGTTTTTTGTGGTAATATAAACCATGGTTACATTTTGGGATTTTGTTGTACTGAATTCATGAAAGGTGTGTTCTTTTTGTAATTGAGATGTTTTAGTTTTGTTGTTTCTTTTAGGTAAAATAGTTGTCGATGAAATTATATTTAAAAATCAAGAGAAAGGTAAACTCTGGTTAAGTATATCAACATAAAATTGATCATAAACTGCAAATATAAACTAAGGGTGTGTTTGTTTGAAGGATTTGTAAAGATTTCTACTATTCATCTCATTTTTTTCCCCCAAAAATATCAAATCAAACACCTATTTTTTATTTTTTATATTATACTAAAAAACAATTTTACATTCAAAACATCACATCAACATCTATTTATATCACATCATACAACTATTCAAATTCAAAATTTTTACTATTCAAATCTCAACTCAAAATCCAAACCCCCAAACAAACACACTTAGGGTGTGTTCGTTTGATGGATTTGGATTAAATTCCACTATTCATCCAAAATTTTCCCCCCAAAAACATCAAATCAAACATCTATTTTTTATTTTTTATATTATACTAAAAATCAATTTTACATTCAAAACATCACATCAACACCTATTTATATCACATCATACAACTATTCAAATTCAAAATTTTTACTATTCAAATCCCAACTCAAAATTCAAACCCCCAAACAAACACACCCTTAGTAGATTTTTTTTTTTGTGTAAATCTCATGCCGATACAACTGGTGCTATACGACAAATTGAATGCGATGTTATATCAAAATGCTTTTTGGAACCCTACTATTATATTTAAATTTTTTTATTCTATTACTTTTTATTTTTTAATTTTAAAAATATCACATTAGATGTATATATATATATTTTACAAAACTTCACATTAAATATTAAAATTTGGCTTTTTATTATTTTCAAATTTTTCGAAATTTAAAAATTTCAGATAATTTCAAGATTTTTATTAAGCCCATACGATGACTTATTTAATGGGCTGGCCCATGAAAATGGTTTATGTTAAAAGGCCCAAGCTCAAAATTGAGCGCGAGGTCGAACTTAGAGACGGGCAGAATCTTGAGCATTATAAGGGTTTCGGCAACTTCGATAGCGGCGGCAGTGCGGCGGAGGAGGTTTGATCGTCGTCATGGTTCTCAAGTAAGTTTCCGTATCTGTTAATTACATGAAAAGCTGCTTGCCTATGGTGCCGCTATGCGCTTCGTAGTAGTTTAAAACTGAGTTAGTTTTGGATTACGAGACATTAGTTTAGACGATTTATTTATGTATTATTGATGGCGACCCGGCCTAAATTGGTTGTGTTTTGTGGCGAAAAGCTAGTTGTCTTCACTGTCGGTCAGTTATGTTCTCGTTAATTTGTTTGCTTGGGATTTTACTTTGACAGAGGTTTTTGTGAGAGAATGAAGTTAGATGTCAATTTTTAGAAACTTGAATATTGAGTAGATATTGGAAAATGTTGCCCTTGAAGTTTCAGTGATGTTTCTTAACCGTCGGATTCCCCAAAGAGGTATTCAGATTTGTGAGGTTGAATATAGAATTTTAGTGTATCAAACATTTGTGGTCAGTTGCTAGCTCATAGCTTTGCTTGTATAATCCTTTTTAACTTTGCTTTATATGCTCTTCTATTGAAACTGAAATTCTAATGACATAATGATAATGTTTTCCTTCTGTAATTAGAACGGAGCTTTGCCGCTTTAGTGGAGCCAAGATATACCCCGGAAAGGGCATTAGATTTATTCGTTCAGATTCTCAGGTGTGTTATACACTTCGTCATTTGTTTCAGAATTTTCTTTATGGAATTGATCTATAACTTCTATAAATTCCCTTCTGGTAGTTATATTATTTAGGTGGCAGTTAATTTTCTCGTCATAAACAATAATATGAATATGATGGGTGTAAAAAATAACTAGATGCATTATATTAGTATTCCACCCTGAATAGTTCAATTTGATAATGATATTGTATTCTGCCCATTAATTTAGAATTAGAATTAATAATTTATACTCTAAGCTGTACCATCTAGCAATATGTTATTAGTTGAACTGTTGAAGTGCCCATCACCTCACAGGATGAGGGTTTCACCCCCTTGATAATGCATGTGTTACTAAAATGTTTGTGCACAAATGGCTTGTCAAATACTGCGTTTTTTTAATGATTCTACATAGTATATTTCTGAAGGTTTTACTGTTGCTTCTATACTTGTATCTTGTATGTCCATCATCAATGAAGGCTTTGAATTAAATTCCTGTGCATGTTGTTTTAGGTCTTCCTATTTGCCAACTCAAAGTGCAAGAGGTACTTCCACAATCGCCTAAGGCCCGCAAAGCTTACGTGGACAGCTGTGTACAGGAAGCAACATAAGAAGGTTTGTTATTTACCATTCTACTCTAATTACACTACTATTCTGTCTCTTTATTGCCTTAATGTATTTGGCTTCTTTGCCAAACTGTTGTTATCGCTTAATGATTTTACAAAAACATAGGACATAGCTGCTGAAGCTGTGAAGAAGAGACGACGAACAACCAAAAAACCCTATTCAAGGTCCATTGTTGGCGCCACATTAGAAGTAATTCAGAAGAAAAGATCTGAGAAACCAGAAATTCGCGACGCCGCTCGTGAATCTGCTTTACGGTACATATCAGAGTGTTTGTTCCCATGCCCTGGGGTACTGGGCTCTTCTTAATTTGGCAGTTTTGGGTTTCAGTGAAATTAAGGAGAGAATCAAGAAAACTAAGGATGAGAAGAAGGCTAAGAAGGCAGAAGTGACTGCCAAGCAGAAGACGACAAGGAGCAATGTACCTAAGAGCGTCGCCGCACCCAAGGGTCCTAAGCTTGGTGGTGGTGGAGGTAAGCGCTAATTTTCATTCTTGCAAGTTAAATATTTTAACTATTGTGTTTAATTTTTACTATGTTTATCTTGTTGGAGGTTTCACTGTTGAATAGTACTGCCTTTTGGATACTTGCTGTTTTTTGTTGTAGCTGCAAATGTTTTATTTAAACACATGCTTGGTTTCTTGTTTGGAATACAACAGTCTATTTTACTTACGACAAAAATAAAAATTGTTTGATGTTACTTACATAAAATTCTGTGAATGTGCCAAAGCAACATGATCAAACGGCCTGTCGAAATGGTCTGATTGTTTTGAAGTATTGCAAGAAATTATCCGAATGTTGAAGAATTGCAAAATATACAGATCAAATTTAATAGTTGAGATTGAATTTACACAGTTGGTGTGTTGTAGTTACTCTATTTACCTAAATATTGGTGGGATTTAGACATTTAAACTCTGCCTTAATAAAGTAGTTATTATTAGTCAGGGTGAGGACAAACAGTTTGAGGATGATGATGTCGATTTTTTGTGCTTAAAAATATGTAAGATTGAGTGCAAATAAATCAATTCAAAACTTGCTTTTTCTCTCATGATGATGTCATACTAAATCCTTCAACTCTGTTTTGGTGATCTTTTAGTTAGCCGAATTGTTTGTTTGTTGTTTTTTAAAAGCAAGTTTCGTTTAAAATAGGTTTCTTTTAAGTATGAATGAAGAATTATAAATATGTTGACTTAAGTATCACTTGTTTGTTGGTTCTTGTTTTTTGTGTGAGTTGAGTTTGTAGGTTTTGGTTTTTTATTTGAATAATGTTTGGTATGATCTTTTGTATTTTCCGACAAATGTGAAGGGTGTTGTATATATATTCTATTTATTTTATTGCTTTCTTTTTTTTTTTATAAAATATATATATTACCTCCAACGCACAGATTGAAGTTCTTACATTAATACATACATCTTGAATAATCACATCACATTAAGACCTTTTCTTCACATCAGTTATTTTTTAATCATTTATTGCCAGTGGGTTTCAATTTGTGATTAATTTATAAAGTGATAAATTGTGCCATATGTTGCTCCTATGATTTGCAGGCCAATTAGAAACTTTAAATATTAATTAATGTTTATAAACATTGAATCTTTCTTCTATATTCTAACCTTATTGATCCTAAAAGGTTAGGAATTTGTTCACTTGTTTTTATCTTTACTTATTACTATTATTATATATATATATATATATTATGTCATACCATTTTAATGATATTTTCCTGCTTAGAACACTATATCTACTAAATCCTTTGAAACCAAAACGTTGAACCCATGTAAAATTGTTAATAAACGAAAGATTTTAATTAAATATATTAAATACATTAATATAATAAAAAGTGGATTTTTGTTATATAATAGATATTTAATTAATCCGAGGATAAAAAATAACAAAAGCATGTGTTTGACGCACAATAGTTCCGTACCTAACTCAAATCCGCGTAAACGCGCTTTCCCCTTCAAAAAAAAAATAAAAAATAATTATAAAAATGGTTGGCACGTCACACTGAAATACATTGAGCTGTCTTATGTCAAACCAATTCCCACTTCCGTATCACCTGCTGTTCCCAACTATCCGGTTCCATCTTTTTCCTTCCACTTTAAGATATATCGCATTTTTGTCCGCACCGCACCGTACTGAACGCGCAGTATATTTAATATACGCGCTTTTCATTAATTACATTTATCACGAATTTACGCGATGCTTCCACCCCTAATTACATTTTATTATACATGAATTTTTTTTAAAAAAAATTACCGACGTGGAATTGCAAAAAAATATATGGAAAAATAATAATTACCAACGGTCGAATCTCAAAAGACGCATAAATGTTACCTTTTTTTCCCCAGCTTTGTAATGATGATGTTAACTTTGCTCCTTCCTCACCTATTAAAAATATATTTTTAAAAAATTAAAATACGATAATACATTCCAATTGGTAGCTCTTAATGAGTAATGACAACGAAAGCCATTTAATTGAAAATCAATCCCCAATTCCTTACCAAAAATAAGATAAAAATAACCTAAATTAATATATATACGAATCTCCCAAAAACTTAATCCTCTCTACCAAATTCTGCAATTCTCCTCAAGCCACTCTTCCTCTCCCACGCACAAAAACCATACAGAATCGAATCACGATACACAAATATATATATATATTATATGTATATGTATCTGTATATGTGTATATATACGTACACACAATAGGCAGCTGGTCCGATTGGGTATTTTTACAGGGGAGAGTGTAAAGAATGAGGAATAATGGAGATCTGGAGAGGGGCAAGGCCGGCGGCGGTAGGAATCAGAGCTATCCGGCGGCGGCGCCGCCGCAGGCCTACTACGCGGCGAGTAGAGGCGGAGGCGGTTATGACATGGAGTATTCGGACAGCCACTGGACTTCGTGGCTGGTTCCGATGATTGTCGTCGCCAACGTCGCTATGTTTGTGGTGATCATGTTCGTCAATAATTGTCCGAAGAATCACGACGGCCTCCGTGGAGATTGCGTCGCTAGATTCCTCGGCCGCCTCTCCTTTCAGCCCCTCCGAGAAAACCCCCTTTTCGGACCCTCCTCCTCCACGTATGATCGATGATCCCCTTTTTTTATTCGGTTGTCCAAATTCAATTCGATTCGATAATTAGGGTTTTTTTGTGCATCAGCTTTTTTGGGGATTACGCTTTTTATTGCTCATGTTGTGGTTGATTTTGTTGGAATGTTTTAGTTATCTGCTTTTAATTTGTCCAATTCTTTCATCATAGTACTGTGCAAAGATTATCTGTTACTTCGTCCAATTTCGGACATCATAGAACTTGATTGGGATTTAAGTAATAAGGATGCTTAGATTCAGATTTAGTAGGAATGCTTTCGATGTTCTTTCTTAATAGAAGACTGTTGATTTCATCTTCGGCAAGTTTTCAATATTCTTGATCGAAAGAAGGCTGATTATTACATAGCGGTCAAGTTTCGATGTTTCCTGCTCGAAAGAAGACTGTTCATTACATCATGGGAGAGTTGCTCGAAAGAAGATTGTTGATTTAATATCTACATTTGCAGGCTAGAGAAAATGGGAGCACTCGAATGGGATAAAGTCGTGCACGGGAATCAGGCATGGCGGCTTATTACCTGCATTTGGCTTCATGCCGGCATTATCCATCTGCTCGCCAACATGCTCAGCTTGGTGTTCATCGGAATCCGCCTCGAGCAGCAATTTGGATTCGGTAAGAATCTTGAGCTAGTGATGAACCCAAGTTCAATTTTTGTTGTAAACTAGTATAATTTTACGATTATGCCCCCCCTTCTGTGAAAAAGCTCGAGTTCTTGTTGGTTGATTGGTTGATCTTTGTCGATTTGCAGTGCGGGTAGGTGTGATTTATATTTTGTCCGGAATTGGCGGGAGTGTCGTTTCGTGTCTTTTTATTCAGAGGAGTATTTCGGTTGGAGCTTCTGGAGCCCTCTTTGGACTCCTCGGAGCAATGCTGTCGGAGTTACTCACCAACTGGAGTATATATACAAACAAGGTAAAAGATAAAAAATTGCAGTTCGATAAAAAAAATTTCTTACAAAAGCCTTATCTGCTTTGTAAGAATTTCGAGTGTAATGAAGGAATCGTTTCTAACATCTTGTTCGAAGTTACGGTTCGGTTTTAACATGTGTTTTTGGACAGGCTGCGGCGTTGATCACCTTAATTGTGATCATCGTGATCAACTTGGCTGTCGGAATTCTCCCACACGTGGACAACTTTGCGCACATCGGAGGGTTCCTGTCCGGATTCCTCCTCGGATTTATACTGCTGGTCCGGCCACAGTACGGTTGGTTGGAAAGCCGGCACCGTCCTGCCGATACCCGCCTTAAATCGAAGTACACCGTTTACCAATACGTTCTATGGATTGTTGCGATGGTTCTGGTGATCATCGGGTAAGTTTTTGCCTTAATTTGTTTTTTTGGAATTTAGAACCTAAACCTCGATCGATCGATTGTCACCGAATGACGTATTTCCCGTTGTTGTCGGGGATCGGAATTGCGCAGATTCACGGTGGGATTGGTGATGCTGTTTAGGGGGGAGAATGCGAACGACAAATGCAGCTGGTGTCATTATTTGAGCTGTGTCCCGACGTCGAGATGGAGCTGCAACAACTGATTTTAGGACTTCATCGGCGACGGCGATGATCGTACGGCTCCGGTTGTCGGATTGTTGTATATCTTTTATTTTGTTTTTTTTGATCCTTGCTGACTGATTGTTTATAGAAATATTATTATTATTATTATTATTATTATTACTGGTTTGCTGGTGTTATTTCTATGCATATTTGGGCGATATTCGTTTTATGTGTATATGCTTTTATGTGTACGTACGTTTTTGTGTGCATTTATGTTCTGGCATTATACGGCAATTATTGCCTATAAAGATATTCAGTATATTGCAATCTGGATTCATTAGTAGTAGTCGGCATATATTGTATTGTAACGAGATATATTCTATAGATTAAATATTGAGATATGTTTAAATTAAATTATCAATATGTTTAAATTAAATTAATGATAATATATGATATCAGTTTATATTTAGTTGTCGGTAGTGTGTTAGTGTAGTGAAATCAACTATTATCAGTTTATATTTAGTTGTTGATAGTGTATTGGTGTACTGAAATAAACTATTATTTGTATTATATAAAATTATAACATGTGTTGTTAATTTATGTGTTGTATTTGTATTATATTAATATATAAAGTATGTTATATGTAGTAATAAAATTTGTTATCTACGATGTACTGTCAATACTGTATTATATGAATACATAAAGTATGTTATATATATGTAGTAATAAAATTTGTTGTCTGCGATGTACTGTTAATACGGTGCTAAATTTTAAAATTCAGCATGCACTCGCGTGAATAATAATGGTCAATAATAATGGTTTGAACTCACGACTTCAAAACATTTTTTACGGAATTATTATTATTATTATTATTATTATTATTAAAACAGAATATATGAGTATATATATATATGATCACTCCGGTTAACGTTTATATTCAATACAAAATGAAGACAAGCACAGTCATACACAACTTCAAGCAAGAACCGGGTTCATTACTAGAACCGGTACCAAGAGCCACTGAACCGGGCAGCATCCTCGACTACCGGCATCCCGAGCCGGTCGAGTCGCCCCGATCCCGGGTAAACTTTTCCGACGAAGTTGGCATGCAACGCCGACGAAGCCTTCGGCGCGTACACGTGCTCGTAGTGCGAAGCCGGCCTTTGCTTCGGGGCACTAAGAGATCGCGACTTAGCCTTCGACGACTCGGTGTACGCCATGTAGTTCGGATGGTCGGAGTATCCGCCGCCACCGCTCGGCCCCGATTTGAAACTATTAGTTTTATTAGGTGTGGCCGCGGCTCGGCGTGAAGTTCCGTAGTAGACTTGCGGGCTGCTGTCGGGAGTGTAGAAAGCGGGCTCGACGGGGTCGTGTTTATGCGCGCCGAAAGAATGGACTTCGCCGGATAGCGTTTCTTTGGAAGTCGAGAAGCTTTGGCAATATTGGTCAGAGCTAAGGCTTAGGTTCGCCGAGTGAAATATGTGTCGACGCCCCGCGACCGGTCGCCACGTGTCGACTTCGAGAATCTTGTCATGTCTCCCGTCATCGCCACGAGCGAAATGCATCTTCCCCGCTTCGTCGAGGACATTGCCGCTCGATTTCGAAGGACTTCTCTACATTCATCGGCATCGAGTAAGCATCAATCACGAAACATACAAGTGGTTCCGTTTAGACACAGATTTTTTAAGTTTTCAAAAATTTTGAAGAATAGAAAAGATTTAGTATAACAGAAAAATATATTTGGGGTGTGTTTGTCTGGGGATTTGAATTTTAAATTGGAATTTAAATAGTAAAATTTTTGAATTTGAATAGTTATATGATGTAATATAAATAGGTATTAATGTGATATTTTGAATGTAAATTTAATTTTTAATATAATATAAAAAATGAATAGTATCAAAAGTTCTAAAGTATCTATATACTCAGAGAGCCACAATGTTGGAGGCAGAAGGGTGCTTCGATAAACCTTGTACGTCATATGTTGTCCGTTTCTAATGCTTCGCGCCTTCATTTGTTCGATCCTTTGAGGTGTAGCTGGACCCTATATAATCAAATTCTTCCGTATTATTACTATCGAAAAGACTCAACGCAACGAGAAAAAAAAAAAAAAAAAGCGCCTTACATCATACGCAAAGTGCGACAACTTTGCGCTCGATTGATGCAATTCGGACTTAAGAACCCGTAAGGCACGAGCGCGCGCTTGGGCGTGAACAAGAGCTTGCATCCGTCTCATATGATTCGCCATTTTTTTCCTCTCGTTGTTGCCGCGTACGAGTGCTTGAAGCTTCACCAATGCTCTCAATGCCCTTAGAGCTCGTCTCGACTACGCATATTTCAAAAACATCATAAAAGCTAAACTTAGAACACAGCATTGTTCGATTAAGAATACATCTTACAACCGAAATCGTGTATTTCGTTTCGACTAAATTCGCATTGTAATTTATGAATACATTTCCATTTCTATCGATCGTATTATTAAGGTATTGTACAAGTGACGATTAATCAAGAAACGAACTTATCAAATGCTTCGATCTTTTGTCCAAAATAGAAAATCGAAAAAGCAATTCGATATTGAAAGGGTACCCAAAAAAATCAAAAAAGTGCAACTTTTTAAAACTTACTTTCAGTTGGAATGTAACTTTCTTGGAACCACTCTAGTTTTACAAATCGAAAGGACAATCCCACCAGCCAAGATTGAAAATTTATTACAGAATACAAATAGAAATGTCTTGCAAGAATAGCAAATAAATCATCACTTAAAAAGTAGGACACAAATAGTAGTTGAAAATTGCACCCATTCTTTCAACTTCATTGGAAGGTAAAGTTCTTAAAGAGTAAAAACCCACATTTAATTTTTATTTATTTAAAAATAATACTACTTTCGTCCGACTTCGTCCGACTATAAGTATCTCATTTACTTTTGTACGTGTTGATATTTAAATATAAGTATCTAGCGTGTTGATATTTGAATATTAATTATTATAAACAAAAGTAGTATAAATTAAGAAAAATTGAAAAATACTTACTAATAGAAATTCATTTGTAATATTACATGCAACGAAAGAATGACGCAAAACATAAATGTTACACTTAAAATGAATATTATTATAAATATTTTATGGAAAAAATATAAGATAAATACACAAATGTATAAGCAAAATTGTCAACAATGGAAGCTGACAGTGTCGGAATCCGACCGGGTCTGTCTGAGTCCCACATCGTCGACTAAACGTCAAATGCCCATTTATGAACCATTTTGAAAATAATAAAAAATTTAATTTTATATTTAAATATATGGAGTATATTGCTAATAAATAGAGTATCTAAAAATATATTGTAATCGAATTTACTGTGCCCAAAAGATTTCTACAAATAACCATGCAATGAGACACCCGACGGCGTCGTTTCACTCAGCAGGAAAATATATATATATATATATATATATTGAGAAGAATGGGATAACAAATTTCTTTGATTACCAAATAAGCGCGGAAATGGGATTGAATGGTAACGGCTGCCCGGACTTCCCTGCGCCCGTAACGTGCGCCTCCTCTTCGCGGGCTAACGTACGCCGTGGAATAGCCGCCGGAATAAACTCTTCCGGTGTTTCTTACCGCCGCGGCACCATTTTCGCCGCCGTGAATAATGGTCTGGTGCGGCGGTTCGTAGCGGTTGCCGTCGTCCTTTCGGGACTTGGAGAATCTCCATTTCTTCTTGGAGTCGGAGTCCCGGCCCGGCTTCTTCCCGCCGAATAGGGCCCTCAACCATTTCGAAGCTTTGCCCATTTCTCAAACTCAGAAGAGAGAGAGAGAAGAGGAAGAAGAAGGAAGGAGCATTTCTATATAAATGGTGGGAAGAGTGGGAAGCGTAGTATGGACCTCATCTATTTATTTATTTAAAGTCACTATTTTTTTAATTATATTTTGATAATACGAAAATAAAAAATAATAATAATATTTTAATATTAAAAGTAAATAATAAATAAAATAGGTTTGTATATTATTACTTTAATTAAAAATATAAAAACAATAATTTTAAGTGGGACAGATTTAAATTTCGTTATATCGTTGTAATAATTTTTAAGTTTTGTTTTAAAATTTAATTTTCTTATTTTTAAAAAAAAAATGTCAAAAATATTCATTGATAGGTAAATTCAGCTCGGTATTATGTTACTTACATATTTTATTTTATTGGATATTTTTTATGATTTTATATATGATTTGAGAAACTATTTATTAAATTTGATAAGAAGAAAGTTATAAACTGAATAGGGATATTTTATCTCATTTATATCTTTTATTTATTTATTAATTTATTTATGATATTTTGAAGGGAAATCAATAAGAAATAATGGACGAATCAGTAAATAGCACAAACCAATTAAATTCATTGCATTATTATTTTGTTGCACTGTTTACTTGAACACTTCTTTTTATTAAAGAGGGTGTGATTTGTTACACTCATTTATTATTGTTACATTATTATTATTATTATTATTGACATTAATATTTTCATTATTATATATTTTGGTTACGTTCGAATTGACAAATTGAAATCCAAGAATTGATCAACTATTACTAAAAAGGTAACATTAATAATTTTTTTTTTTTAATTTCAATATATATATATATATGTATCAAATTGAAATAACTTTACTCGAATTTTATGACCTAAAAACGTTGACGTGGTCGGCAAATTTGTGACTAATTTCTTTTTTTTTTTTTCGCTTACTTGCACTATTTTATTTTATTTTTTTTCATTTTGTATATATTTTTATGTATTTAAAATAAAAACAGTTAATTAAAATGATATTTTAAAAGATAAAGGATATATACAAAACATACATAGAAAAACACCAAAAAAAACACATGCATTTTTATTTTGATATTTTATTTAATAAAATAGTGTGTTCACTTTGCATTTGATTTATTATTTTATTATTCAATATTTTATTTTTTAAAAATATTAATTCAATATATCTTTTTTTATGCTATATAATACCAAATATTGGGTGTGTTTCTTTTGATGAGTTTGAAAAAAAATTGGTTTGAGTTTGGTATGAAAATAATATTTGATGTGATTTTTTGTGAGAAAAAAATGTATTTTTTTTTTTAGAAAATACAGAATCTAAATAATAAAATTTTGAGAAAATTGACTAAAGAAATATATTACAATTATTTTACGTGAAAAATATTAAAATTAACAAACCCATGTTATACTTTGAATTTGTGGACACGCGGCCGAATTAATTCTACAAAACAAAATTATTATTATTATTGTTATTATTATTATTATTATTATTGTTATTATTATTATTATTATTTGTCATGTTAATATATTGGTCCGCGCTTATAATAAATGGTTTCATATGAAAATTTAATGGCTAAGATTCAATTTTCGATCCGTTTATTTTTATTTTTATTTCAAATTTAAATTTTTGTAATAATTAATTCGCATTAAAAAAAACAGTATTTGGTGAGAGACTGGGAGGCAAATCACATCAGTGTTTCACAAAAACAGAAAAATTGCAGCCAAACAAGACCTACAGTGCTGCCTGCCTTTGACGCTACGCTGTATCGGTATCCCTAGCTTATAGCTTTCGGGTGTTGAGGTCCCAGGTACTCCCAAAAGCATGGATGTAGTTCTGAGTGGAAAAGACGTATCAGCAGATAAAAGTAGAAGGAAGAATTCCTGAAGTACAGAGCAGAGACAGAAACAGGCACAGGTGGCGCATGTTAGAAAAATTAGCTCCACGTGCTATCGTTGTCGTCGAGTCAAGTTAGCCCGATTTGGTCAAACTGATCTTGAAATTTATCGGGCCGGGCCATCTTTTGAAAGCTAACATGGGTCGGGATTTTTGTTTTAAATTTTTTTAATTTTAATTTAAATGATAATTTAATAGGATATTTATAATAAAATAGATTAGAGTATCAGTGGGTGGATTTTTTATTTATAAATTAAAAGAAAAATTGGTTTGAATTTAATTAAAATAATATTTGATCGAATGTGAGATAAAAGAATATACTCCTTCCGTTCCAATTTATATCAAAGTAGTTTTTCATATTTTTTAAAATAATTATACAGTAATTTCAAAATATTTTTAATTTTTACTTAAATTACAAATATATTATTATATATATAATTAATTTATATAAGACTAAAGAACAAAAATATCAAAAAAAATTTCGACCAACCAATAAAATATTACTACTTAGTTAATTTTTTACAAAATTTCAAATAATTTTTTTTATAAAATGGATAGAGAAAGTTTCTTTTAAATGCAAATTTCAAATAATAAAATATTATTTATATTTATTCGGTGAAATGATTTAAAAATATATTTTTTATATCAAAATTGTATAAATAATGTAAAAATAATAAATGTAGTATTATTATATTCCTAAATATCAAAATCCTAAACAGGAAACACACTAGGGATTCATTTGCAAATACTATCCCATCCTCGAACGTTAATGAAAAGCAGTTACTCCCCCGCCAAAACGGTTTCCATTTATACTCGTCCGCAAAATCAAACCGACAATTCCCAGAATTCAATTCGTCTTCGCCATGAAAATCCTCGTGAGGATCGCCATTGCATTGTTTCTACTCTCCCACAGCGTCACCGGAACCCAAATACTGGCCAAATCCCAACTGAAGAAGTGCGAAAAGGTCTCCGATGAGCTTAACTGCACTTCCAAGATTGTTCTTAATCTGGCTGTTCCCAGTGAATCAGTAAGTGGTTGTGTTTATGTATTGGATGCAATTTTTGTTTCTTCTGTCGAGATATTTCTGGAATTTTGTAGAGTGGGAGAGAGGCGTCAATGGTTGCGGAGATTGTGGAAGCGGAGGAAAATTCAACCAATCAAATGCAGACGCTTCGAAGCCCTCCGGTGATAGCTATCAATAAATCCTCTGTCTACGCTCTGTATGAACTGACGTACATACGTGTATGTTGTGAATCGTCTTTCTCTTTTGGATCCTTATTTTCGTTGATGACCTATTGTTGTACTTTGTTTTGATTCTTTTGCGTAAAAGAGTGTTTGTTGAAATTTTTACAAATTGAAGTTGTCTTTTGCCAGATGAATGCATAAAACACTCAAATAGTTACTTATTTCACATGGCGATTAATTTAGATTGTGATTACTGATCCAAAATTAGAGCAAACAAACATCTTAAGCTTCACTTGATCTGTTCAAATATAGGAGGCTTTCTAAGTTGTTATATTGGCTCTTAAAAAGTAGTTCATAAATCACTATACAAATTAGTTTCAACAGGGGATTAATCTATCCATTTCTCTTGTAGGATGTCGCTTACAAACCCCAAGAACTTTATGTTCGGACACGAAAATGCAGGACTGATGCTGGAGGGCGTATTGTTACGATGTGTGAGAGGTGAGTGACCTTTCTGACGTGCATTTTCACTGATGAATCAAAATCCAAGTGTTTATGTTATTTTTCTTCTTCATATGGAAAGTTTATGCTTTTCTGATTCCTTCTTTGAACTCAAAACTAACTGTTTACCTTTCTGCTTGCCACTTTTTGCTTAACATGTTATTCAGGTTGCGGGATGAGAATGGCAACATTATCGAAGATACACGGGTAATAATTGGAAAGTTCTCAATTTTATGCACCATGATAGTTTTTCTATGATAATGTGTTTGTTTGTGTTTTCACCTTCAGTTGCTTCTACATTAATTGATGATCCTAAAGATAAAGTTTAGATTCCCATGTAAAGACCAACGAATGACTGCCAAATTTAATTTTTACATGAACCTAGATGGCTTGCTACACATACTTATTATAAGTAAGATCATTGCAGCTTTTTTTCCTAAACTTGTGAGAGAAAGGTATTCGAATGATTGTAGTAAGCAGCTCTATTGGATGAAGGTTTTGGAGCAGTTTTTATCTGAAAGATGATGTCAGAAATACAGAACATTGTGCCTTCCATTCAAAGTGATAAAAGAGTGCTCTATTTATATATGAATGCTACATCATAAAGATACTAGCTACTATAATCAAACATTCTATAATAAGATATTTTAAAGATGAAACTAAAGTGCATCATGGGTCGAAGCCGTTGATCGATTTATAAAGCAAACATACGGTGTTTTTGAATCGGATAAACAATAATGCAGCCCTTATGATGTAACACTGGTTTTTTTGAACAGGATACATGGATGCTATTTTTTGAATCCATTAATACCTGTGTATACTTTTGATGTTTTTCTTTTCTATTCTGTGCACAGCCAACTTGCTGTCCTTGTGGAAACCAGCGTAGGGTCCCATCATCATGTGGAAACTTTTGTAAGTGTACAAGAAGTACCGCATAATACCTGTGCTATGCTCCTGAATGACAACATAATACATCTAACTTTAGAAATCTTGTCATGTAGTTGACAAGTTGACGAAAGGAAAGGCAAATACGGCACACTGTCTTCGCTTTACAGATGAATGGTTTGTGATCCTTTTCCTAACTGTAATCCTATGTTTTTTTTTTGTTTTCCAGTTGATGTATGCTAACCTTGGAGTTGTAAAATTTATTTCTTAGCTGTGGTTAGAGGACACACATAAATGAAATATGTCTTGCTTACTCTATTCAAAAGAGGGTAGAGATGCCTGCCCTTTACTTATAAAAACTATTCTATGATTTTATGAGTACTTTTATAAATCTATTTATTACAAACCAATCACTCTAGGCTCGTGTTCATAGATTCAGCTTGATTCTTGCTTATGTGCTTGCTAAGTAGTTATGTTCTTTCTTTATTTTTTATTTATTTTACGAACAGTATTTTATTCCCCCTTTTCACTACTTAAATATATTGATCCAGGTTTCATGTGTTTAGCATTGGACAGCGATCGATTGGATTTAGCATCCGAATTGAGATAAAGACAGGATCAAAGACATCGGTATTTTATTTGTGGCACAATTCCTTGAAATGTAACTGACCTATTTATTGATTGATTATCATGACTGCACTGGTGAAAGCTTACATCTTGTTGCCTTCCATAAGTATAATAATCCTAGTGAAGCATAAATATATCATGCATCTGGTGCTTTATTATTTATCTTTTAGCGGTCAATTCTTTATGAAGTTTAGATTGGATGGTTTTGCCTCAATCTGAACGCTTAGCCCATGAAATATTTGGCAGGAAGTGGTTGTAGGTCCACAAAACAGGGTCGCAGTATCTGAAGATAAATTTTTGAGGGTAAATCTAATCGGAGATTATGTTGGATATATCAACATTCCTTCGTTCGATAACTTCTACCTTGTTATTCCTAGAGAGGTATGTTTCATTAGTGCTGTAGGTATATGCCTGTTTCTTAATTAAAAGCAAAAGGCCATATTTCTTGAAACTTCCACTCAGCTATATCTTCTAATGGTTCTAAGAGGTTTATGTCAATAATTTTACTTTAATATGCTTAAAGACTCCATCAAAATAATTACTCAATTTCTTCTCTGTGAAGGGTGGTGCAGGCCAACCTCAAATTCTGGGAAACAACTTTTCCAAGTGGATGCTTCTTGAGAGAGTCAGGTTTACACTAGATGGTCTTCAATGTGACAAAATTGGAGTTGGTTACAAGGCCTTTAATGCACAGCCAAACTTTTGTGCTGGACCATATTGGAGTTGCTTGCACAATCAGTTGTGGAATTTTTGGGAGGTTACTAGATCAACTGCACTTCTTTCTTTTAAACGGTGTTTGCATCTTTATTAATAAGCCTTCTCTCTTATACAGAATCCACTCAGGAAAGTCTAGTATGCTTGCTTTTCAATGCTATATCTTCTAGCCTTTTCTTTGCTCTAGTTTATCAAGGCATGGCATTTCTTTGCTGTAGAATTGGTGTGGTGTATTTACCATGAAATTAGGGAAAAAAAATAAATTCTTTTGTTCTGACTTCTCATGGCCTTCCGTGAAAGCTTACCATAACACTTGAATGTTTGTCTCTCCTTTACACCTATTTCTGCTACATACTGCTCACAGGATAAGTATGTGTAGCTTCCAATGTCAGCAAAGTTTCCAATGTGTAACCCAACATTAATGACACTACTTTCTTTTTTCCATATTTCAGGCAGATCAGAATCGGATTAGTAGGAATCAGGTTCCACTGTATTGCGTCCAAGGAAGGTTTGAAAGGATAAATCAACATCCAGTTATGTCTTGTTGATTTAAGTAAATTAGGATATCGTAACGAAAAACTAGAATAGAGTTAGTTAGGACACTCAGTATGGCCATATTGAATGCTAATGACTTTATAGCATGCAGAATGCAGGAAGTCATGCATTCTCTATTGGGATCACAGAAGTGCTGAATACCAACCTTATGGTGGAACTGAGTGCTGATGACATAGAATACGTTTTTCAAAGGTTGATCTGAACATTTTGAGCAACAGAATATTCTCTTATGTTCTATAGATTTGTTTTATTATGTTTATGGAGTCAAATACTATTCTCTTTGTTTGATTTTTTCCCCCTAATAGTCTGCTTCTGCTAATGATGAATTACACAGTAAAAGATCACATTCAAGGTTTTTGTGGCCACTTCTTGTTGCACTACTATTACTTCATTCTATTTGCATGGTTTTTTTCGGATAAACAATTTCCTGTTTTAAGGTCGAGAAAATAGATTAACTAATAATCAGTCATATTTGAGTTTTGGGGCTACTACGTTTCATCCTTCATAAATTCCATTCTAAGGCATTTTTCTCTTAACTTCCAACTTTGATATCAATTTTCTATGAAGCTTTATATGATGATTCTTTTAAAACTTCTGCAGGAGTGATGGGAAAATTTTAGGCATCACTGTGCCAACTTTTGAAGCTCTAACTCAATTTGGGACTGCAACAGTTACAACCAAGAACGTTGGTGAAGTCGAAGCATCATATAGCCTTACTGTAAGATCAATCTCTGAAAAACTATGGAAATCTCTTGTAAACATGCATGATATAATTTTACTACATCCAGTATTCCTTTGTGATCCATTTTAACCAAATGTCACTTTTAACTGACAATCTAAGGTGTTGTAGTTTGATAGTTTCAATCTATAATTAAAACATCCAGAACGTATATCTTCAACGCAATGATGCATTTCCTATGCTTGAAACTATATTTATAGGATGCCTATCTTTCTCTTGCAGTTTGATTGCTCATTGGGTGTCAACCAAATGGAGGTAATTAGTTATATGTTCTTGAAATGTATTTAGAGCAAATATGGAAAATTTACAGGGTTTGTTTATCTTGTTGTTTCCTATTTTGTAGGAACAATTTTACATAATGAAGCCAGACGAGGTAGTCAATCGATCGTTCAAACTATACCCTACATCAGATCAAGCTGCAAAATATGCATGTTCAGGTATAAAAATATAATCGGGTGGTTTTGAGTAATTCATAATCTAGATTTACTTAAGATATTACTTTCTGATTTAAATTTCCAAATATTAACTGAATTAACATTACATTGAATATAGTCTCTTTTTCAATATATCTAATTGCAGCCATACTGAAAGATGCTGAGTTTAATGAAGTTGACAGAGCAGAGTGTGAATTCACAACTACAGCCACTGTTCTTGATAATGAATCCCAGGTCTGTCTGCCATTTTATACAACCCTTTCTTCTTTCCTTCTATGGAATCGAAATGATCATCATAGTAAAAGAAGGTTTGAATGAGTTCTTTCCTCCTGAAAAACAAGGGAAATGAAAGCTGATTGTTATTCGTTTCGAGGGACAAAATAATTTATGTTTTGGTGAAATTATGTTATCTGCAAACATTTGATCGAATCAGAAGTAGTGACTAAGAAAATTTAACCAGAATGTGCTATCAATTCACACTTTCTAAGTCCATTATACAGATATCTTCCCCACCTCCAAAGACCGGTGCAAATGGCTTCTTCGACTACATTGAGGAGACGTGGAACAAACTTTGGTTCGGTATGGCCGACTTCATCACTGGAGAGAGCTGTAGGTACTGTCTTTACCACACCCCCAACATTAACTAGAATGATTTGAATGATATCGACATTCGGGCTTTTTACACTCTTATTCTTGTGGCGAGCAGAAGAAAATGCTCCGGATTTTTCGACATCAGCTGCCACATACAATACATCTGTCTGACTTGGCTTCTGATGTTTGGCCTGTTTTTAGCAATCTTTCCAACAGGTTTGGCACTTGTTTACCATGATTTTTATGATTCACTCAATACCTTCATTTCAAACCATACATACAATAAATGTTTGTTTCTTTCTTTGTGAATTGCAGTTGTTGTCCTCCTCTGGCTTCTGCATCAAAGAGGACTCTTTGATCCTATTTATGACTGGTGGGAGGATCACATATGGAAGTCTGAGAAAAGCAGAGACAGATGGAAGCATTACCGACAAATCGAAGCGCACCCGAAGGAACATCATCGCCACGGAAAGAAACATCACCGCCATAACAGGCACAATCTCAGAAAAGGAGAGAGTGGAAGTGATTACAATTACATTCTCCACCATGTTCACAAGGACAATAAGCACAGCAGGCATGGAAGAGTCAAGCACAATTACTCGCCGGGATCATCAGCCTGGCAAGCCGCCGAGGAGCTCGGCAAAGTTCGACATCATCGAAAACGGAAAGAAAGAATATCCCTCACCCATACAGGGAATCATCATCCATGGTAAAAATCAAGACATATATACATCTCTAGTTAGTTGTAAAGAAGTCATCAAGTGTCTGTAAATTATGTTGTAAAAAATATGACAGAAACTGAAACTGAAACTGAAACCTCAAAGCAAATTCATATTCCAGCTTACAGAAAGAATCAAAGAATTTAACAACAACGATAATAATGATAATGATAATGATAATGATAATAATCTATCTCTGTTTCTTTCTTTCCTAACCTCCAAAAAAAATGACAACAAATCTTATCTGCAACATTGAATGAAAGAATGAAAGATATAACATATTCCTCTACCTACAAAGAATATAAATCAAAATCAATCCAGTAAGTAAGTAAGTAACCAAACCATCTGTTCCTCCTCGTCGTCGATCAGTCTTCCTTAACTCTATGGCTGTTGTGAGTGCGACATTGACGCGCCAGCGGCATCAACCGGCATCCACGCCGAGACAGTGTACAGCGGCTGATCCAGCCAGCGAAGAGTGAGAGCTTCTCGACATTGTTGTTGTTGTTGTTCTTGCACCTCGACGGAATAATAATCCTCGCAGCCGTACATCTTCAGCATCATCTGTCCCTGCAGCGCTTCCCTCTCCTCGATCCCGACGCACCGGAAACCGCCTTGCTCCATCACCTCGCGCCACTTCCCGAAAGTCTCGTGCCTCTCCGACCTGTCCCGTCCTTCGCAAGCGACGATGTTCCTGATCTCCCGTGCAAACATCTCCTCTGTCTTGATCCTGACTCGGCTGTCCATCGGGAGGCCACCGGCATCGATCAGATCGAATACCGCTGAGTAGTATTTCAGCGAGTTGCAAAGCCGAGCATCGAGGCTGGCTCCATTGTGCGCTGCTTCCTGCTCGGCCACGATCACGACCTCCGCGTTCGTGCTCCGTACCAGCCCGAGGAAGTCCCTCACCGTTGCACCGGTGCCGTCGTAGAGCATCTTGTGCAGCTGCAGTACACAGTTCACAGCTACAGTCTCCTTCTCCTTGACATGAAGCATCCACAGCCGCACGTCTTCCAGCCGGTCGACAACGGGATGGAAATCGAACGGCAGGTTAAACGCCTCCGCAAATCCGGCGAGTCGCTCCCCCGTCTCGATCAGCTCCTGTTTTGACTCGCCCACGCCGGTGATTCGAACGTGGCTCGGCGGACGCGGCCTGGAAGCCAAACTCTGGAACAAACTCGGCCACTGCAGCCCCTGCTTCACGTCAAAATCGATGATGTGAACTCGGTCCTTCCCTTCGAAGGCGCGCAGAAGGATCTCATTCGCCGTGAAGTGGATGAACTTTGGAATCGGACTTAACTGGTTCAAGAGCCTCAAGGCTGTGCCGCTCTCGTCGTAGTCGACGCGGTCGAGCTCCCGAGGAGCGGCGACATGGAAGATATGCGGCCAAAGCCGCGCGACCCGCAACGCCAGCGCCTCGGTGTAGTAAGCAATGAGCCGGTGTACGGTAGAGCCTCGCGGAGAGGCGAGCTCGCCGAGCCTCGCAAGGCAATGGTTGACGGCGGGAATGTTCTTCGAGCCTATTTGTTCGACGCAGGCCACGAGTAAGCTTACGAGCTCGACGCAATCGTGTTCCCGGTGATTATTCTCGCCGTTGTGACCGGCTACGACGACGGCTGCCGCAGCGGTGCTTTCACCTGGATTCCCGACTTCGCTCTCCACCGGATTTCCGTCGTGGCTACCCGAAGAAGTGCTAGACGATCCCGACCCCTCCTTCACCGGGACCTTGATCCTCTCAGCGTCCTTCTCACCTAAATCTGTGATCTCCGTCACTACGGAATCGAACCATGGTATGTGCGACAGCGGCGGCAATGGCGGCGCCATGATATTAACGTTTCCCGGCACGAAACACACTCTCTCCCCGCCGCCTTCTTCGTCTCCCGAGCACGAGAGCGAAAACGGCAACTGAGGCGCGCCGAAGCCAGGATGAAACCAGAAACTATCGGCTTTCGATGTAGAACGATGATCCGACTTCCCGTTGCCTCGTTTCCTCTTCACTCTGTTCATGTAAGCTGCCTCATCATCGTCGTTGTCGTACGTCGACACTTCTCCGGCGTACCTCTTCTTGAGGCTACTCCGGCCCCTCTCCCAAAACTCATCCTTGATCTCCTTCCGAGCCTCGGCTGGCGACGGCGGAAGCTTGATGCTCTGCCTAAGAGAACACCCGCTAGTCCTATTCACTTCGCTGCTTGGCTTTTCAATCGATAGGCTGACCGGCATTACCGGCTGCGGCCGCGATCCGTCTTTGCGCGACGCGAAAGTGCAGGGGATGTCCAACCTCTGCGTGCTCATTGCTGGAATATGGTAAGCTTGAAACTGTGCAGCTGCTTCACTCCTTAATCTATGCCTCGGAGACGACAACAATGTCGAAGAACAACCAGCCAACATGCTTCAGATACAACCAAATCTTTCCCTTTTCTGCTGTAAATAACAATTGAATCCAATCCAATCCACCCACCCACCCACCCTTGAATAACCCTTTTCTATGTTTCTCTATGTCAATTTCTTCTATCGAATGAGAACACAGTTTACACAATTCACAATAATCAAGAGAAACAGAAGAACAATGTGGTTTCTATAGTGAGTGAGTGTGTGAAAATCAACAACAGAAAATCGGAATCCGATGTTCGAAACAACAAGAAAACAATCCTTTTGTGTGTGTGTGTGTGTATAAAATAATATATATATGTATGTATATGTATATATGCCTTTGTGTGTCCTATATGAAGATGATGATGATGATGATAGGTTTTTATGTGCAACAAAGAATATCAATCAAAGAACAAAGAAATCACCAAACGAAGGTATAAAAGAATCAAATAATCAAATGTATATTCATAAATTCAACGCCTGCCTAAAAAAAAGACCATCGGATTCCATAAATTTCAGAGCCAAATCATTCGGAAGAACAAGCTCGAAATCTCATTGAAGATGACAACAAGTGTTCGACGAAATGCCCAGCTGAAAATAAACACACACAACCAACAATTCCTCCATACATTACCTTCAAACCATCCATCTAATTTCAGTCACTTTCTCTCACTCTCACTCTCACTCTCACTCACACACACTCTCTCTCTACTCTCTCTCTCTAACCTATCATTTTCTGCAGAATTCAGTTTCTTCTAAGGAACCCAAAAAAAGCGATCAAACAAAACTGGGGTGTGTTTTTATATATAGTGCGAGAGCCACAGCGATGGTTCTATATAGTGAGTGGTGAATTTTGGGTATAAAAAATTGATGGGTGGGTAAAAAAGTGGGGGTGGGAGGATTTCGATTTGCGGGGGTTGGATGAGGATCGGACGGCTCATGTTGCACCAGGAATATGACCGTTGGGGAAGGCTTTGTCGGCGAAATATGACCGTTGGAGGGGTCGGAAGAGTGAGGGAGTAGTTGCACGGACTATTTCTTTATTGAGGCCAGACACGTGGGGTGCACGTGGATGAATCCTACCTTTTTTTTTTTTTTTTCTTTTTAACTCTTTTTTATTTTATTTTTCACTCGACCGTTGGTTTTAACATCATCGTTGTTTTGGTCCGGTTATATAAACCATTATTGACTGCGTCCGCCTGCCATTTGGCCAGCAATATTATTCTTATTATTATTATTTATTTTTTTATTTTTATTTTTTTACACGTAATTTAGTTTGACCAAGTCATGAATATCGTTTGTATTTATTCCACACGTTGGATGCTGCTGAGTGTTTTATTTTTATTTTTTTTTATATAATTTAACGTGTATATATTTAATTTATACCAAACACTGCATATACATATGAAAATAAAATATAACATACACGTATATATAAAACAACATATAAACCACTATTTTTTAAAAAATAAAAAGAAAAATCAAATTCTATATAAAACAAATCTAAATTGACTTAAATGGATCTAGAGCAAACTCCCCAACCAGCCCAATTTCTGCCCATTACTGGACTTTAATAATGGCCTAAATGAGCCCATTTGATGCCGGCCCAATAAATCAAGAGAAAATCGTAATATACAATACTGGCCTTTTTACTTTATACAACATTTTATTTCTAGCATGGTTTGCAATAGCTTATTCTCGAATTCTATTATTTTATTGTTAGATTTCGCATTTAACAATTATATAAAATATTTATTATTTTTATTTTTTAAAATATTTTCAAACTTTAAATATTTAATGTTATCTAAATAAGTATCAAATATGATTTTAAATTGAATATATATTTAATACAATATCAGTAAGATATTTTTAAAATTTTATAATAATAAGTACTCTTGCATTGCAAATATATATTTAAACAGTACAACTTTTTGTTAATAAATTATAAGTGTTACTTTTTACAAAAACAAAAGCGTACAAAACAACAGCAGGTAAATTTGCAGATAAACCCTTAAATTCTGAAGCGCAGGCGTTGCTCTTTCAACGACGTCGTTTAGTTCGAGAACGACGGATCCAATTTCCGATCTGCAAATTGAGTAAAGAGCAAGCAATCCTTGCAAGAATCCATGGAGGAGAAGCCCGAGATTGGCCGTAAGATGAAGCAGCTGGGGTTTTGGAAATGGGCGATCGCTTCCGTCATTTTCAGGCTGATTCTTAGCTACTTTTCGAAAAATCTCAACCTCTCCACTCGCCCCGAAGTTTCTACACCCATCACCAGCCTGCGCCGCCGTAACTGCTCTCTCTCTTTTTCTCTCTCTCAAATTTTCGAAGTTTTAATTGGAGTTTGATTTTCATTATGTTTTTATGTTGAAGTGGCTGAGGGCTACTGGCTGAAGCATTTGTCAATGTCGCCGTATTCTGGTTCGTCGTTACACGCATAATTAGTGGCTTAGCTTGTTAAGAAATTGTATTTTTGGGGAAAAGGATTGTAATGGTTGTGATGTGCAGGTTCGATGTACCATGGATCGCCTCTATTGCTTTCTATCTTGGGTCCTCTTACTGATAAAAAGTAATCTGTGTTTCCCTATTGATGAAATGCTATTTTTTGTTTATTAGCATTTGTTGTGTGAGTATTGATGGTATCTGAACTGTGTAATGCAGGATTGACGGGCAGCTTAGTTATCTATTATGCAGGTATTGTTAGAGTTATAGAATTTGATTCTATTTCGAAGCTTTCACTGCAATTGTGTACTGCTTAGAGTCTTAAATGTGTTAGCTTCCATGGGAATCATTTGCTTGTGTTTTTAGCATTAACAACAGATTCTTGTTTTCGGGTTGTAAGACTTATAATTGTGTGTTCTTTCCAAAAGGAAGCTACTGTGTAGTTTAGAAATGTGCGAAATGAATGGTTGTCTCTGGTAGAAGCAATCCCAGTTGGGTGAATCATTGTCACAGAGCAAATATCCAAACTCTATATGCTGCCCCTTTTACAAAAATCCTATACACCATTTTAAATCATCTAGTTATACTGTACTGTGTTAGTGTCTTCGCCTCTTTGGAGCTGCTATCCGGTCAAAATGATGAACTGTCAGTTTCTTAATTGCTCTGTTGTACTAATTAACTCTTTATTCGGAAAATTCTGTATTCTCTATAAGAGATGTTTGGGATTGGCGAGCTTGTATTTTCACATGTAAATAAATACACGTTCGGTTGTGCACACATTGCATAAAAAAATCCATACTAGAGGAGTGAGTTTGTTGTGGAACTTTTTATGAGGGCTACTGCTGGGGTTGTGATGGTAGCAGGGAGCTTTTATGGCTTGTGATGGATAAAAAAATGGGTGAGAAAAGGAGGAGAGGAGATGTACGATATGGGGGTTGGTGGTTGGGTTCCAGCAGCGGCAAAGGGTGGGATGATGGCACTGATGGTGATAAGGAGTGAGATTAGGTTTGAATAAAGTTGAAGAGAAAATAAAACGATTTAACTTATAACTATTATAAACCCATCTATTCAATCACTATTCACTAACATTTCGTCCTTTAGATTTCAGTCTACAATGTTATTTGATTAAACATTGCATCTACAATAAAATTCCTTTTTGTTGCTTGAAGGTCATCCACAAGTCTCTATCCACTACTTCTTTATTTGTATACTTTCTTTTCGCAGTCTGCTTTTGAGTATCATTTAACTGTGCAGAAAATCATCACGTTTTTGGATACAGCCTCGTTTCAGTTATTGCAGATTTTACCAGTGCAATTCTCATCCGTGCTACCGGACACAATCTTGTAACAGCACAGAGTCGCAACTTGAAAGCGTTGGGGCTTAATAAATTGTTCCAAGATATAGGTAAGCCAGATCTATCCTGATGAATTTTTTGGTGTTTTGAGTAATATATCCTGCTTCTATTAGCCTCTGGTAAACTGATGAAGTTTCTTTCTTTCAATGTTTAGAAATTCTGCCATCTGGTGACATTGCTGCCCTTGTATATTTGTGGAACCCTTTCACAGTTATCTCTTGTCTTGGTTATAATACCTCACCTGTTGAAAACCTTTTTATCATCTTATCAATTTATGGAGCTTCTTCAGGTAAGGTGGAACAAATTCTCTCCCTTTATGCATTATGATTGTGTCCTGTGTTTTAATTAGAATCCTGCAAGTAGGATTCATAAGCTTGTTTGATCCCTTTGATTGGTCATTGATCCTCATTTTCCTGAGCTGAACTCGTGCTCAACATACCTCACTTATTGCTGCCCAGTCGTATAAAGTTTTCCATTTAGTGGGAAACATTAATCAATTTTTTCAGCTCTAGGAAAATAAAAGTCATCATTTGGTTCATATCCACTTCAAAATTACCAATGAGGTTTCTGCATTTCCGGCCAGTGTCTGACTGGTTGACTATCAATGCGATAAGGCTTTTTATATGCTTCTTATGCTTCCCTTGTACTCACTTAATATTTAGCTGATTCTTGCTCGTAACTTCATCTGGTCTCTGTTAATAATTGTTAAGCAGTGAAAGAGCTGATAAATACTTATGTGCATTATCAGGCTGTGTTAGAAAGATTTTGTCTAATTTTGCTGCAAAGCCATTGGATCGAGTGCCAAATTTGCATGTAAATGGATTCTCGGGTCTATTAAAATGTTCTATGGCTTATGGAATGAGGGATTATATTCTTGCAGCTGTAACATCTTATTACCGCTAAATTGTTCCATTCAATGTACACAGGGAAAATACCTTTGGCTGCTTTTGGCTGGGTTATAGCTTCACATTTGTCTCTTTATCCGTTGATTTTGGTCATACCGGTATGTTTGATGAAGAAACTTGTAATTATCTTACTAGTGTTTTTCAGAAGCATAATGGCAACAATTTTATACCCCTTTCCAGGTGGTTTTTTTAATAGGTTGCGGTCTGGATGCACCCCCGAAAACATTGTGTGTGCAAAGTAAACTTAAAGGTGAAAAAGGAAGATCAGCTGATCATGGTGAATCAAAGTCACTGACTGATAAACTTACAAAAGATTCAAGTATCTCCTGGAAGCGAGTCATTCTCTTCTTTTTGTGGGCATCCCTATGGGCCTCCTACTTGTTAATCTTATGTGCCGTGTCTATGAAAGATCATGGTGGTCTTGGGGAGATGTTTAAGAGGTATAATATAATGTTGCAATACCTCCTTTTCTTTGTTCTTGTTAATGGGAATCTAGAAGTTTCAAATATCTGCTATCAATAATTCCTTCTACAATGAAAATAATCCAGGGTAAAGTATGACTAATCATTTCTCCGTATCAACAATGATTTAATACAAATTGTGTTTCTGACCAAACAGTCCATTTAGATGGCTAGGATACTCTTCATTCTTGTATTTTTCTGATACTGTTATATGTTTCTAATTCTGGTATTTGGTCATTTGAGCTAGAGCAATAGTTGACTCTTTTTTTTTTCCCTCCCTATTATGTAGTTTGGAGTCTGAAGCATGGCATTCCTATTTTATTTATTTTGTTATTATATACTTGTAGAAAGATTTATTATGCTCCATCATCGTTCTAAATTATTTTTTGTTCCTTTAAGTGAGGAATCCCTAGACATCCCAAATAATATAAATATAATTTCTCATCTTCTATTTTGATGTATTACAGTATTAATGAATTTGTATTTTTACAGGACCTATGGATTTATCCTAACTGTTAAAGATTTATCTCCTAACATAGGTGTCTTATGGTAAGTGTCAAGTCCATTATTGCTTGAATTTTTATTACTTTTTCCATGTGCCTCTATAACATATTTGATTTTTTCACTGCAGGTACTTCTTTGCAGAAGTTTTTGATTTTTTCAGGAATTTTTTCCTGATAGTTTTTCATGTGAACATTATGTTCATGATATTGCCTTTAGCCATCCGCCTAAGTCATAGGCCCTGCTTTCTGGCCTTTGTTTACTTGGCAATCTCTGCCGTGCTAAAGTCTTATCCATCGGTGAGCGTCTAATCCATCTCTGAATTCTCAAACATTTGTTCTTCTCTTTCCCTTGTCTTGATTGAATTTCTTATTTACTTACTCTTTATTTTGTTCCCATGATTCACAAACTTATCGGTGGAATATATTGGTATTGACTATTTCGGATGAAGCTGATGGTGTGCGCTCTGGTTTTGTTCCTAACTGTTAAGCTTGTGAATGTAATCAATAAAGGCATAATTTTTTTTTATTTATAATTATAATATTGACATTTACGTTGATAGTGAAGTAATTGATTACTGTAGATTCAAGAGATGCTTATACATATATACATAAATAAGCTTAATTGGCTCTGCCCATATACTACACTACCTAACACTTTTTATAATGTATATATATATCCACCACCATTGGCATTTTAGCACAAGTTCGTATGGAATAGAGAATATGAAACTAAATGAGACTCCATCCTTCAATCCATTCTACCAATCTTCATTTCATTTTCATTGTTGATATAATCCATCTATGATCTAGATCAGTTCTAGAATATAGCAAAAGGCTAGAATTAGAAATATTGTCTACTAACTGGTGATTCTGAAGATTTAAATGAAAGTTGTAATCGTAACTAATTTTTTATTTTATTTTGTTAATGGTCTGCCAACCATATTGAGCACTTCTTATTTTGTTTCATTGATCAGATTGGGGACTCAGCTTTGTACTTGAGTTTACTGATGTTGTTTGTTAATGAGCTATCAGGTGCATTGCGTCCCTTCCTCTGTACATCTATTCTTTATTTGTTACATAAGCTTCCTTATTAAGATCTGACACCTGACGATCTATTTGGTATGCAGAAATGCAATTTTCGTTCTTTCTCTTTTGTGGATATGTTGGGGTTTCACTTTTAAGCCCTATAATGCACAATTTATGGATTTGGAGGGTATGTCAATGCTATGCTATTCAGGAGATTGAATTCCTAAACCGGTCGACTAATCTGTTTTTACTATTGTTCTTTTTCAGGGAACCGGAAATGCAAACTTTTACTTTGCAACTGCAATAGCCTATACTTGTTTCCAGGTTTTTCCCTTTCTTGTTAGCCCTTGATCGTTTTAACTTCATTAAAACCGTATTCCTCTACATGAACTGTATATGTACTGATTATTTATGTCTGAATTTTCTATTAGTTCCCTAATAGCTGGGCCTATTTACTAGGAACCTAATAGTATTTCTTAGTATATGACAGACATCGGAATTACAAGTCAATGTTGCATTATAGAGAAAAAAAAAATTAAGTTTTTCTTCAATGTATGTGACACTTTTCAATAAACATTATGTCCAAATTGTGAAGAATAGGAGCATATAGAATGAACAAATCTCCCCTCTTCTTAATTTCCTTCTCATATAGTTGTCTTCTTGCAGATCATTCTCGTGGTGGAAAGTGTGAGCGCAATGCTTAATTATGATCGAAAAATCCGAAAGCTATGCAGTAGTACTTACTAGATAGGTAAACATATAGGGAGTTTTCGAGGGTACCTAGTAGATCTTCTGTTGAGCTGTGTTGTCGCTTGTAGATTGTAAAATACAGTTTTAGTTTGGTTGAAGCATTGTTTCCAATCGAAGATCATACTGTGCAGCATTCTCTTGCGATTTGTTTGAGCTCCTTTTTTCGAGGCCTTGATAAAAGGGGCAAAGACAACTTGTTGCAAAAAAATTACTGTTGTAGAAGCATCATATTTTCCACAAAAGAATCTACTTTTTCCCATGACATGATTTGTTTATCCGACATGTGGTTGTGTACATATACCTTAAATTGGATTTGGATTTGCTTACAGATATGTGAGATGAGTGAGTGATGATAATTAGGGAGGAACACAGTACAAGTTTCACCCATTGAAGAATCTTTATAGCTGTACATCTCTTCAGTTTCTTTTCAAATATAAATGAGTTAAAGGTTGAGCTCTAAAGATTAATTTGAAGACAATCTATGAAATCTGGAAGCCTCTGAATTTGAACTGTTACGGTCAGAAGTTTATTCTCATACTATTAGATTATCTCTCCAAAACCCGTCCTCGTCCTCAGTTTGGATTGCAGGATGCAACTCGCCAGCAGTCCCCTACACTCTTTACTAGTTCAGAAAAGGGCAAAATGAGTTTGTGTCTACTATTGAGTTAGCAACCCGAAGAAAATATAAGTTGAGTCATATCTATTTAATAGCTGCTAGTCTGACTTGTGTCATGTTATCTTTGAATTAACTCTTTTATCATTTAATATATATATATATATATTTAAAGTATTATATTCATTTTTGTCATCAAAATTTATGTCCATGTGGTCAAACACACATTTTAATAAAAATAGATAAAAACTATTATTTTCTTTTTATATTAAAGATTGTATTTTTTTACTAAATAAACAAAAATATCTTTGATGACAATAAAATAATAATAAAAAAATAAAAAACAAACATAAATCTGAATAACATGGGAGTATTATATTACCATTTAAATTAATATACTAACTAAACACACTCTTATAGTAAGATGAGTCAAAAGCCCCATAAGAAGCTATGGAATTGAAATAGTAGGTGAATGCTTTGTCAGTCGAGTCTAGAGAGTATCAGGCTTGGCTGCCGACATCTTTTCAATTAAGCCTCTACCATAGGTGTACTTATCCACATTGAAGATCAATTAATAGTGGATTGGATACGAAACACAACAAAGTTAAATAATTTTTTATATTTGAATTTGATATGTTAACTATTTATATTTGATTCCTTTCACGAATCAAGTTGAAAATATATTTTCAGTTTATATTAATTATCAAGCAATTTTCTCTAATTTAAAAATAAACATAATATTATAAAATAGTATACTTTTAGATTTAGATGTAGGAATATTGATTTTAATTTTCTATCAAACATTTTCGAGCAAAGCTAAAGCTCATCTGTAAACGTAAGTGAGTAATAATTTGTAGAGTTAAGCTTGCGAATAACTATAAATTCATTTATGAGCAATAAATTTGTTAGGTTATTCTTTCTTAAATTTCCCTAAATATGGAAAGAGATAAAAATAAATAAATAAATAAATAAATAAATAATAATAATAATAATAATAATAATAATAATAATAATAATAATAAAGCTCAATAATTGATTGAGTGTAAATGCATGGCCATGCACAACACAGGTCATGTAATTAATAATGGATTACGCATTTTGTACACTATTATATATATATATATATCACTATATATATTTAAAGCTTTAATTACTGACAATAAATTAATGGTAAGATTGAATAAACAACTTATAAAATTATAAAGAAACTATTTAAAGTTAGAATGAATAATAAATAATCTACTGAAACTGAAAGTGACAAAACAGATATCTTTCAAGCTGGAGGATTTTCTTTATATCTTACTTTTTTAACACAATGGCATTTATTTTAGTTTATTTCTACTGTCTTATGTATTTTCAGATTATGGAATTTTACTTCCTATGGTAACAAATTGTAGCTTTAGTTTCGGTGAACTCGTGATCATAAGATTAATGCTATCGATGTAGAATCTAAATCGAACCTTATTTAGATCAAGGATCAGAAATTTTGGGCTGAAACGTAACCGAGATAAGATTGACTAACCTCAATTACCATTGTCCCTCCATTGAACGAGGCATTGCCACCAAATCTTGACTCACTCATTTGGGATACATCCCTGCAAAAGAATAGCATTGCACAACTTCAGTAACTCATCTCACAGTCGAATCTCGGGGTTTAAAGTGATTGACTGTGTAAATTTACCAAATCATATTCACATTCTTCGATCCCAAGTATAATTTTATATGCAGTAGAAAAAGAAAAGTGAACACGGTCAAGGAGATCAGAAGATTATTGACATATTCTATACACTGCTGCTTTTTTGGCGAAACAAATATATTTACTACAGCTACATTAAGCTAAAAGAGAGCCATTAGGTACTGCATCTACCATAGGGGGACCTCCCATTTCATAAATTCTTCTACAATCATCGTCGTAAGGACAATTATTGTCAAATTTGGACAGCAACACGCAATTTAATGTGATGTTCAAGAGTGATGTGCATACGTATGGACATACTCTCAGTGAGATACATTTCCTTCCCAAATATCTAGTTCGAGAGCATGCATACTCAACCTACAATACACACCTGTGAAGCTCGGTCCCCCACACCTCCTCAAACAATAAAGAAAATCACCAAACATAGGTAAATTGCACGATTTATATAATAGAAAGACAACATGAGAAAGCTTTTCAGCCCTTTTCTATTTTCTATGTGAGAATATTTCATCCATTTCATATTTTACCAGGATAACTTGTAGTTTACCCTCTTTTAACTCAACTCAAGCTACACAAATAGATAATTCTACACTTACTAAACATAGGTAAAATGCATGATTATATAATAAAAAGAGCACATAAGAAGGCTTTTCACCGTTTTTTTTATTTTCTAAGTGAGAATATTTCGTTTATTTCGTATTTTACCAAGGATAACTCGTAGTTTACTCTCTTTAACTCAACTCAAGCTGCACAAATAGATAAATCTACACTTACTAATCCTCCATGGTTCCCCCAAGTTTGTATACACGGAAAACCATTCACGAAATTTGAGAATTAAACGGCATTTAACTCAACACTTTCATCGCAAGCACACACACACACACACACACACATATATCTAACAATTTCTGATGAGGCAAGAACATTGAAGAAATAACAAAGAACTTAATTGCATTGTCAGGTAGGTGGTGTGTCATATTTAAGAGCACATTTAAAGAGGATTAATATAATAAACAAGAAGGTCAACTTGTGGACAATTGTATTTCATAATCATCTGTACAACACCCCATTCTTAATTCTAACCAAATCTCAAACTCGAATCACAATCCGTGTATTATCGAACCAGCTTTTATGTATAAACAAACTAATCACAGAATTTGAGACTAAACCCATTATATAATCAACCTTTAGATTCAAAAAACACCAAAGCAAGAAGAATCCCAGTTTCTTCTTCTTCAAAAATTACAGCCCACATTGTTCTATCTATATTGCATACAATTGAACTTATCAATAAAGCCTAGAGATCTTCACCATTGCTACAAGAAACTAAGGTTCCTCTCACATTCAATGCTTTTAATTCCACTTTTTGTAGGGATCCCTCTTTCGATTTCTTTGTATTTATTTGTGTTGTGTTTCCAATTGTTCATTATTAGAGGTGCCTACACGTCCTCTCTTTGTACTACACAAGTCAAAGATTTCATCAATTTTGATTCACTCTCAAAAATCAGCTTCTAGTACAGAGCATTTTGACTTCCATTCGACATTTTGGAAAGCTTCTCTTTTCTAGCAACTAAATTCCATTTAGAAATCTATCTTCTTTCATACATATACCTACATTTAAGTTTTACCTTTTTTCTTCTGAGAGTAGATTCCATGGATTCTGGAGCGATTAAATCGGCCAAGGCATTGCCAACACCTCTGCTGCTGAAAGATTTTTTGTTGGAAGATTTGAGCTCGTGCTCGTCAGGCGGATTTGAATCATATCCCAGAAGGCGACACTGCACCACTACAGTTAGATTTCTTATCGAAATTGACCTAAAAAACACGCAGCAGCAGCAGCAGAAGAATAGATACCTGAATTTCAACAAAACTACGCCACCGCGTCTTCTGAAAAGCCCGTCGAAATCAGCTCTCGCAGCGTTCTACACTTTCATCACCGCGGTGAAACGTTTCCAATGCAGCGCCACTCCACCGGAAAATAAAATGCTCAAGAAATCATCGAGTCTACGGCGTAGCCTCTGCCTCTCCATGAAACTCATTGAGAAAAGTAGTAGCTTCTGGAAGAGGAAACCGAATCACAAAGGAATCGAACAGTGGAAGTCTTTCGAACAGTTGCTCAAGGAGGACTCGGAGCCACCAGCCATTTCCAGCAGCTTAACAACGGCGGCCGAATTCGCTGCGCCGGGAGAGTTTCCCGGCGGTAATTTCTCTTCGGGGGTAGAATCGACTTTAACATATACGGAAAACGACGTCGTTGAGATGCCGGCAAACGACGACGTTTCAGCTGACTCAATTGCTACTAACGAGACTGCCAACTATACAAAGGTAAGATTATTATTACTATCAATTTATCATCACGTAATTTAATTTATTTCTCAAAAAAGCATGAAGTAATATATTTGATTACAACCAAAAATGAACATTAGTTCATAGGAAGAATATAGCAGATTATTTCATTTAACTATTCGAGATGTTTATACAGTAGTTTAATGTTTTTATAAAATATATATTTATTAGAAAAGATTGTATAATTAAAACAAATAAAAAATGCTGAAAAAATAGAAGCCCCCATCATATGCTTACATCAAGAAAAATTAGTACTAATATGCTCATAAAATTTACAACATTCTAACAACAAAATATTCATTATACAATTTTGGTGATATAATTATATAGTAAATTAATAGTATGAGTTCTTTTTCTTTAGCAGCATTAATTTATGTGGGTAATTAATTATAAATATCTCTCGACATGGCATGTTACAATTTTGGGATATAGAAGGATCAATTCAGCCCGGTATCAGTTCTCAATTGCCCCTTTGAAGATGAACATGAAGAAGAAGAGGTTGCCTCTCCTTTTCAACACAATTTCACAAATGCAGAAGGTCCCTCTCTCTATTTATATATGTGTGTGCTTTTATGTATAAATATCATTCTTACCAACATATCAATTTATACACTAGTAAGTAACTACAGCTAAATATGGTGTTTTGGGATTACTCTACAGGAACAAGAAAGCAGCAAACAGAAGGAATTCATAAACCAGAGATCCATTTTCAGCTTGAGCCAGTGAACTTAGCTGAAAGATTTTCCCTTTTTCCGGACTCCGATAACGAATCTTCATTACTGGAGACCACGTGGGCCAAAGAAGAGGACGAGGAAGAGGAAGAAGAGAGGCGAGTACAAGATAAGGCATTGCATTTACTTAACCACATGAAGGACACGACGCCTTCCTACGGCATCAAAGCGAGGGCCGACAAGCTACTTCTCGACTTCTTCACCGAGCAAATCATGTTTCGAAAATGTGGTGGATACTCCTTCGATGAGGATGTTTTGGAGGAAGCAGAAAGTTGGATCATCGGGAGGGAGTGTCGCGAGTTGTTTCTTGAATGGAATGTGGCGAGTCGTAGGGAAGTGTATGTGAAGGATATGGAGAAAGGAGGGGAATGGAGGTCGATGGTTCGGGAGAATGAGGAGATGGCTTTCGAGTTGGAGGGCGAAGTTTTGGCTACCCTTTTGAATGAGCTGCTGGTAGATCATATGTCATTTCTAGAGGAACAATGTGAGTGAATCGCTAACGGCATGTATTAATCGAGAATGTATAAAAAGAAATGCGTACCTAAGTTCTTGCCGGCGTGACGTCCAAACACTGCAAAAGAATCTCAAACTGTGTAATTATAGCAACGGAGAAAAAGAGTTCAAAGTTTTCCCTATTCGATTCAAAAACAAACTTTCTTCGCCATTTTCTAGCATTTCTAGATTCATTATGGGCCTAAGAAATGAAAAGTGTCAACAACGACGACATTAGGAGATGTCATATCATCAAAGTGTAGTATGAAAGACAATATGTAAATACTTACTCAAAATTCACTTCAACTGTGTAGGCATTTATATAAATAATTGTCATCTCAGAAGCAAAAAATCTGTCATTAGGGGATTATGTCCATTACTTTCATAGGGCTTTTATCACAATTTTCGTCTCTGAACTTGTCGATCATTTCCCAGCGCTCGACACAGATCTGCATACATTACACGGCCATATAACAAGGGCAAAATCAATTGAAATGTCAAGACAAATACACAATCTACTCACCAAACCTGTCCTGTTTCAAATGCCGGAGGCCATGAGTTGAATCTCCAACACAATCAGATTAATGTTTCTTATAGAATCCTTGCTCCATTAACCAAACCTGTAGCCATCTCCACATTTTTGGCCAATTCAACAGCAGTGCCTACGTACGTATGGGGTGTCATATGTAACAGAGCTGTTTTAGCTTCTGTAGGGATATCAAGGCCTCCAATGAATTCTCGTATGCTCTCTTTGGTTACAGCTCTCCCTCTAGTTAGCTCCTTCAGCTTCTCATAAGGCTCTGGAACGCCATATCTTCGCATTACCTATAAAGGAAGTAAAAATGGTAAATGCAATAAAAACATATATAAGCAGGTATAAGTGAAAAAAAAAATAATAAAATTGTTCGTTCTGGCAGTCTACAAAGCCTTTTGCATTAAAAAATCATAATATAAAGAGATATTTATGCTAGCAAACTTTACATACAGTTTGAATTGGCTCAGCCAGAACTTCCCATGATTGGTCCAAGTCTGCGAGTAAAGAAGCCTTGTTCACCTGTGAGAAGCAAAGCGGTAGAAGATAGGTAAACCATGTAGGGGAATTCATAATCTACGAATATAATTTGATCATAAATGCAGAAATTGACACAAGGCTAAACACAATGCACCATCTGGTCAGACTTGTCCTCAACAAGAGCACAATCAAGAATAGCCTAGTGCATCGATTTATGATCAACACAGAGCACTTGCCTAGCAGTAGCCAGATGTGCTCAGGGGAAAAAACAAAGGGTATAAAAAAATTAAAAATAAAAGAAAAAAAGAAAAAGGAAAAAGAAACAGACATACCCAAAGTTCTTTAATAAAGACAATTAAATTTATGGCCAAAATGGCATATCTGAGAAGGGGTCCTCAGATGAATTAGTAAACATGCATGAAGTTCGTTGTGACAACATTTAGAGGACTCATTCAGAAACAGAAATTGATCAAGCTCTCTCAGTGAAACTATACAAAAGTAGGCATATAGTACCAATTCATGACCAAAAAGCATCAAGTGTAAATGGTGTAATATAATGACAGTAGAGTCAATGGATGGGATCCTAATTAGAGCCATACCTGAAGCTTTGCAATGCCCTGCAATGCACTCTTGTAAGCTACGAGTGAATGTCCTAATCCAACACCCATGTTCCTCAAAACGGTGGAATCAGTCAAATCTCGCTGCAGTGACAACCATAATAGTGATTAGCAACAACATCACTACATCGGAAGGAACAGGGAATGAACTATTATAAGTTGATAGCACACAAATTAAGGGTAACATACTAAAAGTCACATCTTTCATGCAATGCTATCTGTATGCGCAAGAATATAACCTTAATATCTTCAAACAATATCAAGTACATACCTGCCAGCGAGATATAGGTAGCTTTGTACTTAAATGAGATAAGCCTCCATTCGCAATCCCACAGTTGCCCTCACTATTTTCGAAGTCAATTGGATTAACTTTGTGGGGCATTGTTGAAGAACCTATCTCACCAGCCTTAGTTATCTGCATATTTTGAAAATGGCATAACTCCACAACCAAATGATAAAAAAAACAACATTGATACTCGGAGCTAACATATTGATGGCCATACCTGCTTGAAGTATCCCAATGAAATGTACCCCCATACATCCCTATTGAAATCAACTAAAATATTGTTGAACTGAATCATAGAATTAAAAAGTCTGGCCATGTAGTCATGAGGTTCGATCTGTTACAGAAACCAAATAGATTAACATAAGTTAGTAAACTTGACAAAGGGTGATGAAAAACTTAGTCAAACTGCCTACTGATGAATATATCAAACATAAATCATGTATAAGATTAAGACACAAGAATCAAGATGATTACGGATAGGCAAAACCGCATTGGCTAGAAAAATAAGTTAACTGAGGACTGAAATACGGAAGCAGGAATGAACTAAGGCACCTCCCGAGCTCATAGCATCATTAGTTACGTAATTGTTGTTTTGGAAAATTTTCACAATATATCCCCAAAACTATAGCAAATACACTTTATCCCATTGCTATATCTAACAAGTAGTTTTTGCAATTTCCTTTTTCAATTCTCATTGTTTTCTTCAGATTTTCGCTCTCATTTTTCAGGCTTCCCAATATCCACTTTTAGTTTTCCACAGCTTGTGAACATATATTTTTTATGGAGAAAGCAAACCCCTCCTTCCCCTAGGAAAAGTGAAAAACTAAAGTTCAATTGTCTTTTAGCCTTTATTCAAACAGCTCTCTTATCAATCCCAGCAATGTAGATTTCGTCCAATATAGATTAACCTTAGTCTTTTTATTCTCTTTCCATTAATTTGATGTTTAACCAAAAATACTTAAATTTAAGATTGAAAAAAAAAAAAACTATAGATATTGGAGTGTAGTAGGATGATACATTGTTTGGGCAACGTTAAAGAATGCAACTGCATTTAAGTTTCATAGTGGTTGGATGTGATATATTATATAAAGCTTAGGTGTTGAAAAAAGAACTTTTTATATTAATTGCATTGAAAAAGGTATCAAAACACAGGTGAACAAAGTCTAATAATGATTAGAGTGATGGTGATATTAACACCAACACTAATAGATTAAAATACTAGATAAATCATAATGTATAAATTATTTATAATGTCATCTCATTATTAAATCAGTAAGATATTTAAAAATACATATCTATAAATTATTATATATGCACTCTCTCTATATATGTTAGAATAATATCCTATCATAATAGAAATCAATACACCACACCAAAAAACTCACTATATTTTTCTTTAAAATCTCCTGCATGCAACCAAATGATTATTATATTTCGAACAAATTCTTATCCCTTTTTTTAAAAAATAATCAATATCCCTCTTTAAAAAAAGAACATTTAATTCTAACCTAAGTTTTCCCAGATAAAATTGAATATTAGCAAACACTTGTACAAAGCATATTGATTCCAACCGGCATACCTGAGTCACATAAGGATTGAAACTTATTCCAAGAGATGTGACAAACTCCTCAGCAATTTGTGGCCAATTAACATCGGGATATGCAGCTAGATGTGCATTGTAGTTTCCAACAGCTCCAGCAAACTTCCCTAAAATTTCAATTCGAGATAACTCCTGCCTTTCTCTGCTTAACCTGTAAGCAAATATTGACATTTCCTTCCCGAGTGTTGTTGGTGAAGCTGGCTACAAAGTACAATTCACATGCACACATTAGAAGGTGCTATCAGATTGTCAATATCAAGTCAATGTTGTCAAAGAACTACCCTTCAAAAATGTACAAATGATGCATGCACAAGATTTTGGCAATCACACATCAGGTTGTAGGTTTGAAACAACTCATTAATATTATTATTCATGGCCAGATTCTCCTCCTATGTCCAGCCAGTGGGTAGAGAATTTATAAATACAAGCACACGCGACCAAGATCAGAAGCACTACATTTCACAGGGGTAGCTTCTTACCTGTCCATGAGTTCGAGAGAGCATGGGAATGGAAGCATTTGCAGTAGCAATATTACAAATAGATGTAATCAATCTGTCCATAACAGGTAGTATAACTTTGTCAAGTGCTTCTTTCAGCATCAATGCATGAGCTAGATTGTTGATGTCTTCTGATGTGCATGCAAAGTGGAAAAACTCAAGCACCTACAATAAAAGAAACAGCTATTAGTAGATAACAAAAATTCCATAAATAATAGTCTCAAAAAAAAAAAAAAAAAAAAAACACATACACACACAAAACAAAAACAAAAACAAAAACAAAAACAAAAATCATGTCTATCATACTGCAGGAACATTTGCTAAACTCAAAATCATCAAAAACTATATGAATCAGCATATTAACCTTCGAGATCTCTGGATGTGACTGGCATCTTTGTTTCAGGAAGTACTCGACAGCCTTCACATCATGGTTAGTCACTTTCTCAATTTTCTTTACTTCCAATGCATCATCCATGTTAAATTGATCAATCACGTTTTGAAGAAAGGTCTCAGCATCTCTGGAGAAAATCGGTACTTCAGAGACTCCAGAAATTTGAGAAAGTTTCAATAGCCACCTAACCTACCAAGATGAAATACAAATGGGAACATATATGATTAAATAAAATTAAGTGAATGAAACGATTAGCAACAGTGTTGTATGATGGAACACACAACTGTGATTTCAGCTTCAATCCAGGCCAACCTATTCAAATGGCTGAAAATTAGCTAATCAGCATTAGGAAGAAAAGTAAATTTCCAGAAAAAGGTTTCTTAATCTGATTGATATTACTTTCTGAGACAACACAGAATACACCCATCAAAGAATTGCTCACAAGTCACAAGGTATATTATTTTCAAAACCAAGATAATTTATAGTTGGCGATAGTGCAGGCAGGGGTATATGCAAAACCTAGATGTTCACTTGTACGGTTGTACCAATCTGAGTCTCAAGTAGGATAAAACTCTAGTTATCATGGCACGAGTAGGATAACACAGTACTACATTGTTACATGTTTCAAAGCATCCACCCCAAAAACTCTTGACTTATTTTTATAGGAATCAGACAATAATTTGGAACATTAATCTTAGTACTTGTTTCAAAAAATAAATTGAACAGAAATAATGAAAAAAACATATTAACCTCATATTTGAATGCACTATCACCTAAGAGAATGAACTCTATCAAATTATATTGACAAATCACAAATACAATAACCTTTCTGTCAAATGCCTGAATTTTGTTGCAACTTAGTTTTATAGAAAATGAAAATAGTCAAAATACGCCTTAATGCAAACAACAGCTGTTATTAGCTCAATAAATACCTCAACCAGAACCCTGAATTTAATAAGACCAAATTCACTCAAAAAAGGACCCAACTCCTTCACTTTTGTCCAATACCGGCCATCCAACGGGCACAAAGCTGTCAAACTTGAAAGCTCAACATCCAGTGAATAGTCAGTAGCAGGCATCATTTGCACCTGGAAAAGGGAATTTAATTTATATCAAGATAGATATATATACATATATATATATATATATAAACACCATTCACAGGAAAGAGGCATCCACATTGAAATTTGAGCTCTGGTCCAGCAAGTTAGCAAGATTATACACAAGTTCCTTGTGATATGCTAAGACACTTTTCTGCAAGGCAACTAAAAATAGCAACAGAGATGCATGAATTTTTATAAACTACGAATGATGAAGCATACCATGGACTTATAAGGTATGGTTAATAACCAAAATATCATCCAAAATCAAATTGTTATTATTATTTTTGAAACTTGAATATGTCACCAGTAGGTAACCATAAAAATGATAATAGTAAGGAGAGGATAAAGAAAAGAAAACTGGCTTATGAAGTACCAAAAAATCCACTCAAGCAAACTATATTTTCCTTTACAAAAGATGCTAGTTATCAGAATACAATGTAAAAATTTACACATGATGAAGTAATTATTTCAAATTATTACATGGCGATACACCACTTATATCACAAAAACATATTTGACACTACCAAAGCAAGTAAAAGAGTTCATGAGAAAGTCCACATTTCAAAAAGATATTTTGCATCCAAAATTGATGAAAACAAATAATCAGGTTGCTTATTTCTATTAATAATCCCTAAAGCAAACTATCTCCAAGCATCAATACATCTCAACCAACCACGCTATCAAAATCAGAAACATATATATACATATTCAGAAAATGACTACGAATTTATTGAACATTAGTAAGTAAAATCCGACCGCTCAAATAATAATCTGCAAAACCAACTGTGCAACTTTAGCCTCATCCAAAAAATAAAAGCACAAATACCTTCAAGGCGGTCTCGGAACTGCTGCTGTTCTCTTCCTTGTTGGACGCTTTAAGGATGAGACTTCGGTATGAGCTAATGGAAGCACAAGAGAAGGGGCGATTGTTGTAGAAGTTCAGATAATCTAAGCGTTTTGTTGAAGCTTTGAATAGCGTCCCGTCGTTGACAGCAAAACCACCGGCAGCCGCTGCTCTCAATTCCATGCTAGAAATAGGAGAGTATTCGAAGATGTTGCAGCCTCAGCTCCGAATTTCGGCTCTCTGCGTAGTAGCGGCGGAGAATAGAAAGTGCGAACGACGGCGACGGCGCTCCTGAATTGGCTACTCCAGTGATATTAAAGAACCATTTTATAAATAATTATATTTAAAAAATATATATATATATATATATTTACCAAATAAAAATACGCTGTTCGAAATATTACACGTTCAGTCTAACTTGTACATGTTTCGTTTTTATATGTACAACAATTAAAAGTAATTTTTTTTTTTTAATCGTCATTTCTACACCAATTACAAATATTTTATTTTATATTTATTTACAATCAATATTGTCACCCATTACAAATACATTATTTTTATATTTATTTATAATAATACTATTATATTATCATTGTTTTTTAATAAAACTGTAACTATATTTTTTTATTTTTTTTAATGAGTTTGGAATCCGCAGCTGTTATCCCAAAACACACCGGATAAATTTCGGCAAATTTTAACTATATTTATACAAATAAGAATTGATTCTTTTGATAAAACAGTGTGTTCATAAATATAAAAAGATATATTGGAAAATATATTGCTAGTGAAAAGAATTATATCAACTACTAATAAATTAGATAAGAGAAATATTATTATAATTATTTAATTATCTTTGATAACTTATTTTGATAATAATTTAGATGTAATATTTTATAATATTGAGATCATATAAAAAAATAATAATTAAATAATAAGAATAACAAGAAAATAGCAAATAAATACAAATTAAATTAAAAAGTAAAAATAAATTAACACATATCCCACTTTTTCAATTTTATTTCTTTATATATTTTTTAGAAAATAAAATTTATTTAATTTTTAACCTTCAATTCTTTATCTCAATTAAATAAATAAAAAAGATGATATTTTTATTTTTCCTATCTTCTGTCATCATTTATTTGTATCAAATACTCCACGTAAAGAGAAAAAACAACAAACAATAACAACTAAAAAATGACCAAATAACAACTCTATGTCTAAGAGCTATGGTCGTGGTTTGGATGACCGTGAGGTTCCGCCAGCTTATGGTGTGTTTGTTTGGGGGTTTGGATTTTAAATTATAATTTGAATAGTAAAAATTTTGAATTTGAATAGTTGTATGCTGTGATATAAATAGGTGTTGATGTGATGTTTTGAATGTAAAATTTATTTTTAGTATAATATAAAAAAAATGAAAAATAGGTGTTTGATTTGATGTTTTTAAGAAAAAAATGGAATGAATAAAAATAGTATTATGCTCAGTTGAAAATTTATCCGTGCGCAGACAAAGTATTTTACTTATTTATTGAAGCTAGAGAAGTGAGATTTAAAAATAAAAATGTCTTCCTTAAAGTAGAAAATGAAAATTGAAAAAGGTTGGATATCTTCATTTAATTATTTTTTTTTACTATTTAATTTTTATGATTTTTTTATTAAAATATATTATATTCAGTCATTTCTAACTTTTTTTTTTTTAGTTCTTATAAAAAATATTCATATTTTTTAAATTAAAAATATATATTTTTTGTTATAAGAAGATTATTATTATTATTATTCAATTTTATTAAATTTTATGTCTAAATATTTGGTTAGGAGAAAATATTACTCTCTCCGTCCCACATAATTTGTCCATATTTTCTATTTTTGTTCGTCCCACATAATTTGTCATTTCTTTTTTTGGAAAATTAATTATACACTTTAATCATATTTTAAAATTTAAAATTTAAATTTTTTTAATCTTAATTAAACTATTTAGTTATCTTAATCTTAATTTATAATTATTTTTACTAAATAATAATTATTTTTACTAATATATTTCTTAATTATTTACTAATTATACTTTACATAAATTCCAGGTTTATAGTAATACACCCTATAGACACTAAAAATAAATATATGGTATTTAATTATGCACACATGTTAATTTTTGTACAATAAATATCAACGCAAAAATCTGCTTAAAATGGAAGATATCATACAAATATTACGTGCATTAATAGAGCCATAATAAATTTGGCAGCAAAATAAATTAATTTTGTCAATAAAGGAAGTATATAAATTAATATCTTCCAAAAAGGGCAATAATATAAAGATTTTGGCGAGAAAAGAAGGTGCACAATCAAATCCGTCAAGAATGGAAAACGGCATCCGATGAAAAAAGAAAGATTATAAAATCTTTCCATTCACGTAGCATCATCCGAAAAGGAAGCCAAGGCCGCCCTCCCCTATAAATAGGAGTCATGGCCAGTTCATTTGACATACCAAAGTTGCATCGAGGATTCAAGCAAAGGGGTAAGTCTCTAGACTCTCTTTGTATTGTTCTTCATGTTCTTCGTCGAAAGTCACTGATTTGGACAAATGATTCAATATTGATTGACGAATCGATGAAGTTAACGTTCTTCGTCGTATGTCCAAGCCGGAGGAAGGATCAAAGCTCTCAAAGCCGTTGAGGAATTCGTCAAAGCCAAGGGAAGGTCTTCAAAGTTCCTCTTAAAGCTTTAAGATGTTATCCGTTCTTCAACAAAGCATCAACTAGTCCCTCTTCGATCCAAAAAGTCAAAGGGACACCAAATCCACCTCCTCAAAGATCAAAGCTGCGGATCGTTCCAAGAAGACATCAAATCCAAAGCCGATGATCAAATCGCCTACACGGAGACCAAAGTCCTCCAAAAGCGGCAAAGCCAAAGCAAAAGTCAAAGCTGCGGATCGTCCAAAGAAGACATCAAATCCAAAGCTGATGATCAAATCGCCCACACGGAGACCGAAGCTCTCCAAAAGGCAAAAAAGGCAAATCAAAGATCAAAGCCGCAGATCGTCCAAAGAAGACAACAAATCCAAAGCTGATGATCAAATCGCCCACATGGAGACCGAAGCTCTCCAAAAAATGAAAAAGGCAAATCAAAGATCAAAGCTGCGGATCATCCAAATAAGACAACAAATCCAAAGCTGAGGATCAAATCGCCCACACAGAGACCGAAACTCTCCAAAAGGCGGAAAAGGCAAACTAAAGATCAAAGTTGCGGATCGTCTAAAGAAGACATCAAATCCAAAACCGACGATCAAATCGTTCGCACGGAGACCAAAGTCCTCCAAAAGCGGCAAAGCCAAAACAAATGTCAAAGTTGCGGATCGTGTAAAGAAGACAACAAATCCAAAGACGATGATCAAATCGCCAACGCGGAGACCAAAGTCCTCTAAAAGGCGGCAAAGTCAAATCAAAGATAAAGCCTCGGATCGTCTAAAAAAGACATCAAATCCAAAGGCGATGATCAAATCGCCAACGCGGAGACCAAAGTCCTCCAAAAGGCGGCAAAACCAAATCAAAGATCAAAGCCTCGGATCGTCTAAAAAAAACATCAAATCCAAAGCCGACGATTAAATCACCCGCACAGAGACCAAAGCTCTCCAAAAGTCGGCAAAGTCGAACCGAAAACCAAATCTCTTCGGATCAAAGAAGCCATCGAAAATTAAGTTGGAAAACAAATCGACCCGGAAGGATAATCAAATGACCAATTTAGAGAATAGGACCCGCTTTAAATTCAGATCAAATATAATTTGTACAAATTTTGTGTTCATTAAAAATAACACAATTTTTTGTCTACACATCCATATTAGGGAGTATTTTATTATACAAAATACTTCTTAAAACAAGTGTTTAATTTTGTTTTTACAAAAAAATCACAAATTCAAGGCACCAAAATTTGTTAGGAATTCTAATTTCATTGAAACTATCTTGCAATATATTGTTTTGCCTAAAAAACTTCCAAATTTGTCAGTCTTGATTAAATCAAATTACTTTCAGCAGCCTAAAAAATTTCCTAAAATCTCGATCTTTAGATTAAAGGCGTGCTTGACAATTAGCTGATTCAATAGCTGGTTTGACTAACTGATTCGATTAGCTGTTTGTATTAAAATGTTTGGTAAAACAACTGTTTGATATTAGCTGTTTATAGGTAAAATGACAATCGAGGACATTTCTATTTTATTTTTTTCCTAATATATTTAATTATGTTTTTTTGAGTTTATAATATTTAAAATTTTTTGTTATTAGTTATTGAAAATCGTAAAAGGGTTATAAAATTATTTATTTTTATTATAGTTAGATTTAAAAAATAATATATTTTTATTAAAATATATAAATAATTTTTTATTGAAAATAATGTAAAATATAGAATAATAAATTTTTCGTGTATATATTTATTATGTTAGTTATGGATTAGTTCATTATATATATAATTTTCAATAAATTTAATTTATTTAATTTATTTTTAGTATAAAATTTATATATTGTAATTTTAATATAAAAATAAATCATTAATATTTATATTTTCTATTTTATCTTGATTTTAATAAATTTATATATTTTACAATTAAAATAATTTTTATATAAAAATTAATTATTTTAAATTTATAAAAATAAAATTATAATATAATAAAATATTCTAATATAATTAATAAATAATCAAAATATATTTATTTGTATAAAATGCATAATAAATATTTAAGGGTATATAATGAATAAATTTTTATTTTATTTTTTTACAGTATTTCAAAACGCTGGGTGGATAGAGAAATTAGTTTTTGAGTCCAAAAAGTTATTCCAAAAAACTAATTTACCAAACACCTAAATTAATTTTTGACTGGTCAAACAGTTTAATAAATTAAAACTCTTCAAAGCTATTTCTCAAATACCCCTAAATCAAACTAGTAATGCATATAGATATATTTCAATTTTTTTTTATTTTTTATTTTTTTTAAAAAAAAACTTTACATGTGTCGTGACGCTTTTGACGCCGTCTACAAAACGGAAGCCACCAGCCGTCACAAAAAACTGTCCCTCCTAACTTTTTACGTGGTCAAAAGAACACTCACCAAATTCCGTAACGGCTTTAGGGAGTGTGTTTGGACGTGTTTTTGTATTGGATCTTCATAATTTTTCATTAAAACATATTAAATTAAAGTTTAATTTTTATTAAACTCCAAAACTATGTATAAACCGAACATAAATGAACACATACCTAACCATTTACAAATATTATTTTCATTTCAGTTTCTATATTAGAGATATAATTTTAAAATTTAGGTAAAGTATAATTAATAAATAATTAAAAAATATATTAGTAAAAATTATTATTGTATATTTAAAATAATTATAAATTTATTAAAATAAATAAATAGTTTAATTAAGATTAACAAAATTATAAACTTTAAAATTTAAAATGTATAGTTATATTTTAAAAAATAAAATAACAAATTATGTGGCAGACAAAAAAAAATATGAATAGATTATGGATAAACTATTATATTTTAAAAAAAATTAAAAAACATAAATAAAATAAAGTACACATTTCAATAAGCTAAGTAACAAATACTTTTTCTATTATATTTAAATAATATGTTTTTTTTACTATTTTTAGATTTTTTTTTTTTCAAAAACGACTAAAGTTATTAGTTTAAAAATAAAATATAAATATAAATGAAACATTCTTTGTACTCAACCTTGTATTATGATTGAAAGAACAAAACACTTATAAAATACATTTAATAACACCTGGATATTTTCCAAATGTTAAATTCAATTTTTATATAATTATGATTGTGACTGTGACTATGATTGTGGTTATGATTAATAATAACTCTTATATTTATTTATTTATATTCAAGAACAGTGAATTCAATCATGTGGAGCGCAGCCCAAAGGGTTAAGAGCAGATTTTGTATACTTTTTCGGTATATTTTTGCGCCGTATTCAAAGGGTGCTTTGAGTTCCTTATAAAGACTCCTGCACATGCTTGTAGGCGTCTGGTATCATTCTGCTCTATCTCTCTTGAGATTTGTATGGCCGTTATCATCTGGACGCTGTGGAGCTGATGTGTCTCGTGGTTTGCTGATCTGTTGTTGAGCTTTGGTTTTCAGTGGAGCTGATAGGATTGGGATTGATTTTCTGCAGTGTTGGTAGGAATCCGTCTTATTGGGGCGGATTCGTATCCGGAAGCCGGTGGATTCGGCAGGAATATTTTGTTTGTTGATGCTTATCTAATTCTTCATATCTTGCATTTCCGCTGCCTGGGAATCCTCAGGTGACATTTTCGTTTTCTCTGGATTTCATGAGGTTTTTGTTTGCGATGTGTTTCAAGGTTTGTATGTATGTATACTTCTGTGTGCATCAGAGATTTAGGAGAATATATGAGAACCGGAAACTTGATGTGCTTTTTTTTTTTGGTATATAGTATCATTTTTTTTTTTTACTATTGCTCAAGGAAATAGAATGAGAATCTAATGATAGAGTTGTGTTTAGGACTAGAATGAATAAATGTGTGGTTTATGTGAAGACAGGTAGGGGTTGTTAGTATGTGTTGCTGATGGCGTCGTTGTAATAGAAAACATAATCTTCTAAAAGGTATTCAAAATAATCAGTACTTTTTTTATTTTTGTCATATTTTGGAGTTATACACTGTTAGCTTGAATTTGTGGAGTTTGTTTGTTTAACTCTGTTAGGGGAAGTTCATTCACTAATTCATTTTGTAATTGAAGTTTTATTATACTGCACTCAAATGTTTTGTCATCTTATTGAATACAGAAATGGTTGAATTCGGAAAGAAGTTGAAGGAAAGACAAATTCAAGAATGGAAGGGGTATGTGCAATACATTTGTTTATATGGGCTATTATTTATTCATTTTTTCTAATCGTAGATGTTTGTGTGCGAAACATCGCCATGTTACTATGCCTAAAGTGCTATCACTGAATGAGTAATGATGTTATTATGCTACGACAGCAATAGGGAAGCATAGTGCCAACACATAGACCACAGTTTGAATTTTTGAAAACCCTTATGTTCTTTAATAATTTTGTGCACTTTGATATCATACAGGTTCTACATCAACTACAAACAAATGAAGAAAAAGGTTAAGCAGTATGTTAATCAACTTCAAGCTGGAGCACAGGGTCGCCGACATGTTCTCAAGGATTTCTCAAGAATGCTGGATAATCAGGTGAAGCTATGCTATCTTTTGTTCTGTTCGCATGCTTTGAGCTACTTGAGGTTCATGGAAGCCAAAATCTCATTCTTTTCAAATTTTCAGTTCTTTCATGATGGTTGATGTTCGGGTGGTCTTTGCATGTTTTCTTCATTATATTTGTGTTGCAATCTTATGTTTGTCTTAAGGCTGGGAACCTATGGCCATAAAAGGAATGCATGTATCAGAAGTCCCATTGGGCTAGAATCATTGTTGCAATACCTCAAATTTGTGGGCATCAATCTAACGATGATGCTTTTAGTTAACCTGGAATTTAGAGAAATGTGAAAAAATAGGAAAATAAATTATTGTTTATCTTAACGCGTATCCCCATGTGGCCATGTCACACATCTTCAGTTTAATAGAAATTGAAACAAATTGATATTTCACAGTTACACTAGTAAAATAAAACCTCTCTTTGGTCTTAAAAGTAATAAAAAATAAAAAAGTCTCCCACTGAACTATACTTTTAGCTTAGAAAATATTTCATGCTCATCGTGGTTGCATGTTGTGTATCATACTAAGATGTCCATTATCCTCATTCCAGATTGAAAAGATAGTGCTGTTCATGTTGGAACAACAAGGCCTTCTGGCAAGTAGGCTTCAGCAGCTTAATGAGGAGCAAGAATCTCTTCAGGGACAACCTGACATATATAAGATTACCGAACTACGTGAAGCTTATAGAACAGTTGGGCTCGATCTCTTAAAGCTTCTCTATTTCTTGGAAATAAATGCTATTGGTCTGCGGAAGATCCTTAAGAAGTTTGATAAGCACTGTAGGTACAAGTTCACTGATTACTATGTGGAGACCCGTGCCAATCATCCGTATTCTCAACTCCAGCAAATTTTCAAACATGTGGTAATATGCTTTAATCCTTCCCGCCTTTCTTTAATTTGTCTATTTTTCTCAATGTCTGTGAAGATAAATTCAATGCAAATTGTATCTCAGTAATACCTTAACTTGTTACCAATGGCCGCATTATATTTAACCAGTTGATAGGAAAATTAAATAGACCATCACTCACTCCAGTGGTAATTACAGGGGGTTGGGGCTGTTGTTGGGGCTATATCACGAAATCTTGCAGAACTTCAGGACCGCCAAGGAAGTTACCTATCTATATATGATCAGCCTCCTGTTCCCCTCCAGGTTTTAGACATTCCTCACTGAATTGGCTTCAGTATGCTTTGGTGCTTATCTTGTGTTTCTTGAGTGCATTGGTCTCTTATTATTTGAAGCATTTTCCTGCAGGAACCTGTTGTTGACTCCTTGCAGTCAGCAGTTAACCGATTATCAAATTCCACAAGTTTTCTTGACTATTTGGGACAGCATGCACTTATCATGCAGGAGGAGTTGCCTCCCGTCGGGGAACACGCCGGTGATCAAAGATACCATTTCATGTCACTTGTCCTGAATTTAGCAAATACATTCCTGTACATGGTAAATACTTATATTATTGTTCCAACTGCGGATGACTATTCTATGAGCCTTGGAGCAGCAGCAACAGTATGTGGTGTTGTGATTGGAGCAATGGCAGTTGCACAGCTATTCTCTTCTGTGTATCTCAGTGCTTGGTCCAACAAATCGTATTTCAGACCTCTGGTATTTAGCAGTATAGTTCTTTGTGTGGGAAATGCCATGTATGCGATGGCTTATGATCTGAATGCATTATATATACTTTTGATTGGCAGATTATTTTGTGGGTATGCCTCTCTCTCTCCCTCTATGTATATATATATATATGCATATTTATCTTCATGTCTATATATATGTACATGCTTTTATTTATTTCTCTACAGAATATTATGGTATTAATCTGTGTATGATACATGATTTTATTATTTCTTTCCTTTTGAACATCTTGCAGCTTGGGTTCTGCCAGAGCAGTTAATCGACGTTATATTAGTGATTGTGTGCCAACAAAAATTCAAATGCAGTCTTCAGCAGCTTTTGTTAGTGCTAGTGCCCTAGGTATGGCCTGCGGCCCTGCACTAGCTGGACTGCTTCAAGTTAACTTCAAGATCTATAATATCACATTTAATCAAAATACTTTACCTGGTTGGGTAATGGCTGTGGCATGGCTAGTCTATCTGATATGGCTGTGGATCTCATTTAAAGAACCAGTTTTAGAATATGAAGTCGACCAAGTTCCACAGGAATCTAGTGCTGGTAAGAGCATCTTATTTTATATTGACTCTATTTGCAGCTGTAATTATTTTCTGAGGGCTTAACAAAACTAAGGACTCCGTCGTCGATAGTGTAATGTATTACTATAATATTTAAACTTGGAATAATGTACATGCTTACAAGTAGGTTGGAATCTGACATTAATTTTTCGATAGGTGCAGATCATGACAAGCTTGAGAAGGGTCTTGAACAACCATTGCTCCCACCTCCAACAGAATATGAACAAGAAGACGATGGGGATGAAGAATGTGATGGGAGTGAAGAAGCTTCAAATGAATCACGTCTACCAGCAAACTCCCTGGGATCTGCCTATAGGCTACTTACACCTTCGATAAAGGCAAGTACATAATATATGGTTCTATGGTGCATGGAAAAACTTAACGTGGAAGTTGAAACACAGACAATTATTCTATACAGGTTAAAACATGTATATTGGATCAATGTTGTAGACATAGTTGACAAATCAAGCTCTTTTCTGTTTTTAATTTCAAGTGAAGAAAAAGGTATGGCAGTGAAATCAATATGGAAATAGGATTAGGTATATTCTGTGGTGGATGACTCAGGCTGGTTTATGAGTTCTGAATGTCAATTGCTTATAATTTGAAGAAGATTTCGATTATATATTGTTAAAGCAGAGGCTGAAAAAACTCAGTGGATCTTTTTTCTGCTTTCCCTTTCAATAATTATCCAAACCTCTGTCGTCTGCTTAGGTGTACAAAAAGTCTGCGCTGATGTTTGTTTAATCTCTTGAACTTAATACATATATATATATATGTGCTGCAGGTTCAATTGCTCATATACTTTATGCTTAAATATGCTATGGAGATTCTACTTTCAGAGTCAAGTGTTGTCACATCATACTATTTTGGTTGGGGCACCAGCACCGTGTCGATTTTTCTCGCGTGTCTAGGTCTAACAGTTCTTCCGATAAACATGGTTGTTGGAGGTTACATCAAGAATTTCTTTGAGCACAGGTAAGCTTTCTTGATTAACGGTAACTTCTTAGAAGGATATACACGCTCAAGGCGCGAATGCATGTATATGGTATTAGGATTTGTATATATCAATAATGCCGTGATTATATTGTTCACTTATGGATGTCGTTTGCTAATCAATCTGCCTGAATGCATTGCTTGGCGTAGTTGCAACTTATTATATGACAAACATGAGCTTGACTTTGTGATTGTTTTTTCCATCAATTAGGCGCAGATTGAACTCATATGTTGTTTATTGAGTCGAAAATAAATTACATATATAAACAATTCCTCGTGGACTTTATAATCAATTCCTGGTGGCAGATGCTGTGTTTAATGTGTGTTTCTTTATATATATATACATTCTGTGTTTCTTTTAAGATTATATTTGACACCCCAATGGCTGACCATTCATCTGCTTGCAGGCAAATACTATTGGCATCTGAAATTGTGGTCTGCATCGGTATTATTTTTAGCTTCCAGTTTATAATCCCATACTCCACGCCGCAATATGTCTGCTCGGGTCTCATCATGTTTGTCGCTGCCGAAGTTTTAGAAGGTAACAAGTTTAGATTTTAAACAATCCGATTTATGCAAAACAATGTGTGTATGTAAGCATGCTACTTTAGTGTTGCATTGCGAATTAAATAGCTTTAACAGGGTTGTTATGATTTGTTACAATGACAGGAGTGAATTTGGCACTCCTGACCAGAGTAATGCCGTCAAGGCTAAACCGAGGAACCTACAACGCGGGCCTTTTGTCAACGGAGGCGGGGACAATTGCTCGGGTCATCGCGGATGCTACGATCACTGGGGCAGGATATTTAGGGCAGAGTATGCTGTTGAACACCACTCTTGCCCCATCTCTCGTCTTCTGCATCACCTCGATTATTGCCACGTGCTACACTTACAATTCCCTCTACTAAGAAGGACAACTCGAGCATGTCATCGACTTCATGTGACGTCACATCACAATTTGTTGGTGAAGTAGTTTAGTTTAGTCCATTCGTTTATGATCTATCAATAATAATGTTACGTAGGGTTCTTCCTTGCTAAACGAATTTGGAGATTGAATTTCTAAAGTGTTTTGTATATAGACTTTATGCTTTTTCAGTATTGAAAGTTATGAAGAAGAAGAAGATTGTGGTGAAATTTTGGGTGTGTAATTTGTTTAAATTCCCAATTCTGTTGTGATTGTTTGGAGTGTAAAATTTGAATATAAAAAAAATTTGAATTGTATGATTGTGATATAAATAAATATTGATATAAAAAATTTAAATTAGAATAGTAAAATTGATTTTTAATATAATATAAAATATAAAAAATAAATATTTTGATTTGATATTTTTTGAAAAAAATTTGTATGAATAGTGTAAATCTTTCCACTCCTCCAAACAAAGAGGCAATCACCATCCCCTTCTAATACATAGTGGGTGCATTTATTTTAAGTAATTAGATTATAATGTATGAGTATTTCAATTAATTATAAATTTAATTAATATGGTATTTATTTTGATTGATTCAATATTAAATTATTGTGTTATTCATAAAAATTTCGAAAAGAAATTAAATTATATTTCAAATAAATGTTAAAAAAAAAAACATTATCATATTTATATAAATTGATTTGAAACATCTAAAAAGTTAGATAATTTATAGATTTTATTAAGTGGGATTAAGTAATATTAGGAAGGGATAGAAAGAAGGGCCTGAGGCGTGGATATTATAAAATCTACATGTTGATTTGTATATTAAAACTAAAATGTCCAGAATTACAACAACAAAGTTGAGATGGCCGAGTTGGTCTAAGGCGCCAGATTAAAGTTGAGATGGCCGAGTTAGTTATAACTTTTTATTACAGTATCTGCTCTTCTCTCATCCAAGATATTTCATTTGAACTATAACCACTAATTTTCGAACACCTTGTAATGATCCAATCGATTAGAAATCCTAAAAATTACTAACATATCCATATTCCTTTTTCTATTTCGAAATTTTATTTTCAACGCACCTATCACTCCATTCAAGATTAAATATATAATCAAAATAAAAATATTTCGAAGAATAGCCTCTACAAGATTCCAACATTACTAAACATAAAAATAAATGGAATGATATATATCATTCATGCGTTCAAACCGCCTTCTTAATCTTGTCTTATCATACAGAACTTATCAATGTATCATCCTTTAAATAGTTGGCATCATAAAAATAGAATAAAATAAAAACTCAAATAACAAATAGTGCCAAACAAAACAAAATTCTTAGGTAAAAAATAAAAAATAAAAAAAATAAAGACAGTAGAGAAACAACAAAAGCAGGTAAGGTAACTACAAACTAATCCCAACAAATTTCTACATCGTTTATTGAATGAGTATTGCACCAAAATTAATACAATACCAACATAACCATATAGTAGATAATAATTAAAACATTTCTCGTACACACAAAGAAAATTAAATCAACCATCATTACTAACAATAATAATAATAATAATAATAATTTTATCTTCTTATCATCCCATCCCATCCCATGTAATAACAACAATAAATCTATTCATCCCATTTCGATCCACAGCAAAAAACACACACAAACCCAAATCAAAGAACTCACCTCACAACCAAACGTTTTGGTTTGTTTCAAGCCGCCGCCGCCGTCTTCCGGTTCGGCTCAAAAACGTACTTCACGAGCGACTCCTTGATCGACAAAAGTTCCGGGAATTCGGTCTTCAATTTGGTGGTGTCGAGCTCGTTGTTGCTCCTCGGGGCGACGATCACCTTAGCCTGCTCTTCCAAGGTGAAGTTTTTCCACGTGAATTCGGGGTTTATGTACTCCCGGTACATCTCCAAAATCTCGTTGTGGCTCACCACTCCCGGGTTTGTGAAATTCCATACCCCGGTAAGGTTCCGCTTCGCCATCTCGATCGAAATTGGGAGGAGCTCGTCCAAGATCGTCATCGAGTTCGGGATGTTCACCACTTTCTCGTACCTTGAGATCTTTGTGATGAAATTGCGAGGGTTGGAAAGATCGGATGAGATCGGCATTCGGACTCGCAGCGTGCAGACGTTCTCGTAGTTGCTTAGCAAATCCTCGACCTGTGATGAGCAAAAAACAAAATCTCAATGTCAAGCAGAATGGATTCGATCATCAACGGCGATGAATTTAGGTTCTTGAGTGAGCTAAGACTGTAAAATGAGCACCAAAATTAACAATAGATACAATGCAGCAATTGAGAAACGAATTCAACCCCAAACTATTGAATCAATAACAAGACAATATGAACAGATGGAATTACTAAGAACATTCAGCTAGATTTATGGTAATTCAATCATCTCAGGCACAATTTCAGAACAACAATTACTTCGAAGACAGGGATCTAATATTTCCAACAATTATCACGCACAAAATCGACCTCGATCAAGCTAACAATTGCAATTACATTGCAGGATTAATGATCTGCAACTGCAAGCATCAATGGCGGCAAATCAGGAGTTCCAACCGACACACTCCCACTGATTCACAGCTTAATCACAAATTGAGATACGAGATCGAATTCAGGAAGCATTAATTACGAAATCAGATCAGAATCAGCAACCGACAGTAAGGATTCAAGTAATGGAAGCTGCAATTGAAAATCGAAGAAAAAGAAGAGGAAAGAGGCGCACCATTGCTTTGGTCTTGGAGTAGAAGGATCCGATGAAGTTAGGCTTATCTTCCTCCTTAAATCCGATACCCGACCCGAGCGGGTGACCCGAATCGTACTCGAAGATGCAACCAGTGGCGTAGTTAATCAACACCAAACCCTTCTCCCGGCAAACGTCGGCGAGCGTGAGCGTGCCGACGACGTTCGCACGGATGGTCTCGACCTTGTGCGACTCGCACCAGTCGACGTTCGGCCGGCCGGTGATTCCGGCGGCATTGAAAACGTGCGTCGGCTGGACGGCGGCGATGTCGGTCTCGAGCGAGACCCGATTCTCAAGGCGACCCGACCCGTAGACATACTCGATGCTCTGCGATTCGCAGAGCTTCCCGAGGAGACCGCCAATCCAGCCGGTGCGGCCGTAGATCAGGAACTTTAGAGGCTGCTGCGCGGCCGTGCCGTTCTCCGTGGCGCCCATATCCGGTGGATAGAAGAAGGTGAAGTGCGGTGGGCGTTTCAAATCTGAGTGTGTGACTATGTGCGTTGTTTGGATCCAAACGGAAAATGTGTATATATATATGTGTATGTATTTATGTATATATATATACACGTAATACGTGTTGTTGTGTACAAAAACCTTTGGTCGTGGAGGAGCCTGGCGGTGAAGGAATGACGAAAATGCCCTTCTATGCGGTGGCATATACGGCGGTTTTCTGGGAGGGGTAATATTGTCATTTCAGTGTCGATGCGATCTGCAGTAATTGTTTATTGCGTTTTTCCAGTGTCAGTATTTTTTACAAAAATTATTATTTTGATGTGTATGTGGCTTTGATTTATTTAGTTTTAATGTGTGGAATGTTATCTTATAGTTATTTTATAATAAAATGATGAGCTATAAAACTAATTGAAGATCAAAGTTTTAATACATTTATGCAAAGGATTGCTGCATTTACTTGGTCTATTTTTATTTTTTAAATAAAATAATTATTAATTCCATATATTTTGTATTAAAAAAAATACACAATTATTAGAAGAATATCATTTCTCTTCTGTCTTTACTCTACTTAATATTAAAAATATTATTATATTTGCATAATTTATTTTGCAAATGTTATTATATTCATATTATAAGATACTAATAAAAATATTTTTGTCATTTTTTTTATTTATACTAAGCATTAATATAATAATTAATATTAAAATATTAACTTAAAAAAGTCTATAATACCCTTCTTATCTTATCGTACATAAGAAAAAATATCATTGGTCAGCAGACTAGTACATCATATTTTTATTTTTTTTTTTCATAGCAAACTTTTTAGTTGAAGTATTTTAAATAGAAGATTATGTATTATATTTTTTTATATTATAGTTTTCACTTATTTTATTTTAATATTAAAGTATTATTATTTTTTAATGATCGAGTTTAAACAAATTTATTATCATTAATTTACGGAAAGGAATTAGTCATATTTTTCTTAAAAATTAATAAAAATATATAAAGTTAAAAACATAAATGGTTGATTGATACCTATATATGATGCGACAATCAGAATTAATTTGTGTATATAACAATTATTTTTCAATCATGGTTAGACAGTACTCATTAGTCATAAATTGATCTGGAACAATAATTTCGTTTTCATAAATAATCATATCACTATAAAATTATTTTTACTTTTTCGTTAAGATAAGACAAAAAATTAATTAATTTAAAAGAATATAATAGGTATGATAACCGGTGTGTTTGTTTTGTAAAAATAATTTAAAAAAATATGTAGATAATATAAAAATAATATATACGAGTAAGATATTAATATTTATGAAAAAAATGTGCGGGCAAAACAATAAAAAAGAACAAACCCATCCTGACTCATTGTTGAAATAAAAGAAAGGCTGAAGGGTAGTTGAGAGTTGAGATTAGCAAGTGTAGATAACGACCGGTTTATAATTGGACCGTTTGGGCTTTTTTTTTATTAATAGTAATAAATTATTTCGGGGAAATTTGTATTTGTAGGGTCTCTATTTAATTTAAAGCAAAATTGCTTATAAATAATGTCATTTAAAAAGTTATTATTATTATCATTATTATTATTATTTAGAAATTATGGAAGTGTTTTAAGAAACATTTTATAGGCTTCATACAAGTATATATTTTTTGTGTAAACATATTTTTGTCCGTTTATATAATTTCGATTTCTTACCGAAGAAATCAGCAGCTGATTTTTTTTTTAAAAAAAGAAAAAAAATACATATTGAAAATCAAAATATAATCAATTTTTAATACAAATAGCATTGTGTTATGTCAAATAAGAGGGTTTATTATCTGTTTATTTTTTAAATTGATATTATAGAGAAATATGTATAATGCTTTATAAAATATATATTGTGTTATATAAAAATATATTTGATACTTTATAAATATCTGTATATATATATGGTGCTTTGAAGTATATATGATGCTCTATATAATAAATATACTATGTTCTATATTATGTTGTTAATTCCCAAATATTATCAAGAACACCAATCAATAATTTAGAAAGTACTAATATTCAAAAGTCTATAAAATACTCGTTTTAAATATAGTACATATTTTATAGATTTTGTTGCGTGGTATTTGAACTATTGAATGATACATTTTAGAAATTTAAATAATTTTATTTGAAAAAATCAGTATAATACTAATTTTTTTAAAATTATTATTATAATCGCGGCCTATACAATGTAAGTGTATATTACATCAACATTGCTATCACTTACGCTCCATGCAACCATCTTTTATAAACTTTATGGTTTTTTTAAGCTAGATTTAAATTTGTATTTTTATTATAAATATTTTTTTTTGATTTGTGGGTCAGTTGTTTCAACTCCAATTTGAAATACTAATAGTGTGTTGGAAAAATAACATAGAATTTTTTTTTTGGCATATAATCAAATCTATAATTTGCTGTGACAGCAATTGATTTATACCATTTTGGGTAACCTGCAGACAAACAGAAAGTTGACCGAATTGATCACTTTAGATGTATTGGAACGTAGTTTACACACATTGGAATGAAACAAACAAACTTGCATCATGAAAGATATATGCAGAAGATGTCAGTGAAGCATCTCTTTTATCATGCCCGACATTAATTACCTTGAACATACTGTTTCAAAATTGTGCACAAACTAGCCCGGTCAAATATGTGCAGAGTTGGTGTGTTCGAATTTGAATATAGTGAGTGAAAACAAATTTGTTTTACACATTGCTTGAGCTTCTTTTTTTTTTTTTTTTTTTTTTTTTTCTCTCGCATATAAAACGCAAAGATGTTGAATATCTTTTGGAACCGATTGAATATCCAACATCGTGAAATAAGTCGGTTTAGATTAGGTCAAATATATTACTCCATAGAACTACATTTATTAAATTAAAAATTAAGCATACTTTTTATTTGTCCGAGAGCCAATTTGAGTTTTACACAATATTTAAATAACTAATAAAAATTAGTATGTATTTAAATGTAATTGTGCTGAATAAAAAAATAAGAAAATACTCTTATAATTTTCATTTATTTTAAAATTTTATTAAATAATATAATTATATATAATATTATTGAATTATAAGTGTATTATTTATGAAAGATGGCTCAAAAAGATAAATATATTTAGAAGGCATAACTAAATAAGACAAAACTTGAACAAATCCTTGGTACCATCTGAATGCATCATATACTACCACAATTTAATACTCCCTCCGTCCCAAATAAGGTGTAACATTTATTTTGGGCACGGATTTTTAGGTGAGTAGTATTAAATAGGATAATTTAGAAATTAGGTATGTGATGGAGATAGAAATATATACTTTATTTTTTTATTTGAGTGATGGAATAAAGTGTAGGGTATAAATTAAATATAATTAATTATTGTTGTAGAGTATTTGATACATACTTGTTTTACATATACATTATTTATTTATTTATTTTTTACTATTTACAAATCAATCTAATTTTCCAAAATATTTTAAAAACATATCTAATTCTAAGGAAAAGAAAAAGCCCACAAAAACAATAGTATAGTATTTATTACCTTTCTCCCTTCTATTGGATTTGGGCCTTTCTTTAAGAGCTAACATTCAATAAAATTGTTACACACTATCATAAAAAAAGAATTATATATACATAGAGAGAGAGAGAGAGAAATAGAAAGTGGAAAAAGATGCCACGTAAATTGATCATCGTGGTTATCTGATAACCATGCAGTTAGTATACAAATTTCAAACTTTTAATTAAATTGTTCTGTTATTTATTCTATTTTATTTTTTTTAAAAAAATGAAATTTTAGTGCTGTGCTGTGTTGTCTTCGCTAAGGGTGCGTATGTTTCGGGGTTTGAATTTTGAATTAAGATTTGAATAGTAAAAATTTTGAATTTGAATAGTTGGATGATGTGATATAAATAGGTGATGATGTAATGTTTTGAATGTAAAATTAATTTTTAATATAATATAAAAATAAATATTTAATTTAATATTTTTGTGGATAAAAAATTGGATAAATAGTGTAAATCCAATCCACTCTACGGAAAAACACAACCTAAGAATTCCGAGTCCTCAAGCAATCCCCACTTTACATGCACACGCAACCCAACCTACTCCTATTCTTGGAAGCTCCAGGACCCCAAATCCAGACGTATCAGATAATGAGATAAAAGACCACACCGCAAACACTTTCGTTAGGTGAGTAATACTAATCCGATGATCCCGGAGGCGCCGGAGTCCCGGGACGTCCCCCCAGAAAAGACGACCCAACTCTATCTTCTTCTACACCTTTCTTTATGGTCCAACAGTGAGTATGTCTTTCTTTTGAGAGCCGATTTTAATGTAAGTTGTACCCAAAACCAATTATATTAAACGACCACGATAATAATGAATGAATGATATTTATGCAAGATGTTGCTTTGTCCAAAGATCAATTAAATACTTCCTTAGTTATTCAAAAAATACTTTCACTTTTTTTAAATAAAAAATTATTATATTTTTATTTACTTTTTTATTATAATAAAATAAAATTATTATTATTATTATCTATTTTTATTAAAAGTTGTATTACCTGACATATAGTCGAAATTATTATTGAAAAAAATCCCAAATAAACGGGGCAGTGCACACGTATGAATTGAGCAAGAATTGATGGATGCCTTAATGGATGCGTTGCCTGTCTTCAAAGCTTCTCATTCTCCAAACCAAACAAAACCCATTTGGGCATCCAATTCAATAATTCCAAATAATAATAATAATAATAATAATAATAATAATACCTAATAAACCAAAACCAAAACCAAAACCAAATTCTACACACCACCACTGCCCTCCCTAACTATATTCATTAAGCCTTATTATTTTTAGGTTGTCCAAAATCAGCAGAAGCAGCGGCAGAAGAAGAAGAAGAAGAAGAAGAAGCTCTCTCCCTCTTAAATACAGAGGACGGACAGACAGACAGAGATAAAACAGAGATCGTCGACAGTCCTTAATAAAATTAATTAATGGGGACGATCGGTGCTGCTTTGTTGCTCCCGACGAAGCTGAAGCCAGAAAGGGATAGGGAGAAAGATCCGTACTTGAGGAGGACGCGAAGAAGGAGATGTAATAGTAATAATTATATCATCAGAACTAGGAATCAACCACAAACCCTAACTGTAAGTACATATGCATATATATGTATATTGATTTGGATGAATAATTGATTTGATTTTGTGGATGGACGAGTTTAAAATTAGGTTGCAGCTCGTCTGTTTGGTCCCGCCATATTTGAGGCTTCGAAGCTTAAGGTTCTGTTTCTGGGAGTCGACGAAAAAAAACATCCCGGAAAACTCCCCAGAACTTACACTCTTACCCATAGCGATATTACATCAAAGCTTACCCTAGCAATTTCTCAGACAATCAATAATTCCCAGGTAATTTTAAATTTAGTTATTTAGATTTGATTTTATCAATATATTTTAAATATATATATATATATATTTAAAGATATACATACTGGATTATGTGATAGATTTGGGAGATTTCACTTTACCCTTTTTCTTCTTTGCCGACTTTTTTTTAAAAATTTAAACGACTCTTCGCTTTAATTAATTAATTAATTATATAAAATATAGCTGCAAGGATGGTACAACAGATTGCAGAGAGACGAAGTGGTGGCGGAATGGAAGAAAATAAAAGGCATGATGTCACTCCACGTCCACTGCCACATCAGCGGCGGCCACCCCCTCCTCGACTTCTTCGCAAATCTCCGTTACTTCATTTTCTGCAAGGAACTCCCCGTGGTAATTATTACTCACTCCACTTCATTACTTCATTAATTATGACTACTACAGTAAATATATATATATATTAATGCTTGCGAGGTCCAGGTGCTGAAGGCCTTCGTCCACGGCGACGGCAACCTGCTGAGCAACTACCCGGAGCTCCAGGACGCCCTTGTCTGGGTCTATTTTCACTCCAGCATCCCGCACTTTAATAAGGTCCAGTGCTGGGGCCCCCTCCGCGCCCCCTCCGCCGCCGCCGTGGATGTCGCCGGCGACACCCCTCAGCCGTGCGCCGAGGACTGTAATTGCTGCTTTCCGCCGATGAGCTCCGTCCCTGATTGGCCGCAGTTTGGCTCTCCGGCGCCGCCGCAGGAAAACGAAGGGCTGGACCTCCGGCGCCAGAGTACGTAATTAATTAATTGATTTGTAGGCGGTTGAGTCGGTCGGGTGGCTCGATATTAATTAGTATCATTATTATAATATAGATTATTATTATTATTATTACTATTATTAAATTGGTTGTCTTGTAGCGAAATGTGTATATTAATTATTGATTTATTTAATTAATACGGGTGTATAATTAAAACAATCATAGTTATTTGTGTGTGCCCGAAATGCTAATTATTTTGGGAATTTGTTATTTTGGCCTTGTTGGTTTTCAATCTTAAAATAATTGTTGCACCCCACCCCCCACCTCGTGTCGTGTTGTTATTATTATTATTATACTTTAAAATTATCATGTTATGTTTATATATATATATATATATTCTTATACTTTTTTTCAAAAAAATAAATAAAGAAAACATAACACTTTTTTTTTTTACTTCAATATATTAATTAATTAAATAAATAAAAATAAATAAATAAACTCATTCAAACACATTTTTATAAGTCAATTCAAGTTTAACCAAAAAAAGAAAACATTCCAAAGACATTGGAATTTATAGCTTTATTTAAAATATTGGATTGGATTTATTATTTTTAAAATATAAAATTATTATTATTATTATTATTATTTTTATAAATAAATAAACCCACGTGTAAGTAACAATATGGAATTTAGGGATGGTGTATTTGAATACGTTACGTTTATTGATGTAAAAATAAATAATTAAATAAATAAAATTGTCTGTTTATGGCATGACTTACGGTTACATTCATATGTGGGTTGATCTTATCATCTCTTATTTCATCAAAACGTGGGGACGTATATTCAATAAATGTTTGCTTCGGTTCCTATGTCATTAAAAAAAAAAATAATAAATAAATAAATTTTTATTTTTTACTTATGTTAAAGTTTAATTTTAGTTATTTTATTGATTGAGAACTATGTTTTATTGAAAAAACATTTGGAACTCTTGGAATATATGAAAATATATTTTTTTAAAAAAATGCATCCTATGTTTACTATATTTAAATGCTACTTTTTAAAAAAATAAATTGAAATATTAAATAATAGATAAACACACACAAGTTAACAAACTTATGATACTTGTTTACTATTGGATATACTCCTATTATTTTACACTTATTTTTTTTATACAAAATAAATAAGATAACTATTTTGCATTAAAAAAACTTAAAAAAAAAAACAAAAAAAAAAACAAAAACAAAAACAAAACAAAACAAAACAAAAAATGAATAATATTATTTTACAACATTAATTCATTATTATACAACTCAAACCATTATTATTGGTAAATATAATGTTGGCTTCTATATGCACTAAAAATACATCTTTTATTGATGTTGAATCTTAATCATGTAAAAAATTTATACTACTCCCCCTGTCTCATAACAAAGTATCTATTTTTTCATTTTAGTCCGTCCCATAACAAAGTATCTATTTTTCTATTTTAGTCCGTCCTATTACAAAATATCTATTTTTTCATTTTAGTCCGTCCCATAACAAAGTATCTATTTTTCTATTTTAGTCCGTCCTATTACAAAATATCTATTTTTCCATTTTAGTCCGTCCCATAACAAAGTATCTATTTTTCTATTTTAGTCTGTCCCATAACAAAGTATCTATTTTTCTATTTTAGTCCGTCCCATAACAAAATATCTATTTTTCCATTTTAGTCCGTCCCATAACAAAGTATTCATTTCCTTTTTTTTAGTAACTGTAATATCTACTTAACATTAAAAATACCCTTACAACTTACAATATATAACACAAATGTCATTACATTTATATCACACGTACTAATAAAGTTATTTTAGTCATTTCTATTTTATTCCTACTATATCTCAATATAATATTAATATTTTTAAAATTACGTAAAAAAGCAAATGGATATTTACTTATGAGACGGGGGGAGTATAATTTTTACCACTATAATATGTTCTTAAGATATATTAATTTAATAATATACATTAAATGTGAATGTTATCTTTTAAAAAAAAATAAATTTTTTATACAATATAAATAAATAAAATTTTTAAATGTATACAAATATATCTATTTATTTAAGAATAAAAATATGATAGTTTCAATTTTACAAGTTAGTCCCGTTTAAAAAGGTTGGGTGAAATAGTTTAGAAACTACAATAAATTAACTTACAATAAAAAACACAAACATACTCTCAAGTTAATATATCTTGATGTAAATTAATTTAATAAGTTAAGTAACACCAATTTAAACACGAAACTTTATTTTTGTAATATTCATAAATAAATGTGAACGTTTTCACCTCCACCTAATTTTATAATTTTAGTCCATAATAATAATAATATTTAAAAAATAGTGCAAGCAAGCATTGTCAAGAACAGACAACATGTTTTGCATGTGCAAGCAAAGCAACAGAAATAATTGTAAAAAAAAAAAAAAAAAAAAAAAAAAAAAAAAAAAAAGAAGCCTAATTAATGGAAATTAAGACGACATACAAGAAAATAGAAATATAACTGATTGTCTGTTTCAGAAATATTCAGAGACCACAAAAACTGTACACACCACAAATAAGACAAAATATATGTGAGAAACGTGAGAAGAGAAATGAATCTATATATACACACAATGATAACTAATTGATTAATTAATAATAATACAAGATATATGTTAATATTCTTCCATCTCACTTTTCACTAGTGTCTTATAATAATACAAAGACATTTATATAAATAATTATACAAATATAAATATATTTTTAATATTAAGTAACAAAAATAAATGCGAGCTTTAGAGGCCGACGGAAAAAGTATTATTTATGTTCTATAATCTATTTATTGTACCAAAATTTAAATACATTGTGTTATATATAATTATATAAAATATTGAAATAAAAATATATTATACTAGGTATAATTATATAATATGCTATTAAAATATCTATTTACATACACTTCTAACCATTGGACCCAAATTTTCAAAACACACACCCACACTTGTCACACATACTTAACTTGCCTTGTGCTTAGTTTGCAAGGTATTAAGTTCGACCGAGAGTTTACTCAATGCACACTTTTCGGTAGCGACATCGGATTCCCATATCATACCAACAAAAAATATATATATATATATATTCTTTCCTCATATCAAATATCCATGTTTTTTTTAACAACAATATAAAGCCCGTATATTTACACAGCAGCAATAAGTAGCCGAGGAGCGTCGGATACCAACAAACATAGCATTTCTCACTATCTACATCGAAATCGAACAAGAAGTTCCTCAACAACACAAGACTTCTCTCTCTCACTCTAAACTAACAAATCAAGAACAAGGAGAAGGAGGGAGATATATACATTCACAAAAGTCGTTATCTAATTGTGTGATCAATCAACCAATTATGTTGACTTCTCAAAGATAGATATATATTAACTACCCATTCGTCGTGTTTCCTGTTCTTGGACCACCTCAACCTCATCTCCTCTTTCTCCACCAGAGATTGAAAATCAATAAATAATGCTATTACATACCATACCGTAGAAGTGATGTCTTGTGATGCGATGCCTCATGGATGGAATCATCGAATTTGACTTCTTCCAAGTGATGAGGCTCCAATTTCACTCTGTGTGTTCTGCAAACAAACAAGTAACCATAGTTCATGTTCACAATAAGCACAGGCCAAGTCTTGAGCTGGAAATTTCGATAAACAAGTGAATTTGATTCTAACTTCGTATGATAACACTAACCTGAGATTTGGGTGAAGGGAAAACGTTCCAGAACCTCAGTGTTTCGTCCCCAGCCCCGGTGACAATTGTCTACAAAAACAATCTCACTGCTCATCAGAACATCAATGGGGCAGATATAGAGAGAGAGGAAACAAGTTCCTATCTTCATACCTGTCCATCTGGTGAAATGGCAAGGTACAAGACCCTGTACGTATGGCCCGTTAAGGTCGCCAGCTGCAATAACGGCACAAGAAAAGTTCAAATTATTATAGTGGCACGACAAAAGGGCGAAAATTAATCTAGTCTGTGATACCTTTGACATTGTAGGATATCTCCACACTATAATTTGGTTTTGAGAGTATCCATGGGTGCTCACAAGCTCGTTGACGTTCTTAGACCACACAAGATTGCATACCTGCAACAGTCGTAGCATTTCAAAGGAATTATAGAACACCAAGCGAGCGTATTCTTTAGAACTCTACAAGAAACGACAAACAGAGACAAGCAGGTTACTTGGCTTCCAGTATCCACACAGTTGAGGTGTGAATTGGTGGTGGTGTTCCAAAAACGAATGCATCGGTCAGCAGTGCCGCCTCCGGAGGCAAGGAGCCCGTGAAGATGCGGCGACCACGCAATAGCTTTTACGGCAGCAGTATGTTCACAATATTTCAGAAGAGGTTGGGTCGAATGTTGGTTCCACACGAAAAGCTGCATCAAAATGGTGTTAAACCTCAATGGAAGAAATGATTTGATTTGAATTCGGGAAGAGGGAAACTGCATACTCGATTGTCATTTCCACCAGATGCTAATTCTCGGTTGTCGTAAGACCACTTCAATCCACAAACCTAATCCAAAAGGGTGCAATAATTAGACTACACAAAACTGTAATACATCTACTATGAAATGAAAATTCGAAAACAGTGAGGTGTACCTCTGATTTATGTCCATTTAACTTGCTAACATAGTCTCCCTGTGCTCGGATATCGCGCTGTAGGATGCTCTTGTCCCTGCTTCCGGAAGATAACATAGATGAGCTCCAGGCAATGGCTCCAACTCGGAGCCGATGTCCCTCCATAGTTCTAATCCTTTTGCACTGAGAGGCATCCCATAACTGGGTGACAAAGCAGAAGACAAATATTGAGATGCAGATTCAACCTAGAAATTATTTCAGATCATATCGACTTAATTTGGAGAAATAATTATGATTCAGTATGTTGTCGAGGAAGAAAACCAGAGGTTCTAAAAGCAAAGTAAATTTAACAACATACAAGATGTTATGATATTGAGATACAGAATCAGTGAAACTTATTCGAAAGCACTGTCACTGTCACACCTACAACACTATCCTCAGCTGACCAGATGCAAAATACTATTTCTTGTTTGAATATGCAATCAAACCTAAAATGGTTACAAACTTTGACGTTGTAATATCATCCTAGTCGGTTTGTTCCTTTCTAGTTTCTACATTGGTTTTTACTATTCGGACTCTGTGTCCTCCGAAGAATACCTTTTTTTCCTCTCACGAAAGATCTAATCCAATTTTAATTCTAATAAAAAAACCCATACCTCCAAACTCAATCGAGACTGAAAAGTAACATACCAGTTACAGTCTCAATCAACCAATTAACTGGAACCTACTTGGGTAAATTTGATCTAGACCAAACTTAGGACCCATATATTCCACCGGGACGATATAACATTAGACTTATAGGACTGCAAGAAGATCATCAAACAAACTGAAATGTGAACCATGAAAATGGTGTAATTGTGAGAAATATCCACAAAACATAAAAAGGTGGAAGAATAACGACCCATTGCCTCTACAACTTGGAGCATCAAGTGCCACTTGAACAAAGTCTAAGTATTTTTAAGCCAAGTTTACAAAGACAAAAGTTCCACATAGTTCAGCATCATTTGCTTAAAAAATGTAAGAAATAAAATCCCGAAGCTAAAGCGTACGAATGACCAATACCCAGATAGATGTAACATAAAAACAGTTCCAAATGAAATAGGTCATTCATTAGACAGCTCTGAAAGTAAAGCTTAACCATCGTTAGTCAATGCAAAAGCTTAAGTCCCTCCCTTCACACATAATAATCATAGCAAAGCATCAGTTTTGAATAACAAGAGATCATCAAACCATACTTGGAGCTTTCCATTGCTAGTTCCAACAGCAAGCTGCGTGCCACGCTGCGCCCACCCAACCGAGCAAACACTGTCATCTATCCCCAAATCGCACAACTTAACCACCTGCTTAAACATGAAAAACATCAATTTTATCATCCCAATCAGGTAATTGAAAGAACAGAAATACACTGAACCAACAAAATTAGTACCTTGCTGCTAGATGCGTGCCACAAATAGACACAATTTCCCAACCCCACAGCCAGCACATTAGGTGAAGACCAATCCACAAGGTTAAGGTAAAAATCATCTTGCAAAGCAGGAGCATCCAGAACCTATGGCAGAATGCCGATTTCAAATTAGTACTAAAAATCCACAAGTAATTGGCACATAATTCAGCATCAGAGACGTTACTGAAAAATCATTTCCAGAAATCCCCCAATTCGTATATAAGAAACTAACTCAAAATCCTCAAAACCATGGCGAAAATTACCAAGCAAGAAAACCCAAAAAGTAAATCTGAAACATTCCCACAGGAACTAAACGAGGTTTACCTTGTATGGTGACCTAGGCACTTTTCTAGGAGCCTTGACAGGACTATGAGACACCCCCCCAGGAAGCTGATCATCGAACTCAAAGGGCAACAGAGAATGCAAGGACTTTCGAGTTTCCGTCTTGTACTTGAAAATGTTGCAATTAGGAGGACTAATCTGCAAAAAATTACCATCGCTGCTTCTGCTCCCAAATCGCCCACCGTAAGCAGATTTCTCCGGCGTCGACGGCTGAAATCCGTTGATGCCGCCGACGCATTCCGGTCCGAAAAGAGCGGACTTCAACAGATAAGTGTAGGCGGAATGCGACTCGTCGGGGGACGCATTAGCATTAGAGCTAGGGAGATTGAACAGATCAAAATTAGACGAAGACCGGCTGGGGATGAAGCGGTCGCCGTAGATTGTGCGCGACGACGACGGCCGGCGGTAGGTAGAGCTGATAAGCTTCGGCGCCGGAGTTTTGGGGTCCGCGTCGGATGTGCTGGAGGTTTCCATATATTCCTCGAATTTCTGGATTCCCCTCTTGGAAGAGTTCTGGAGAGCAGCGATTCAGGCGACGGAGGCGGCGATCGGAGGATGAGATTTGGCGGTGGATCGAGGGATTGTGGAGGGGATTTACGTTATTTCCCGGGAAATTTATATTAGGAAGATAAAGATAATAATATTATATTAATAATAATGGACTCTTTTATTTTATTAGGAAAAATTATATAATACTATTAAATAAATAAACAAATAAAATAAAATAAAAGATACTCTGTCAAATAACGAAGAAATAAATTAAGCTCCAATTATACCAATTAGATCACACTTTTGTGTATGGTAATATATCAACACTAATTATGGAAACAAAATATACTCCCGTGCTCAATCAAAGTATTTATTCATTTTATTTTTTTAAAAGTAAATTAAATAATAATAATAAAATAAATTGTGTAAAATAATTTTATTTTTGGTATTTTTTCTTTGAAAATGCAAAAGAAACATTTATTTTTTCTTTTTGTAAAAGTTAGCAATTTTTAATATTAGATATGATTATTTAATGAATATTTTTAAGAGATGCGGAAGAAAATGAAAAAAAAAACTATATATTAAATTGAGACGGAAAAAATATATATTATGGTTGTATATATATTATGGTTTGTTCACCTTATTATACTTTAATATTTGAATGAAAAAATAATAATAGTATTATTGAAACGATTTCCTACTTATTTGGGGTATTGAAATTTTTTTATCATGCACAATTAATGGACACAATGTGTTATAATTATTTTTAGAGAAAAAAAAAATATTTTTAGTCTTATTATAAACTATAATAATTAAATTTAGCATCTTTGAAAAATTTTGATTAATTTTAATTTTATTTAAATATAAATTAATTTATTTTAGTTTCATGGTACATAGCTAACTGGAATTAACAATTAATAAGGTTGGGCTTATTGCCTTATTCAAATCACCGTTATTGATTTAATATTTTGTAAAAAGATAAAATATATTTGATATAATATTTTAAAAAATAAATAATATTTTAAAGATAAATAATGTGTTATAAATAATATTTTAAAATTGGTTGTGTACTTCAAATATTTTCCTGATCAAATTCCTTTTCAAAAAACAATATCAATAAAACCAATCAATTCGGTTCTTGAAGAATTAATAGGTTCTCTAGAACTATAACTTGATAGAATGATTGATATCATCTCAAATCTTGATTGCAACTAATAATTTCTCTATAACTAAGAATTTTATCTCAAATCTTGATAATTTCTCTATAACTAAGAATTTTATCTCAAATCTTGATAATTTCTCTATAACTAAGAATTTTATCTCAAATCTTGATTGCTCGTTAATCCAAGATCTAGAAAAGACATCTATCTATATATATATATATATATATACTCAAAAAAGAACATATGTTTATAAAATAAAAAATAAAATAAAAAGTTTGTAATTATTATTTAATCATGTCCATATTACAATTAAGTGTTAGGAAGAGGATATCTTGCTAGCCCTGGCCCTACTTTTCCATTGATTTTGGGGTTCCAATTTGTGTATTTTGCATCTAAAAATGTAATGAAACTTTGAAACATAATCATCCCTCTGGTAAGCATATACATACATATATATATATAGAGAGAGAGCGAAAGAGAGAGAAGCACTTGAATGGGCAGTAATTCATACTGTTTCTGCAGTGAATAGCCTTTTTTACAATCCTTAAATTTACAGTAGCTATGGCTTCATCCTTCTTCTTTTTTCTACTTCAGACAAACAAACAAACCAACAGCAGATGGATGTCTGAAATTCTTTAAACCTGGCCTGAAAATGCGAATCGAGTTTTAAGTGTTTCGATTCGATATAATGAAACAGAATACAAGTCATTCAAATTAGTCGAGCCCGGTTACCTGAAATCGTGCCTTGCTTCAATCCGGCAATGTAATCAGTCGGGTTTTGGAATCATATATCATATCGGTGGCGCAATCCGGGCTAGAGTTTGCCATTGAAGAAAAAAAAAATAAAAATACATTGGTTAAGAGCAAACAAAAAATAACTCAATGCACTATTTATTATCAGTAACTTTTTCAAAAAAATATCATATCAAATACCTAATATTTTATTATTTTAAAATTTTTCCAAAACTACAAACTTCCGAAAATTCTATCAAAACATAGCTATATGAGAATGTAGTATAGTTTACTAAAAAAACTTACTTGGAACACTTAACCTTGTTGGCGGCGCCACCGCTCGACACGGATAATATTGTGCCGAAGAAAGAAGTGTTTTCAGTGCCACAGTTCGGACAGGGGCCCTGAGAAATAAAAGAGATCGGTATCATTTTCAAGTTTAGGCAAAATCCCGATTGGATGTGGTGGAGAAATTCTTACCACTAAGATCAAAAAGTCTTTCAAGATAACACCGGTAAGATTGAAAGATAACCACACTATTACAGGCACAGCTGCGAACCATGTGAAGAGGAAACTGAACGGCTCCGGGAGCTGAAATGAGGATTCTTTTGTAAGTTAGGACAAGAAAATCATCAAGAAATGTAACAATCAAATCCTGGCTTCTGTTACCTCCAAAAGATAGGTGATTTCGAATCCAGTCAAATCATCAAGAAAGAAAAACCTGAAAGAAATGGGAATGCGAAAAAATCATCGACTCCAACAACTCATTTTCTCGTCAGATTGAAACCAAGAGATTTTGCTGTTGATTACTTACAATCCTAAAGCAACGACTGTAGCTGGAACATTCAGAAGAAACATCTTGAGATAGTCGACAGAAAGGTCACTATAGACCTGCAAATTTAAAGCAAAATTGGATTCCACTTAAAAATCGATGATCAATTATTTCATGACCCCAAATTTCCCCAACACTATTTCTGTCCAACGTAGGAAGTACAAAGATAGCCAATATGATAAATCCATTACAAGAATCTTCATTATGTATCGGATTAGTCTGGATAAACTTATAGTAAAGCAGAAAATTACTACACCTATTAACGGTCAAGAATAGTAAGGAAAAAGGACCTAACCTTTCGGCTACGTAGACTGCATCGAGGACCCTCAACCACAATTTCACTGCCATCAGCCTGTATAACATTGAAAATAAGCAAATGGGAACTGAATAGGAAGATGGTCGATAATGTGGCTGAACTGAATAGGAAGTTGTTTCGAATAAATTGAGAGGACGATTTGAGGAACTATGACATAACTACGAGAGACACTGACCTAACAATTTTAACACTATTGAGTAGTGCCATTCTCCAACATCAAGATTACATTCATGAGTCAAGTACCTTAAGTTTCTGCTTCAGTTTATCGAACTCTTCATCAGAAACAATCGGATTCCCAGACGCATAAGCCATAGAAGCTTCCAAAAACCTCTGTTCATCAGCACCTGAATCACAAAAAAGCAAGTGATGACAAAGTCATGTATCTTTGAAAACACAAGCCTGCCAAGACCATGGATGCATCTTTGAGTGTTTTCTGCGAAACTATGTTCTTACTTCTTAATACTTGTTTGTTTCATTTCTCTCTTTTCTTTTAGGAAGATTTCTTATGTTTTCTTCTATGTTACTATATCCAAGGAATGGTACTTTTTTTGGAACGAAGTTTTAAAAACAAATGTTATATTGTTACTTACATAAATCTTACACTACAAATATATTTTTAAATTTAAAATGTAGTGTTGCCTCAAGATTCAACATGGCATGCTCAGTGGCATTGGAAGAAAAAAAAAGATCAATTCTATAAAACAAGAAGACACTTGATAAGACTGAATGCTGAATGTTGCTGAATCATTATTAAGTAGTTGGATTGATAAACTCTGCATTCGATAGACTTCCTTCTAGAATTTTTTAGTATTCTTGCATAGTTGCATATACATATACGTATACTGGTATAAATTTTTCATGCAGCAAGGTTAAGTGACTTTATTTGATCAAACCCAAAACTACATATTTGACATGTTTTTTGTAATCAATGCTCAAAATTACGGAAAATATTAAGTTCTAAGTAGTATTACCAACAGGTCCTAAGATGCGAGAAGATCTTATTGCAAAGACAGAATAAAACGTAAATCAGACAGTGAACCACCTAATTGCAATCCTACATCACCACAAACCACAATTTCTAAAACTCCAAAAATCTCTAAGTAAATGGAGCCTAGAACTAAGGCAGGAACAAATCATAAAGAAACATGTACGAAGATATGAAATTTCACTTACTAAGCATTACAACACTGCTTCCTTCCCACATAAGTTCTTCCTTAAGATTATCAAACTCCTCATTTGACATTATCGCCTTCCCTTCATAGTAGAATGCCTACAACAGAGTAGCACGTAAAACTCGGATAATACCAAAAAACCACCCTTCATGATCGTCTACCGTGATATAATGTACCCCAATGTATATGAACATATGTGCAACTATAAACCAAGATCAAGAAAAAGTCCAAGATCGGCATAACTTGCATCCGAAACAACACATCCTCTCATTTATTCAATAATCACATTTAAATTCAAATTCAAATTTACTAATACACCAGAAATGATATCAGTCTACACCATCAGATTAACATCACTGCAATAGTCTCCATCACAAAGTACAATTATTCTTAAAATAGATACGCAAATTTCAGTGGTCAATCATAATCACTCAAATCAACAACAGAAACACACTTTTGCAAATTTAGATTCCAAATACAACCCATACTACTAACTACCTGAAGAGCTTGAAGAAACTCTTGTTCCATCTCCCCCAGAGACTTCTTTTGCTTTTTGTCCAGGCTGCAATAGGGCAACACATTGCTGTCGACAACATCGTCTTCCTGGACTGAACCTGGACCAAACAAGTGATTAAAAGAAGCAACGTATTAATAACTCCTATTGTCAATCCGTGTTCCAAGAATAACTCAAATAATCTCGTACACAATCAGCATCCACGCAGAGTGATCAATTTTATTTCCTTCCAAGAACCCTAAACCAGATAGGGCATTACCAATTTCCCCAACTAACTACCAAAAAAAAGGAAAGAATTACCTGGCTGCTCGGTGCTGGCCTTGGGAGAAATCACGACCAAGCGGCGGTGAATCGACAACTTGCCGGCGGCAAATCGGAGCCCCGGAGCGGAAGACGGCAGAGAGGAGGCAGAAATGAAGGGATTTCTGCAGTGCGGCGTCAAGAATCCGGGCGCGAACCAGAGCTTGGTGGCCATTTGCGGCGGAGAAATTGGAGCATTTGAGAGAGAGTCCGGGGGAGCACGTTGGAATGGAAGGTTTATGGTGGAAGGGAAGGTCGAAGATGATAAGGCAGTGGAAATATGTGGAGGGAAATTTGAGAGGGGACTTCTGTTGAAATCTTGTTTGGCATCAGTACAGTACAGTGTGTCGTTTTTATTTTTTTTAATTATATATTATTTATTTATTATTTTTTTAAGGTTTTGTAATTCACTTGTTTTTATGCGGATGTGGCGATATTGCCGTGCCTCCACGGCACGTGCGAATCACGTGAAGTTTGTTGCTCCCCGCGTGTTGAAAGAGTGCTGTGTTTTGTCTACTTGCCACAACCATCATATTTTATCCTTGTTCTTTTTTATACATTAAAGTTTTATATATAAAAAAAAGAAAAAAATGTAATCAAAATATATCATGTTCCTATTTATTTTAAATTTTTCTTTCTAAATGCAGTATTATCAAAACTTCTTATAAAAATATTATTGAGTTTGTTCATCTAAAGATGTCAAGATTCTTTAACTTTTATAATTTTATTGTCACAAATTTTATAAAAATAAATACTCTTGTCATTAAAATATTGTCATTTTTTATTTTTGTCCAGGTTACTATTTTCTAATTTAGTAATTATAATACCTACCTAATATAGTAAATATTCTTTCTAATTTACACTCTATTACATAAATATCATTATATTTATATTATACAGTATTAATAGAGTTTTTTATTTTTTTATCTTTTTTATTATAATTCATTATAATATTAATATTAAAAAATATACATGCAAAAATAAATAATAATCTTGTACGGAGACGTTGGGAGTATTATTTATTTATTTTTATACATAGGAATATAGTATTATTATTGGAGGTGGTTAAAAGGATGAGAAATGAATGTTGGTTGCATCTAAATGTCAAAGCACACGGATTGACATCTTTCAAATTCAACCCCCATTCAACTATCTCTTTCTATATATACATACATACAAACAAACACATCCTTAGCACTTTCTTCTTCTTCATCAGAACTACCAATGGTCTCTGCAACTGCCATGGCGCCACCCCCAACTCTGCCCCAATCCGAAAACTCTCCAATCAAAGACACGCCTCCACGACCGCAACAAGAAGAGAAACCCAAAACCCCACCTCACGACGACGTCGTTCCGCCCAATTCCGCCACCGACAACGCAGCTGAAAAGATTCCGGCCGACGACAATGGAGATCTCCGGCAGGTTCGCCGATGACACTATCATAATTTAATTACTACACTTCTGAACATTATTAATTACAAGATTATTGATTACAATTGAATAAAAAATTAGAATGAATTGATCAATCCCCAAAAGGATCGAATCCCTCGCGTGGAGATTCTGGCGAGCAGCGGAATCGAAACAATCCCGAAAGAATACGTCAGGCCGGAGGAAGAGCGGGAGAGCATCGGCGACGTATTCGCCGCCGAGAAGAGCGGCGAGGGGCCGCACGTGCCGGTCATCGACCTGGCGGATCTAAACTCCGGCGACGGAGAGCGGCGGAGCAAGTGCCGCAGCGAGCTGATCAAGGCGGCGACTGAGTGGGGCGTGATGCACTTGATCGGGCACGGAATTGAGGAGGAGATGACGGCGCGTGTACGCGCCGCCGGCGAAGAATTCTTCTGGCTGCCGGCGGCGGAGAAGGAGAAGTACGCCAACGATCAGGCCGCCGGAAACGTCCAGGGCTACGGCAGCAAGCTCGCGAACAATGCCAGCGGACAGCTCGAATGGGAAGACTATTTCTTCCATTGCGTTTTCCCCCCGCACAAAACCGATATTTCAATTTGGCCCCAAAATCCACCGGATTACGTGTAAGTTTTCTAGTTAAATTTATTTTAATCAAATATAATATTCTTTTCCTTTCACTTATTTGTCTATTATTTATATTTTTATATATTCTATATAATTTGTCATTTTTAAAAAAAAAATATATAATTATACATTTTAATGATATTTTTAAATTTATAGTCTATACTCTTTTTTTTTTAAAATAATAAAGACATTTGAGATGGACAATAATAATATTATATTAATAGTGAGGTAAAAATGTTTTTAAAAAATTAAAATATTTTTAATTTATGTAATTATTATAAAAATGTAAAATATTTTTATAAAAAATTTGAAAGTTAAACTACTATTTTGAGACTAATAAAATAAATTTTAAAATTTTAATTAAATTATTAAATTATTTTAATATTAATTTATAATTATTTTTATTAATGACAATTCTTAATTATTTATTAATAATATAATACCTGAGATTCATTGCAATTTAATTGGGGAAGAAGTACTATGTTTTTATAAATTTTTTATTTAAATTGCATGACTGGCGGCTGACGTGGCATTTTCAGTCCGTCGACGGAAGAGTACGCGCGGCGGCTGCGGGGCCTGGCGGCGAAGATACTGGCGGTGCTGTCGGCTGGGCTGGGGCTGGAGGAGGGGCGGCTGGAGGAAGAGGCGGGCGGCGCCGACGAGCTCCTCCTGCAAATGAAGATCAACTACTACCCGAAGTGCCCGCAGCCGGAGCTGGCCCTGGGGGTGGAGGCCCACACTGACGTCAGCGCGCTGACGTTTATCCTCCACAACATGGTGCCGGGGCTGCAGGTATTCTACGGCGGCCGGTGGGTGACGGCGAAGTGCGTGCCGGAGTCGATCATCATGCACGTCGGCGACACCGTGGAGATCCTCAGCAACGGGCGGTACCGGAGCATTCTGCACCGGGGGTTGGTGAACAAGGAGAAGGTTCGGATCTCCTGGGCGGTGTTCTGCGAGCCGCCAAAGGAGAAGATCCTGCTCCGGCCGCTGCCGGAGACGGTGTCGGAGGAGGCGCCGCCGCGGTTCCCGCCACGGACGTTCGCTCAGCATGTGGATTATAAGCTGTTCAAGAAGAGTGGTTCTGTTGATTAGTATAAGGAAGAGTTTAATTTGGTTTTATTTATATTTAATTAATTATGCAGTACTTCTTTGGTTATGTTGTTTCTGTAATTTTGTTTTTAATATTATGTATTTTTAATAAAATATATATTTTTTTATTAAATTCTTGTATTTTATTATTGTTTCATTTAGAAATAATAAATAGTAGTACATGGTAAAAGGATAAATAGTATACGAAGTTTGTTAACATAATTAGTCTATGATCGTTTTTAAATGAATTGATTTTTTTTTTTTTTAATATGACATGAAAAACTGCTATATTAATATAAAAATTACTAATAAATTTTTGCTGAATAATTGAATTTTTACTAGTGAATTATATATATTAATATGAATATATTTATATTTTTTAATAATATTTATAAAAAATTGTTTCATCTATGGACATCCTAGATAAAATATAATACTGTACATAATATTGAGATAAATAATACGTGATGTATATAGACGGACACATAATTATGTTAATATAATATAAATAAATGCAAAAATAACAATATATAAGATAAATATATACTCTCTCCCTCTCATAACTATAGTTTGGGTTGTGTTTGATACGAAATTTAAGAAATATTAATATTATATTGGTAATGGATAAAATGTACTGGTAAAAAACTTTTTTGCCCTTGTGAGTATATTAGCGTAAAAAGTAGTGACAATTGTATAATAATAATGAAAAAGTAAATGTAGTTTTACTGATTATTTATGAAAATAAGATTGTTTTAGGACGAATAAAAATGGTAAACAAAACTATTGTATTTGGACGAAAAAAAAAGTATAAATTATATTAATATAATATAAATACAATAACGAACAAACATATGTCACATAATATAGTTTTATACAATACTTAGAATGATTTCATAACATGAAATGCAATTATAAATTATTTGTATATTTTTATATGTATTATTTGTCTGGTTCAATACAATAACAATTTTGCTTTTACATAATAATGACAAATTTTTTTAGTAGAATATACGGAAATAATATTTTTCAGTGGTAAAAAAAGAGTGTTATTGAATGCCCATATTTTTTGGATAGAGAAAATAGGTATTAATAAATATTTTATTGATTTGAATATGTGTTTTTTATATTAATATTTCCGTATATAGTTAATTAATTATTTATTACTGTGTTATTCTTTCATAATTGGGCCTTTATCATAAACTAACAAAATATTTACGGCCCGATCTGGATAATTGACCCGACCCATGATTGGTGCGGTGTTGGCCGGCTTGGCGTTTGCCGGTTTGCCCCTTGTGCCTTGTTTATAGCCGCAACGAATCTGTAATCTTCTCTAACGCAAAAATCTCCAACAATTCCGTCGAAATAAAGTTCAATTCTTTCTCTCTTCCGTAAATTTTCTCTGAAATTGAGCCCTCCAATCGTTGTATTACACGAACGGTGATTCCTGCTGTTGATTGGATGCATATTCAATCAGATCTGCCAACGCCAATGCAAAACAATGGTGTTAGCGGCGGCGACGTGAAACCTGAAGACGTGATTGTGAAGCTCAAGGATGACGGCGATTTCGATCGTCTTCGTCTCAAAATCATTCGAAAGCTGAAGGACAATGTGAGTTTTTTCGTCCTTGCATGTTATCCTGTTATCATGAATGAACTAGATTTATCCCAATGGTTCGAATATGCTTTGCTGTGTGTTTTGGATTCATGGTAGCTGCGGTCAGTTTTTTACTTATATTTTTTTATTAATGATTGTATTACTGAAATAGTTGGTTGATGGTTCTTACATTGGAAATTACTTCTAGGGTTGCAACTATCTGATGAACATTTGTTCTTGATCTAGTTAAAAGCCCTCGTTTTTGTTGGGATGTTTCCAGCCTAGGTTGCCAACAGTTAAGAGCCCGCTGTTGAGCACTTACCCTCCCGAAATTTACAGACTCTTCTGCTTGGCTAAATCAGGCTCTTCAAAGTGTGAATGGTTTGTGGACATTTGCTAAAAGAACTTGGCAAGCAATTTAGTGCACTTAAAAACAACTAACAGTTGTATTTCCATCGAGTATGTATTAGACTCGGTTCGCTATGAATAAAAATTCTTACCCCCATTCTATGCTAGTTACACCTCCTCGATGGCCAGTGAATAGCAACCTCAGAGATCCTTAGTTGTGATTAAAACTTCGAAGAGTTCTACGTATGCTTGCAGAAAATCTTAACCACATATATGCATTAGTATTAATTGATCAAAACTCATACAAGTGAAAACCAATATACCATATTTTATAATCTTGACTAGCTAACCCCCGTGTAGTTTTATAAGAAGAGAGTGGGGGCGAAGATAAACTCATCCATGTTAAAATTAGAGATGTTCTGAAAAGTTTTCCCTTTCTGTACTCTATGAAGTTTAAAAATCAGTTAGGTTTTATTAATCTCCAGCATTTATTATAGAGTGTTTCAGTATTGGTTTGCGTAGGAAGTTGTCTGTAAAGAAGATTTGTAATTGAGTTAATGTCTTAATGAGAATTCATGGCATAATTTCCCAAATGGATATAAGATATGTGACTAGTTTAATGAGACAGTAGCATATGTTTGTTTATTGTGCAAATTATATTCTATTGATGATAGTATTTCAGCTTTCAGGAGCAGTTCAAAGCTGAAATATTACATTTGATGAGCATATTCTGAGATTTTGGCTATTTTTTATATCATATTGGTTACATAGTATTCATATATCTTTTCTATGGCTTACACAAGTGTATAGGTCTGTAATTTTGTCTGTTTACTTTAGCACTTTGACATTTTTTTGATGGAAACTTGCATGATCTTATTTTTCCCTATCTAATGTTAAATTGGAAAATATCTCTGTAAAAATATATGCATCAGATAGGCCAATTTTGTTATGTAATGTATTTCAGAGTTTGTGCTGGTCTTCGTTTTTCCTTTTTTTTTTTAAAAAAAAATTTCAATGCTTGAGTTTATTTTCTTTTTTCAGAGAAGCGAATTATTAATTTTCAACTTTGGCACTTTGTGTGTAAATGTATAGTTAAGTTTTCAGTAGAATTGTGGTGGGTATGTATGTATGTGTATCCGTCCCAAACACCCTGCAACATTTCCTTTTTGGTATGTCCCAAACACCATGTAATATTTCCAAAATAGGAAATAATTAATTATACTTAATCTCTATCCCATACTTTATCCCCTCACATCATCCTAATTTCTAAATTATCCTACTTAATACTACCCACCTAAAAACTCGTGTCAAAAGCAAATGTTGCACCTTTTTTTGGACGGAGGGAGTACTATTTTAGGCCGCACACTCAACATGTGTAAATAATTTTCAATATATATGCACACATAGTTATGTTAATTTTAATAACATATAAAAATTTATATTTGAATAATTATAATTTTAGAGATAAATGATATGTTAAAGTTTCCGATGAAATTTGGTAATCATGTTTATTTTGCTGATTTAATTTTTTATTACAATTTATTTTGTAGAACCATTCACTATCACGCTTTAAATTGATTTCACAATAAGTTAGGTTTCCTAGTTCAAATTACGGAAAATTATTGATGCTCTTTGATAAATGCCTTTTTTTAATACACATACGCCTTGTTTACCTTCTTTTTTCCATTTTTACTCCTTCGTTAACTCTTGCCATATTCTTTCCACAGGAAGAGTTGCGAAGCAATATCATAGCAATGGTAAAACAATCGGTAGCACTTAACCGTCCTGGTGCTGAAAATATGAAACCACGACAACTTTCTGATGCAATACATCAAGAAATTGGGTAAAAAGCTTTTTATTTTTTATTTTTTAATACCAGTTGTCTTTCAACAACATCTAATTGATGCACCTATATACTAAATCATTATGACCTTTCAATTGCTTATTTGTTCAATTTCTTAAGTTCTATATTGATCATCTGTATTGCAGTGATAAACTCATGAGCCAAGTTTCTGATGGTTTGTGGAATATAATAAGATCACCTGATGGCATGAAATCTGAAATTACAGAAACTGTAGAAGCAGTTTATGATAGATTATCAAACCCTCGAGGAAAAGAAAATGGTGAATCATCTTCACATAAGGATCCATGCTCTGTTCAGAATAAACATGGAAATAATGGTAATGCTACTGGTGTTAATGAAACTGATAGCACACTGTCAGATGGAGACCAGAGTGAACCACCAGGATTTGGTTTAACTGATGCACGCCGGAGAAGCAAGAGGGCCAAAACAGTACAATCAAATAATATTAGGATGCCTAAACCTAATATTGAACAACGAGAAGGAAACCAGGGATGTAACAGACCTTCAGAGGCATTGCCCAAGCCTGACAATTTGGATGATGATGCTCCACCTGGATTTTCTTCCATGCTCAAGCATAAAACTTCAGGAGAAGTTAGTGATGAAGATCCGGATGTGCCTCCTGGATTTGGTTGACTCAACATACAGCTCTAAGGTTTTGTACTATGAAGTGCTATTGACCTGAGCAAAATAGGGCAAGATTTGATTGGTGTACCCGAATGAATTTTGAATCTAAAGGCCTTTACAAGCCATGGTGCCTGGACTAGTTTTCCATTTATACAATGATCAAAGGTCAGAGGACAGAACTGAGGAATTATCATTTACTTCTTACTGTTTTACATTTTTTAAAATATTAATGGGGAATCCCAATGTGCTATTTAGATACATATTCATTATTTAACCATGCCACTTCTAGTTGGTCTTAAATTTGAGACGCTTGAATTTTTTCCATGTAATAACATTGTAAATCTTATTGAGGTCTTTTTGTGAGTATATACACACACACTGAGTTTCTTGTTTTAGTTATCTTAAGCATTCATTAGATATTCTTGATACTTGTTCCATATTTTGAGTTCTTTTTCATGATTGGGTTTTGATTGTTTGCATGACATGACAAGTTTTTTAGGAAAATATAAACAAAGAGGAGCCGAGCCTATAGTAACCCACCCACCAGATTGATGACACTTTCTTAATTTTTATCAGCCCATGTTAGTATGATGTTGAATTGTACAGGAAACATGAACTTGCATTCCGAAATGCAATTAGATTTTGGATGTGTTGCCTGATACAACCTTTGTGGTATCTTAATGCATTCATTGTAATTTCTAACACCCCATATTGTCTTCTTTTTATTATTTCCTAGGATCGACGAAAATGATGAAATGGTAGAGTGCTCATATCGGAATCTCGATAACGAAGCTTGCCTGAGAAGGTATTTGGCAGAACTGTCTGTTTCTACGAACGTCATCCCCTCAGTTCTCGTTTCTTTCCTTTCCAACCTTTATGTCATGAAGCTAACTTGAACTTTGGGATTCACCCCTTAAAGCACAGCAGGAAACAATATCCTCCGCCCTTTGCAATTCCAATTGCGTATTTGAATTTATTATGTATCCTCCTACTTGAGGGGATTGTAAACATTGTGAGGAGTGGATAACCTCCCAATGAATCGGCAGATGTGTACCCGAGACATTCAAACATTGATAGTGCAGTTAGTTATGGTTATTGATGCTCCTTAATGAAAGAAATAATTGTGGTCTGCTCGATGTATATGCCTTAGCCCATGGTTTTAGTTATTTATTGATTTTTAATAGTGCTTTATTCTGCGTTCCACCGTAAGATTTCTACTGTTTCGTTTGGATGTTCATTTTTATTTTTACTCCAATATTGAAACTAGTACTTTAGCCTTGAACACTTAATTTGACGATCAGGTGAAGTTGGGTTGGTTAGCCCATGGTTTTAGTTATTTATTGATTTTTAATAGTGCTTTTTTCTGCGTTCCACCGTAAGATTTCTACTGTTTCGTTTGGATGTTCATTTTTATTTTTACTCCAATATTGAAACTAGTACTTTAGCCTTGAACACTTAATTTGACGATCAGGTGAAGTTTGGGTTGGTAATTGAATGCGACCAGCTGGAAAGGGCGGGAATGAGGAAACTATGTTGATACCTATTGTGCACTAATTGATTTGATTACTTTTTTATTTGTAGATTCACTCGATTGATCTGTTCAACATGGACTGAACTCTGAAGTAGCTCCACAACTTACATATTCATGCTTGATTGAAATCTGACGCTTGTTGATCAAACATTTAAAGAAGATGTTGTCTATTGTGTATTTTGTCTATTGGGCTGTCAGGAAATCGAAATGTCTTAAGCCCACCGCTCTAATGTAGTTCTTTCCAAAGGCAAAGCTGTTGTTTGCTTGTCAAACTAAAAGACCCGAGACAGCGGGTGAGTACCTTACTTCATGCACTTTTGGAATATATTGTTTGATGGATGTTTCCTTTTCTATATTTGTTTTAGTGGTTTGACACACCATTCATGTGATTGCCTGGTATTTTCGTGTAGGATCCGATTTTCATAATGCGAATGTGGCTATCTTAAATGGCATTTAGCGTTTTGTAGCAATATTATGCATTCTTGGATCATAAGTGTATAATGCATTATAATTTATACCGATGACGGCTTGTTTTGAACATGATTGGGACACCTATACTTGTGTTTCAGAAATCAAATTCGAGAGAGCTTACAAGAGCCACATATTGCTGGCCCACAACGGGGAAGGATTATCTACCTTAAGTGCCATGAATGATCATTCATGCCAGGCTCGGCGCGTTTGGCTGTGGAGTGAACTGTTGAAAAGAAAGTGTATGGCTCGATATTGGTCAGTGCCAAGCGAAATCTTCGCCCAATCAACATGTGCAACCATATTTTTGCGCCTGGGAGAAACAAAAAAACATACATGGCCAATCATTGTGAGAACATTTGGGCTGAATCATGTTTTAGCTAACATCGCTGAATCTATTGAGAACCAACAATTTAAGAGGATTCGGGATTTAAGAAAAGGGTGTGCAATGTGTTGGAACCCTTAGTTGTGCGGAGCTGTTGGGCGACATTTATTTGTGTTTACTATGGCTGGGATAGGATCGGCGATACAGGTAAGAAATATAACTACTCTATCTGATGCCGTAAACAGGCTCACCCGTCCATGTCCGGTGAATAAATGGTCTATGAGGATCTAAATCCAGTCCGGTCGGTCCGGTCGGTCGTGGCTACTAATGACACCAATCTGTAGTTATAAATGCCCTAGAATTGGAGCTTGGCCTTGCCTACTAGTATAATCAAGTTATGCATGCGGCCGCCTCCCTCTGCCTACAAACTACGGATCTGGTTTAGCACATTTATGAGGTATAGCACCATAATTTTGTATTACTTTTTGCAATCCCTTTCATATTGTATCTTGTCTTCTTCTATGTAATGTATCTTGTTCGTCTGATTGCTAAAATGGCTGAAAAATGTTTTCTTCCTCAATTAATTTTGTTGTGTTTATCTGCAGTTGTGAGCTCTCAGAACAGTCTCCAAACATATATTGTTCATCTGGATTCGTCAGTTCGGACTCCGGGGAAATTGGAAGATTTGGAAGGCTTGTACCGCTCGTTTTTGCCCGAGTCAGCTATGAGCTCGGACGAGCCATCCCGAATGGTTCGCCAGTACCGGAATGTGATAACCGGTTTTGCAGCAAAATTATACCCGGAGGAAGTGAAGGAGATGGAGAAGATGGAAGGTTTTCTCCACGCCAGGCCGGAGAATGTGTACTCATTGCACACGACTCATACTCCGGCTTTCCTAGACCTTTCTCCGGATCGCGGTGCCTGGCTGAGTTCGAACTATGGCAAGGGTGTGATAATCGGAGTTTTTGACAGTGGGATTACTCCAGGGCATCCATCTTTCGATGACACAGGTGTCCCTCCGCCACCGGCGAGATGGAAAGGGAAGTGTGAATTTTCCGGCGTTGCGTGTAATAACAAGCTCATTGGGGCGAGGAACTTTCTCAGGGGTGAGTCGGGGCCACCTATTGACTCCGACGGGCATGGCACGCACACTGCCAGCACGGCTGCCGGGAACTTTGTCCCCGGAGCGAATACCTTCCACCAGGCAAACGGCACGGCCTCTGGAATGGCGCCGCTGGCTCACCTCGCCGTTTACAAAGTCTGCGACCACCGCGACTGCTCGGAAGGCGATTTGCTGGCTGCAATAGAAACTGCCATCGAGGATGGCGTCGACGTGATTTCTGCATCTCTCGGAGGAAAAGGTGAGCCTTTCTATCAAGATAGCAATGTTATCGGCTCCTTCTATGCAGCTCTAAACGGCGTTTTCGTAAGCGCCTCGGCTGACAATTCCGGTCCGGCGATGTTTTCCGTCACCAACGCAGCGCCATGGATGCTTACCGTCGGTTCCAGCACTTTGGATCGCAGTATAGTCGCCAGAGTATCGTTAGGCAACCGGGAAGAACTCGATGGTCAGTCATTGAACCAGGTAACAAATCTTCCTTCTGTGATGTTACCGTTGGTTTATCCCGGCAGTCAGGGGGACCAAGCTGCGAGATTCTGCCATGCCGGATCGTTAGACAGCACAGCCGTAAAGGGAAAAGTCGTGCTGTGCTCTCGAGGCGGGGACGTCACGAGGATAGGAAAGGGACAGAATGTGAAAGATGCCGGAGGCGCCGCGATGATTATGATGAACGACAAGGTGAGTGCGTACAGCGTCGAGGCTGATCCGCACGTCCTTCCGGCGGCGCACGTGAGCTACGCTGCTGGGGAAAAGATTATCACCTACATAAACTCCACCGCTGCTCCGGTAGCCACGATTCGATTCAAGGGGACTGTTTTTGGAGACGATACAGCTCCGATGGTCTCGTCGTTCTCCGGCAGGGGGCCGAATTCGGTCAGTCCAGGTATTCTGAAACCCGACATAATTGGACCCGGTTCGAGCATTCTTGCGGCATGGCCGAAATCGGTGGACCCGTACCGGCATGGACGGTCGACTTTCAACATGTTTACGGGGACGTCGATGTCTTGCCCGCATCTCAGCGGCATTGCGGCCCTGATAAAAAGCGACCACCCCGACTGGTCGCCGGCGATGATCCAGTCCGCCATCATGACCTCTGCCTCTCAAACTAATCTCAAAGGTCAGCCGATTCTCGACGAGCGGAATCTGCCTGCCGACGTGTTTGCCATGGGAGCGGGTCATGTGAACCCCCCGAAGGCGCTCGATCCGGGGCTCGTCTACGATATCGCACGCTGTGATTACATTTCTTACTTGTGTCATCTCTACACGGAGGCTCAAGTTAGAATTATCGCCGGAAAGAAGATCAACTGCCGGAAGTTGAAATATAGAGGTATTTCCGACGAGGCACAGCTGAACTATCCCTCTTTCGCCGTGCAACTTGGTCGCCGGAGTAAGAGATATTTGAGGACTGTGATAAACGTTGGCGATCCGAGGTCGAGTTACCGCGCCCAGATCGGGAAGATTCCCGGTGTCGATGTGACGGTGGCGCCGGAGGTACTTAGGTTCGAGGAAGTTAAGGAGAAGAAGACATACGAGGTTACCTTCAGCAGGCAAAACTTGGATGTGAATGGATCGTATGTTGAAGGATTCATTTCGTGGGTTTCTCCGAAGCACATTGTTCGAATGCCCATTTCGATCAACTTAGTGATCCCAGGTTAGTTTTTACTCTTTTATCGACTTCTGCTTCGACTTTCATGTTTGTTGAATTGTTTTTGGGTATATTTAGATTTTTATTTTCTTTTAATGAAAGAAAATAACATTCTTTAAAATTTAAAGAATATTAAAAATTTAAATGAAAAATAAATACCCGTCCGTTCTCATTTCAAATTACTCTTTTTATATTTTTGTTTGTCTCATTTAAAATATTCTTTCTATAATCATATTCGGATACCAAAATATGTTTTATTTTTATTTAATTATAAATATATAATTATATATACATTTATATTTTATAAAAAATAAAAGGATAAAAATATCAAAATTTTTTACATTTTTACTAATCAATTAAATACTATTTCCTTCCGTATCCTACTTTCCTATTTGGGACGTCGAACAACTATTGTTCTATTTTTTTTTTAAATACAAATTTTATATTTTTACCCTTCATTCATTTATTATTTTTAATTTCTAACATATATTTAAGGGCAAATTTGTCAATTTATAACAAAAACACAATCACCTAAAAAACCGATATATTTTAGAACAATAGAAATTAGACGGAGGAAGTATTATTTTTTAATCTACTATAAAACTTTAAAGTCTCTCTAAAAGGAACTAAGTACTTCATCTAAAAGGAATCAAGTACTTCATCTGTCATTCAAATTTATTATCAATTTTCTTTATTCTTTGTTCTTATTTTTTTTTATTGTCATCTAAATTTATTTTCATTTTATTTTATAATAAAAAAAATATCATTTTTTCTATTTTTTTTCTTTAACTTAAAAAAAATATTTTTATTTTTATCTATTTAAAAAAAAAAAACGAGTAGCCGATCAAATGAGAACATAGGCAGTAATAGATATTCCTTAGCTTACCTCACTCGAGTCAAACTCAAAGCGGTGGCCGCTTCCTCCTATATCATAATTTCAATTCTTATATAAAATGATTATTAAATAGTAGTCACACCAAACCAATCGTAATCATACGTACACCAAAATTTCAAAGATCGAAGGAGAAAAACTCCCATACTCATCTCATCGCAATAAAACCACAACAGGACTTCTCACTACATACTTCAATGTCGAAGAACTCCATGTAATAAACCCTTGCGACACGGCGTTGCTCGTTGCATTAACCCCCCGCCTAAACGACACCCGATACGTTATCCTCTCGTTCGCCGCCACGAACCGGAGGCTCGTCGGCTCCACTGCCACGTCCATGCGCGGCAGCCCCGTCACCCGCACCGTGTACGTCGAATTCGCCTCCCCGACGTTCGTGACGGTGCGATTATACGTCTGTGCGACGCTCCCGAGAGCGATCGAGAACGACGGGTAATTCAGCTCTTCCTCCGATACGCTCGCGATCTCCGCGCACCGGATTGGACGGTTCACGACGATCCCCACTTGTTGGTCCGTATACCCCAATCCGCAAAGATACGGGATATAGTCCTCCGAGCGGAGATCGTATACTAAGCCTGGGTTGGTAGCCCTCAGAATGTTGACATGGCCGGCGCCTAGCCCGAAAAGATTCGCCGGCCTTCGGGTTTCGTCCTCGATTGGAGCCCCGGCGAGGTTGACTTGCGTGGCGGTCGTCATTATCGCCGACTTGATCGCCGCCGGCGACCATTTCGGGTGTATGCTCTTTAGCAACGCCGCAATGCCGCTAAGGTGGGGGCACGACATCGACGTGCCGGAGATGATGTTGAAGTTCGACGTCGTGTTTGTGTTGTTTTCGACGGAAATGTGCCACGCGGCGAGGATGTTGTGCCCCGGACCGATAATGTCGGGTTTTAGGATTCCGGGGCTTGCTTGGCTCGGTCCCCGGCCGGAGAATTGAGCGAGCTCTGGTGCACGGTTGTCGCCGATTATCGTTCCTTGATAAGTGATAGCGGCTGTCGGTTCCGACGTTGAATTGAGATACGATAGAAGTTTTTGGCCGTCGGCGTAGGTGAGATGCGTCGCCCGAAGAACATGGGAATCGGAGTATGTTGTGTAGCCCTGCGGCTGCCGGTTGATCAAGATCATGCCCGCGCCACCGGCATTCTTGACTTCCCGGCCTTTCGCGATTCTTCCGACTCCTCCGCCGATTAGACAGATGACGATTTTCCCTCGCAATCCGGGGACGGCGCGGAGCGCGCCGGGGAGGCAAAAACTAGCGTTGTTGTTGGTTGAGTTCGATCCCGCGAAAAACAGAGGATGTTGCGTCGCCGGAAAATTCGCCGGCTGAAATGTCGATTCGCCGAAAAATGTTTCGTTATTGCCGAGCACGGCGGTTGCTCTTATCTTCCGGTCGATATTCCCGGCCCCGACGGTGAGTATCCACGGTGCGCCGTTCTCGACCGTGCCGAGCGCTGGGCCACTGTTCCCGGCCGACGCGCTGACGAAAATCCCCTTTTCGATGGCGCTGAACGCCCCGACGGCGACGCTCTCGCTGTAGAAATTCCGGGCCGGTCCGCCGAGGGACAGGGAAATGACATCGACGCCGTCGCCGATGGCGGCGTCCATCCCCGCGAGAATGTCGCTCTCGGAGCAGAGCACGTCGCAGACCTTATAGCTCGCAATGTGCGCCATCGGCGCGACTCCGGCGGCGGTGCCGTTGCCGTTGCCGAAGACGTTAGCCCCCCGGACGAAGCTTCCGGCGGCGGTGCTCGCCGTGTGCGTGCCGTGCCCGATCTCATCGGCCGGCGTGCCGCCGCCGGCGTACGACCGCGCGCCGATCAGCTTGTTGTTGCACAGTTGCGGCGCGGCGAACTCGCACGCGCCGCGCCACCTCGGCGGCGGCGGCGGTATTCCGTCGTCGTTGAACGACGGGTGGCCGGGAGTTATGCCGCTGTCGAGGAGGCCGATGATGATTCCGCGGCCGTAATTGGAATCGTTCCACACGGCCGTGTTGATATTCAGACCTAAGAAATTGAGGGAATGGGTGCTGTGGAGGGGCAGCTTCTTCTCCGGCGCGGCGGAGATGAATCCGGGGACGGTTTCCATGGCCTTGGCCTGGCCGGGGGAGAGGCGGGCGGCGAAGCCTTTGAAGACGTGGCGGTAAGAGTAGAGGATGGAGGGCGGGGATTGGGTGGAATCGGCGGAGCTCAGGGGGGTTTTGGGGAGAAAATTTTGGTACCAGGTGGGTAGGTCGTCGTCTGCAAGGGTGCTGCTTAGGGCGGCGCCGTCGCCGGCGCCGGCGCCGGGAATTTCGACGTGTATGATGTAGGTGTGTAAGTCGTCGGAAGTTGCGAGGAGATGGAAGGTTGTTGAAGTTAGATAAAGGAGTGTGAGAAAGCAGGCGTTGTAGCCGGCCATGGTTGAATTGAAGAATGAATCTGTGAGCAATTGCAAGAACACGACATATACATACGCGTATATATATATATATATATATATATAGAGAGAGAGAGAGAGAGGTCAGTCTACACGTTGATGACGCTACGGAGTTGAAAAAATTAAGGACGTGTTCTTTGCGTTCTCGAATGTTTATTTGTTTGTCTAATTTATTTTTTATTTTTTAAAAATTAATAATTTAATATAAAATGATATTTTTATATTATAGTTGCTATATAATAAAATACTATTATCGGTAAAATCCCAAATTGTCAATTTGAAATGGAGCAAAGGAATTATTTGATATAAAAGAATACTTTAAAATTCAAAACACCAAACAAACACACCTAAATGCAAACTAATTTATCCTTTTTCTTATTTTAATCCATTACCGATAAATTCATTTTCTTCTTTTTAAGTAATGTGATCCAAGAATATTAAAAATCTTAAATCTGATTTTATTATTGCAATAATATTTTCAATATAATTTAATTACATTCCAATTGTGTATTCATGCTTTAATATTGTAATATGCAGATATAAAATACTAGTAATATTTTAACAATGTAAATATTATATTATTCTTTAATTTAAAATATTGTAATATTAAAAAAATTATCATCTTACTAATACATAATTTGTGTATATATATATATATATATTCTTATTTTAATTTTCTTATACTAAATCTTGTATTGTTGCACTTGAGATTTTTGATTTAGCATGAGAACATTAGAATAAGAAAAAATATATACAAAATATGATAAAATTATTAGAATAAAAAGTAATACTAGTATTTTGTTGATAGTATAAATAGATAAGATAATTATAATATTTTTATTTTATAAATACAAATAAATACTTATAATAGAAAATTTATATTTTGAATAGGACATACTAAAATAAAAAAAAATTGATACATTGACTTGCTGACTAAAAAATATAAATTTTAACTTAAACTCAAGTTAAATGGTCAAATATAAAAAATCTAACCCTAAAGTTGTTAATTACATATGAATATGAGATTGTGGGTTGAGCTCTATAAAGACATACTTCAAATAATTTTTTTATTTAAAAGTAAATTATTATTATTATTATTATTTAACTAAATTATAAAAATATGTTCCGTCCGTCCCAAAATTATAGTCTGGATTGTAGTAGGTAAAAAATACAAGTAAAAGACTTTTTTGTCCTTGTGAGTGTATTAACGTAAAAAATAGTGACAATTGTGTAATAATAATGAAAAAGTAAAGATAGTTTTACGATGATATGATTATTTATAAAAATGAGATTATTATTTTAAAATAAAAAAAATAATAAATAAAATTATTGTATTGAAACGAATTTGACTATAACGAATGGAATTGGAAGTCAAATGGATAATGTAGATTTTCAAAACAAAGTAATGTGAAAGGGAAGTGCAAAATAGAATATAAATAAAGTTATGTTCACAAAAGACAAAGTGGGAAAACAATGGCCAAGTTCGAGGAAAATAGCAGTGTGAAACTAACGTACCATGTCCTTATATCTATAACAATTAAATATAATATTCTGTATTAATATATATTTTTAAATGAAAATATAAATTTAATTAGAAACTACTATACAAAGGAATAAAATCGTTATTTTATGTTATATAATATTTTAAATATAATATATTACAGATTTTAAAAATTATATTAAAATACTAATGTTAGAAGATTCTTTTATTCTTTAGCTACAAAACACATAGTAATAAATTTTGGATTTGTTTATATTGTCTTTTTAGTTACAACAATTATCAATAAATATTACTAAAAAGTATAATATATAATATATATATGTGTTATGTATTTACAAAAATCAAAATTCTAATTTTAAATATTATTTTTTATTGTACATTTCCATATATTTAACATAAAAAAAGAAAAAAAAAAGTATACTCGATAACACAAAGTAAACAATCCTTTGATGACGCGTTTATATTCAAATTAATATTAATATCAAAATCAAAATTTAAAATCAAATATTAAGGAAATAAACTCAATATATTTACTTTTTATTTTTTTTTCTATTCCAACTTATAATATATCATTTCGTCAGCTAATTCAAAAGCATTTATTTTATATTAGAATAAAAATAATTACATACTAATATCATATACATAAGATATTAAATAAAATAAAAATATTAAAATTATTTTACATATTTTTATTAATAAATAAAATATTATAATTTATGATTTGTTAAAATACTCTTTGGATTAGATCTATCAGTATTTTTTCAGCAATTATTATTCGAGTTTGTTTTGAATAAACTATTTTTTTTTATTTTTTTTTAATTGTTGAGTATTCTACCCATGTGTAGGCATTTTTTATTTGTTTATTATACTGTTTTATTTTATTTCTATTATTAATTTTTAAACATGCTTTGAATTGACCTTAACAAATGATTGAAGAAAAGAAAGGTACAATATCCCAAAATAGTATGTTTAGATTTTACTCCCTCCGTCTTATTTACTATGTCCATATTATGGTTATCGTATGTCACTTTCAATTTTTTTGAAAATGATTATCCATCTTAATTTTATTTAAAATCTTTTAATTTATTTTTTTTAAATTTTAATTAAATTAATTAATTATCTTAATATTAATCTATAATAATTTATATTATAAATTAATTATTTTCAGTAATACATTATTAATTATCTACTAATTATAATTATCCTAAATCCCCTGTCTACAGTGGCCAAAACATCCAATGTGGGACGGAGATAGTATTTTTTATGTCCTAATTTAAATTATTTTTATCATCTATTTTACTTTAAAATATTTTATTCTTTATATTAATAAAAATAATTATACATTCATAATGTAGAAGTGGACTTGTGCATTGTTATTATTATTATTATTATTAAGCATTTCGATATTCAAATAGTGCAATGCAAGGGTGCCAAAGTGTTATACTTATACTAGATATTTTCTATACATAATATACACTATCTTTGTTAAGTTCAGTTCAAAATTATTATGTTAAAATATAATAATATAAATTAAAAATAATTATAAAAATAATTTAATTTTTATAATAATTATTAAAAAAATTATATAAATATAAAAATATTTTCAATATTAAATACAAAATATACATGAACATATTACTTAATAATAATAAATAAATAAATAAAAATCTCCGGCCTCTGGTACCTGATCGAGAAGGCAACTTCCAGTTCCACCGTCTTCTTCTTCACTCAACTTCACCGAAAATGGGAATTTTGGAGTGTTTTTATCATCCATTGCCAACCAAATTTCTTCAAAAATCCATACAAGCTCATGTTTCTACATCAAACCTTCGTGTCTACGCAGCGAAAAGAAGTAATCTAATTTCTACAAAAATACCCAATATTTCTCCACTGTCATCCTCTCAGAGCTCAAAAGCCCTGGCCATGATTTCGATTGGAGCTGCTGCCGGACTGACCTTATTTACTTTCGCTGGGTCCTCCTATGCCGCGGATTCTTCAATTTTCAGTGAGCCTTCGAATGCCCTGTCACTTCCAACCTGGGCTATTCATGTTTCCAGCGTTGTTGAATGGTAATTAAGTGGTTAATTTTCTATGTGCAAAAGAATTAATTTTATGTTCAATTTAGGATTCTGTTGCTTTGATTTGCTTTTATTCTAGAATCTGAGTTCTTGTGGTTGTACTAATTTTTTTTGAGTTAAAAGAAGTTGTGGTTTTTGAAAATTCGATTTTCCTTTCTTTGGAATTAGGATTACTGCAATGGCATTAGTATGGCAGTATGGGGAAAAATCTGGCTATGAATCTTGGAAAGGTCTCTCTTGGGGAATGGTGAGTTATGATTGCCTTTCTTCTTCAATTTCATTCTTGCATTTGAGTTTTTGTGGTTGTACTAAATGTTTTAAATGAAAATAGTTGTTTAATTTGATGCTTTTTTAGGATGACAAGATACTTTACTACTCAGAAATGTAAATTCAGAATGCAAAGTTTAATGAATAATTAGTAGTAGCATAGGGAGATAGAAATTCGATCAAGATAGCCGAACAAGAGAATAATTGTTCATCAAATATCGAAATTTATATTCAATCATAACTTATTACAAAAGTGGGAAACTAGGTATTTATAGAGTCTGAAAACTCTAAAGCTTGAAATAAAAATCATTGCAAAAAGAATACTACATCATGACCGTTTAGAATTTCGTCTAATTCCAAGAACGTACACAAAGAGACATCAAAATGATAGATTGACAAGTTTGGCAATAGTTAGTTTCTTCAAAGTGATAATAGAACTCTGTAAATAGTAATCTTGCCGTGGCTATTACAATCCATCATTATTTGCATCAAAGTCGTTTGGTGAATTTATTGAAAGGAAATACAATGCTGTTCTTATATATGAAGCCGAATCTATTTTCTTCCTTACAGCAAATTACGTTTGGTATATATAAGTGAGACTTTTTGAAATTTTGTAACGATGGATTGTGGTTTGATATGTTGCATAGTTGTGTAGGTTCCTCTGCTCGGTGGAGCATTTTGCGCTTGTACATGGCATTTCTTTTACAATGCGGAGTCCCTGGAGGTAACATCTACTTGTTCATAATAAAACGGGTCGGCTCAACTCTCTTGTTAGGGAAAATTGATATTCAGGCGAAGACGTGTAGCTTGCTTGTTAGAGACAATACTTGTAGTGAAGATTATAATTTGATAGAATCGTGATAATCATTGTCAGCAGTCAGTTGAGCTGTGTTCATTGAAATTCTAATAACTATACCTTTACTATATAATTCAACCGTCTTAACTTTAGATTACAAGTTTCTGGAAATTTCCAAGCGAGAAACTCTTGAGATTTAGATTTCATCGACTAAAGTCCATAGGTGAGTATGTTTTAATGGAGTGCATCTTGCAGTAGCTTAATCTTAAGTAACTAGTATAATCTTTGTATTTATATGATGCAAGTAATCATGGGCGCTCCCGAGCATTTCTTTTTTTAATTATTCTTCCGTTTAATCTTTTCATGGATATCATCCAAGAATGCTGCATGTATTGAACTTGAGCATAACTTCTAGTTTAGATAGGCATAATCTTGAACAATTAGCATCATCATTTGGTATCAAAGATACATCGACTGTCACTTTTGAGCAAAGCACTACTTTATCGGTTGCCACAATTTATAAATATTGTACAAAGAAAGCTCCCTTTTGTTTTTGGGACAGATTATTACAGGTCGATAAAAAACTAGGTTGATTGATTATAATGTGTTCGAGTTGCTAATTTCATTCTTTCGACGCTTCTCTTATTTTATATATATTTTTTATATATAAGGTTTTGGTGGCTCTTCAAGCAGCATTGACAGTAATAGGGAATGCAACAATGTGCATTGCTGCCTACCGGATTTACACATCGTCGCACGAACGCTCCAAGGACTTCTGAAGTGCATATTCCTTTTGATACGGAGACACAACTACAGAATGTCTAGCCGCCGCCTAATTCCAATGGTATTTCCTTCTTTGGCTAATGTCGATGATTCTCAACGGTCTCACTTTTATTGATTTTATTTTGAAAGGCAAATGCCAAGCCATCCCAAATGCTCGTTAAATTATTATAAACTATGGATAGCTTCCTATCAAGAAAACGGAATTGAAAATTTCCAACTATCAAAATCACTACCAGCAAAGCATGAGCTGCATTGACAGCAAATGTGCTCCGACAGCATCACACCTGGTGAGTTAGTCAATACAATCGCCGGCCTTAGGCTTTAAGACTGCTATTGATTTTGACAAATGGCTAATAATTTTCGAAAATCCAAAATATGCAGTTTCCTTGTATTCGATTGTTAATTCTTTTATATGTGTGTTGTGTTAATATATATTGTGTGATCAGATCAATTATATTATGTGTTGTGTAGATTATTGTTATGTGCTATTTGTTTATATATTGCATTTGTATTATATCTTACGTGTTGTCTATATATATTTTATGTGTTGTTAGCATTATGTCGACTATAATTAGTCAAGCACTTTAACAACAACAACATTTATATACGTTATCTCCTTCCCATAAAACCAACACATTTATCTTTTGTACGCAGATTTTTTAATATTATATTATATTGGTTTATAGTGAAAAAGACAAAAATGTCCTTATTAGATTGTGTGATATAAAAGTAATGTCATTTGTGTAATACAAAAATAGAAAATGGTATCTTTCTTATGGGACGGAGGGAGTATATATATATATATATAGTAAATACCTTTAATTGCTGCAATTTTTGGAATTTCGATGGTGAGCTGCTTGTGGTATTAAGTCAATAGTGATTATTATTACTATTGGTATTGTTGGTGGACAGAAAGTTGCACTTTATGATTCCTGGTTTGAAAAAATGGTGTTGTTGATCGATATAGCTGTGGCTTTCAACTGGGCCACTGTTCTTCTAAAATAAGTAGCTCTATTCTGCTCCTTAAATCTCACCATGTTTGTTAATGATGCAAGTTTTTGACCAAACACTCGCAATTATTCAACTTGTGAAAAATGTTGTAAGAAAAACTGGAACACTAAAGTGGATCAGAATGGAATTTTTCCCCTTTTTAATGATCTGTGAACTTAGAAGAAGAACACTGATCAGTTTTTTGTTTGATTTATTTTAGCAATTCTAATGTTAAAAGTACTACTTGTATGTTGAACAGTTAACCAGTCGAATTGAATATAATTTTATGCATTTGTATTCGTCTGTTAATATTCGCAAATAAGGTTTGTGTTTTGTTCGTTAAACAATTTTACTGTATGAGCTTGAATAAGCTTGTTTGAGCTCATTTGTTTAAGTACCGATATTTTATTTTATTTTATAGTTCATATGTAATTTTTGTATTTATTCATTTATTTTTAATTAATAATTTTATGTATATACATTATTAGTATGTTTCTTTAGAAAAATTTTGGTTTTGATTTGGTTCTAAAATAATGTATAATGAGATGTTTTATGAGATAACGAGAAACGCAAAGCTCAAATAGTAGAAATTTGGGGTTTGAAGGTTGAAGAAACAAACCCGAATTGGGAATAATATATCTGCCTCGTATGGTTCGATGGTACTTTGTTAGGTAATTTCTGAATTATTTGTTTTTAATCTCTTGACTTTTGCATGTTATTGTGTAATCTTAAAATTTCAAAATTTCACTGCAAGAAATCCTTAGATACATAATACACACAGTTCACGTCTGGTTTGACTTTTGGTTAGTTTCACAAGAAAAAGATTCGATTGATCTAATCTCATGATACTACAGGACAAATGTCTCTACACCCTTTTTCTATTCATATTTAGGGGTTTGTTCATATGATAGTTTTGGGTCGACCATTTTTTATAAATATTATTAATAAAATAATAATATAAATTTATATTAATATAATATATAATATATATATATATCTTTTGGCTGCAGATGTTGAAATATATGTTTGATGTTCGATCAAATTAGCATCATGCTAACTTAAACTGATCAACGGTTAGCTGATCTATATCCATATCTTTTATATTATCAACACAATTCTTTATATTTGATATTAAAACAAATGTATCCGGCCAAAAACACAAAATGGACAAACCCTACACGTTATTTTGGAGTTTTGTTTTACTTTTTTTTATTATGCAAAAAAGATCTACTATAAAACACATTAATTTTTCTTACAAATATTACATACAAGCCATTATTTGGAAGAAAAAAAAACTCGGAAAGAGTATATAAATATTTTTAAAAATTTTGATATTATTCATTGTCGGAAGCTAATGACCGTCTCACCTAAAAGCTCGAACTTGTTAGGGAAACTAAACCATTAGTTACATATCCCGCAAACGGGAGTCCTCAACATTCATTAAATCGGAATTTCTCCAAAAATAAATAGAGCATTAAATTAAATTGGTCTCTTATTCCATCAAACCCCGACACGATATCGATCGAAATTAACGTACGCTGGCACTACACCAAGACAATAAGTAACTCGACATGATTACATTAAAAAATAAATAAAAATAAAAATACACACACACAGATATATATATATATATATGTATGCATATATGTATGTCCTGAACAATTAATTAAGTGGTAATTGGCTTGCAGAAATTAAAGCAGCAGCATTATTTAACTTAATTTAATTAGTTTTGTGGAAGAGATTGATCATGAGAGCAATATTTTCTTGGTGAAGAAGAGAGGCCTTCTTCCTCAGCTTCTCATTCTCTTCTTTGATGCTCATGTTCTCCATGTACAGCTTCAAGTTCTTCATTTTCATCTCATTCCTATTCCTATTCCTATTCCTAACCCTAATCATCATCCCTTTCCTGTAATTAATTAATTAATTAAATATTATAATTAAACGACGCCGTATTGTATGGATATACTCATATACATACATACCTTGTGAGGGTGAGGACACGAACCCTAGCAGTGGTCTTCCGAGGGAAGAAGAAGAATTGCACCTGTTTCTGATGTTGGATCCATTCGTTGCACCCACCACCACACATGATCACATATATATATATATATTTTGATTGAATTGAACTGATCAATTGAATGTGGAATTATTAATTTGATGACCGAGAGAGAGATAAGAGGGGAGATGGAAACCCTTGAAGAAATTTTATTACAAAAATGGAGAGATCGATATATATATATATATATATACCCTACAAAATGGGATGTAAAATATCATGCATGTGGTGGGGTGGGTTTATTTATTTATATCTCGGGGGGTGGGGGTGGGGGTGGGGGTGGGGTTTGATTTCAATAAGTGTAATGATGAGACAGCAAGTGTGATGATTACTAAGACCTGCTACTTCTGCTTCTTCAACCCCATCTTCTAAATTCTTTCTTTCTATATGCCCATACATACATATATATATATATATATATATACAAATAGAGATATAATTTGGCATGGATCAAGAAACACAAGAAAAGTCTAATAAGAATGTGGGTATATATTGATCACTCAACCATCACCCAATGTATATGAGTAAGTGGTTCAAAGTTATACACAAACCAAACATATTTTTATTTTGGTTATTAATACTACTATATTTTATAGTCTTCGAGTATTTAAAATTTTATCTTTTAAATGAATTATTGGTGTTTTAAATGAAAAATAGGGTAAACTATATTTTTTTTTACTGTATTTACTGTCCTATCATTTTAGTATAATAATTGGAGTTTGTATATGTTTGGTTTTCCAATTATAAAATTTGACAAAAACTATCCTCTGTCATCGGAATTGTCACATTGTCACTGATTTGGTACTGACATAATAAAATCTATTAGTGCCACTTAGGCACCGATGAATTTTAGAGAGAAAAAAAAGTTAAAAATCACGTGACACTGAGAAATTCAATAAGCACCGATGAACCAACTCAGTGACAACATAGTGATTCCGGTAAAAGGAGACTATTTTTGTCAAATTTTTGCATTTGAGACCAACATATACATGAGCCAAAAGTAATTGTTTGATGAGGTGTTCAATAAGTATTATATTGAGACTCGTGGTTAAAAAAAAATATTGGGTGAACAAACTCTAAATAAATTAATAAAATAACCTATATATTTTTTTTCTCTAAAACATATTATATCTTACATCAATTTTTTAATTAAAATAATTTTTTTTGATTTTGATTTGAACTTAAAATTTTTATTTGAATTTTGATATAAATAATACTCCCTCCGTCCAATTTCTATTGTCCTAAACTATATTTGCACTATTTTTTAGGTGATTGTCTTTTTGTTATGAATTGACAAATTTTTCATTAATTGTATAGTAAAGATTAAAAATAATAAATGAATGAAGGGGGTAAAAATGTAAAATTTGTGTTTAAAAAAGGAAATAGGACAATAGTTGTTGGACGTCCCAAATAGAAAAGTAGGACATTAGTTTGTGGACGAAATGAATATTATTTTTGTATTTCTACTTAAAAATAGTATAAGCTGAATAATATTGTTTTTTATTTAAAATTTTTTTAAAAAATCAAATCCTACAACTATTTCTTTTTTAAATATCACAGTGAAAAAAAAAATCACAAGCAAATAAGATTTAATTATAGTAAAATTTCAAATTAAAATTAAAGAGGAATGCATGGTGATGAATCATGTGGGGACTGGGAAATCATTGCATGACTTAATTAATTAATTAATGCCTTGTTTGCTACTAACCCTTATTTGGCTGCTAACTATATTGATATGACATTGTGACCAAATCTTAATTAAATTATAATTGGTCAATACTAAACTTTTAATTAATTAACTCAAACTTCAAATTGGTTAATATTTACTATTCCTTTGATCTACCAAAATATATATTCATTTGGGTTAAATAAAACTTTTAATAAATATAAATTTGATTGTAACATAAAATAATATTTCGAAAAATATATGAGTGAATTAATAAAACAAAAAAAAATAATTATAGATTAAATATATAAATAGTTGTGTTATTTTTTTTAAATAAGTGCAATATTAAAATATTTTCAAAATTATTTGTTATAAATAAAAAAAAAATACATATTTTATGCAGAAAATAAAATGGGGGTTTGGACTCAAAGGCTTGTTCACCCATTCATTTTTTTTTTTCAACTTCTCAATATATATTTTATCATCTCACAAAAAATAGTATTCAATATAAAATATTATTTTTTATATTACAACATAGTTTTCTATACTCATGTTAAAATAAAAAAAAAATACTCTCTCCGTCCCAGATACCATATCCACGTTGCCGTTTCTATCCGTCCCACGTACCATATCACTTTCCTTTTTTGGAAAATGATTACACACTTTAATCTCATTTTAAATTTTAAATTTTTTTTAATTTTAATTAAATTAATTAGTTATCTTAATCTTAATTTATAATTATTTATATTATAGGATAATTATT